TTGTCGCTTGCCCTAACGATTATGCGATTCTCTAACGCAGTTGTTACGATAATCGACATCGCACATTTCCATTTTATTAAAATGTAGGAAAGGTGGCACCACAGCTCAACGAAACGTCAAAATGTACGAAAAGCACAAAGAGGAATGACAAAAACAAATAAATTTGTTATTGAAATTATTTTAATTAAAAGAATAGCAATGCATTACAAAGTTTTTCAATAGCATGTTATGGTTTGCACTTTCATGCATGACTCTTCGCTCTATAGGGGAGCTCCAAATAAAATAATTGTGCCGCGCTCTTGGGTACTTGGCATTTGCCAGTATAATCTTGCGATAAGGACCATATATCTATGTGAAAATATAATTAACTTTGTTACTACAATAGTAATCGGAAACAAATTTACTCTCACCATTTGCACATTGATGGAATGGTATCCATGGTGGTTTATATACGCTTCTTCATGATTTTTAACTCATGTGCAATCGATAGCTCCAATAGTGCCTCCAACATATGGTGACGATGACGAAGCAAAAATTTGGAAAACTAACAGAAAACCTTGAACGGTTGATTGCGTCTGTTACGCGATGAACACAACGGTTTACTGACGACTGACTCATGGACATGCCCATTGCAAAAAATCGCGAGGCGGGTAGAACCTTTAAACATTATAATAGTGTTAAGACTAAAAAAAATATTGAAAATATATATTATTACCTGTTTCTCCGTAGACAATGCTGTTATTCTTCTTCCTTTTAGTTGGCAATCTAGTTCAGAAACGATTTCTTCAACTAAATCCGGCGAAACTCGGTAGCATCCAAATGAAAAGGATCTTCCGCTTCTCGACGCAAACTTCTATTCAATGATGAAGATTAGGATACCTCGTCATATTGTGATAAAACGTATGCCAAATATTCAAAACCATTTCTTTTATTTTTTTATTTTTATTTTTGTATAACTTTGACAATTTCCCGGACACTTTACTCTCTTAAATGAAATAACAAAATTTTGTCGATATCGCTAACAACTTAAAAATATTTGTCGCTTAGTTGGCGATTTTTCGAGTAGTTTACGACAATAGCGAGAGCGAATATCGTTATAACAAGTACACCGAATATTAAAATCGTTAGAATTATCGCAAAGTCTTCTTTGCGATCCGAAAATCGTTATACTAGTCTTAGAGAATAGCGAATATCGTTAAAAATATCGTTAAGTCTTCTTTGCGATCCGAAAATCGTTATACCATTTTAGAGAATAGCGATTATCGTTAAAAATATCGCTAAGTCTAATTTGCGATCCGAAAATCGTCATACTGTGCTTAGAGAATAGCAAAATCGTTAAAATTATCGTTAAGTCATTATAACGATCCGAAAATCGTTATAATACGATAGAGAATTGCCCTGCAGGCTTCTTACTGAATCTCGGGGAGAAAGTTTAATGCCGTTCTTTTGCAAATAGTTTTTGTATTTATATATATAAATATATATAAATATGATACAATATATATTGAAACTAAAACTATGTGTGACGCGATTTTTTTGTGTACAAAATATCATAGTCAGTTAAGCGCCACGTTCTACCAAGAGCCTACCTCTGACTCTGCGGTATAGGGACTCAATAATTTTCCCGCGTAAAAGCATGCCTGTGGTAAAAGGTGACTACAATCCAAAAGTTCAACAGTCGGATCTCTATACCGGAAAGATCCGGATTCATATCCAGCCCAGGACTCTCACTCCCGCAACATTCTCCAAAACGTACTTTGGACATGATACAATAATAATAGATAGTCATTATCTTTTCGCAGTCGGCTTCATATCTATCTGACATTAAACGTGTTTCGTCTTTTTTGTGCTGCCATCTTGTCTTAAAAAAGTCTACCATTTTTAATTAAAAAATGTGTAGAGAAAATCCCATGATTTTTGATTTTGGAACCCTTGTTAATGAACCTCATCAAGACATACACTCGTCTTTCATGATTGTTGCATTACAACATTAGAAAATTGTAAGAAAGTATCAGAAAGGGAATAGCTTAGTCGACTAAGTTTCCAAACACTTTTGAATTCAATCAAATCGTAAAATATATTGATATATGGAAATATAGTCAGGTAGTTAGTTAAACAGGTTGCTCGATGTTGGTTCTGTGAAGAAGATTCCTCTCACTTTTCCAGGAGATTAATGATGCCTAGAGATGCTTTCTCTGCTAAGCAACCGGAGCAGAAATTTCAGAGAAATCAATAACGGAAAGCACTTAGAGCTGGGCAGTGGTAGAGAAGTTGTTGGAGAAACATCCCATTCTTCTATCACGATTCCCCACAATACATTGTTCGGTTAATACGCCGGTTGTTATGCTTATGGAGGTCCTGCTTAGAAGTAGTAGATACTTAGTTTTCTTCACTTCGATCAACTGATCGACCACACAGTTCTCTGGGGTGTCCCTATGACCAGGTAGCCAAACCAAATTGAATATTTTTTTAAGTAAGATAAAACATTTCTTAGCAAAAACGTTTAGCGAAGTGAAACCACTTTATAGAATTGTTGCATCATAATATTATACTTTGGAGCATGTTTTTGCGGCACAAAAACATAAACCATTTTTATTTTACTCGAATATTCGGTATTCTAACATAGAAATTTGATATTTTTAAAGGAAAGAATTCGCACACGTTTGGCATTTTCAGTAATCGTTAAAATAACAAAGTATACCTAAAAATAAAGTCAAATAGAAATTCTCACTGGTTAGCAAATGTCTGAATAAATTCCTTATCAACGGCGCATAACTGCAAAGTTAATTCTCTTAAAATTTATATGTATTTACATACAGACATGTACCTCGCTACATGAATTAATGTACGTATACTTTGATGAATCCGAGTGCTATTTGTTTATTTATTCTACATGGCGTTGATTTGTACATATTTATGTACGAGTATATTTAATGTATCGCATAAGAGAGATTGTGTGAATATCATTTTTTAAATGCATGCTACAATCCAAATCTTTCGCTTGTATATATAAAGTTACTGCTGACCCTGTACTTAAAAATATACATTGCAACAATGTCTGCATTGCTTAAAGTGAAAAAAGCCTACTTTTAGCCGCCCCCTACTAAACCCTGTTGTGCAGTGAAGTAGTGGGACAAATCGGCGACATAGCCGTTCACTTTCGAACAAAGATCATAAATATAATGCCCAGACGCCAATATCGAATTATCATCGGCATGTGAATGTCGCGATGACGTAAAAGATCCGACAATAAGTAACCCAAAAATACCAGGAGTCCCATTTGACTGCCTCCACTTCTTCACTCTGCATACGACCGAAAAACCGGCCAGTCGTAAACTATGCTGCGCCGATCTGGGCGCCGGGGACGAACGAACCGCCGTCAGCATCGCGACAGGAAACCTCCTGATGTCGCTGGAGCATCACTTGAACAGTGAATCATCTATGCTACGAGTTAAGGAGCATAATGCTTTGCTGTGCAAACAATTCCTATTGCTATATAGGCACATCAAAAACGGAGTACAAGTCATAAAGGACACCATCCAGCAGCACGTTCAACAACCGCTGGACAGGACGGCGTAGAGACAAGCACTGAACGCGATTCCCCTCAAAGATTTCATTCCCGTGAATGGCGTACTCGGAGTTACCCATACCATATGAAGAGCTCGAGCTGCCTCGAGAGACCCTCGTGATACTGGCTCCGTTTAGGTCTGGATAATATGGCAGATTAAGCTCCTACTTATCCAGACTCGATCGACGCCAATGTGCCCAACGTATGCCCTACATGTAGAGCGTCTCAGCATACCACTATCGACCTCTTTAGTTGTAAATAACCTTTTTTTCCCGGGGATAACAGTAGTTTTCCAACTCAACAAAGCAATAATCCACCAAAATTCTGCAAATCAAGTAAATCGAACTATAAATAAAATTTTTTAATAGGTCTGTCTCCGCTATGATTCCCAGAGGATAAAATAGCCTTCTTGTTAAAAAGGAAAATGTCATCTTTGTATCAAAATTCAAGTAAGTCCTGCCATAAATAAACTTTTTTCTACCACCTGTGTACCGAATTTCAAGTAAATCGAGCAATAAATACAATTTTTTAAAATATGTCAATCATTGATCCACTCTTCCTGTTGGCCTAAACGAAAAGCCACCGTTGTACTGAATTTCAAGTATATCAAATCATAAAAAAGATTTCTTCGAATAAGTCAGTCCCTGGTCCACTTCCCGTAAATTTTTACGTAAAAACCTTCCCAGGAATCATAGAAGCAATCTGGGACAACCTCGTATATAAGGTTTTTATATATAATTATTATTTGTGGTTTTGCCTCTTGATGTTTTTCCAACAAATGGAGGGACCAACTTGTACTAATAAGCAAATTGTAGCTAATATTTTTATTTCATTATAGTAGATAGGTGGCGAAATATAATGAGGCGTTCACAAGTTCGGGTTCTCTCCCTCATTTGCAATTAAGTTTAATTCGGGTAATTGCATTACACGTTCTCTTCATTTCATACGTACACCATATGTACACACATAAATAACTTATGACTCATAAACATTCTAAACAACAAAGTTATTGTTATATATTTAAAACCATATACCCCCGGCTAAAAAAGTGTAAAATAAACTTCTAATCATTACTCTAATTATTCATAGCTTGTTTACTGGAGCAACTAAAATCCAACCGAGATGAAATATACACATTGACATTAGGAAGCCATAACAAGTCAAACATGGCATATATACATTTGTGGGTTTCAAATCAAACATCTGTAAGCAGAGCCAGCATTGTAGGCTACACTAAGCCACAAAACACAATAGAAAGCACACAAGTGAATATTTATCATAAGAATATTATTTGACGCGTATTTAATGGCATAACCACACAAAAATAACTGCATGTTCACTTTAGCACGAACAAATATTGCAAAAAATTACACAAATTTATATATTTTTGCTTTTTTTTGTAGAATTAAATTTCTATTACTTATTTGCTTACCCATAAAGGTATTGACTGTCAGTTCATTGTGATCCCGTCCTCCACTACTACCTAACAGCGGCTGCGATTCCCGATTGTCATTTCCTGAATCCATCATGGAACCACCTTCGAAATCGACCTCTGGCACCAGGCAGATCTCGTCTCCGTCGTCAGCGCTGTCGTAATGACGTTGCAATGTAGATGTTACCAGCTGATTTGTTTTGGTTTGTAAATTTCGCGATGTCGCTGACCGTGGGGGCAACGTATCTGACAATAATGGCGATTCACGACGATTTACACTAGACTGCTGCGTTGGAGATGCTGTTCCACTGACATATTGCGGAGAAATGTCAGCATTTATATTACTCTCACTGGCACTACTAACACTAGTGCTGCTACTACCACTAGCAGCACGTCGATGCAGAGAAGTAGTGCTAACAACCAGTCCATTATTTAGCATTGGCGCTGCGTTTGGTGAGAGTGATATAAAACTATTGGTATTCGTGTTGTTGTGCGTTAAATTTTCTTGTAATAACAAAAGTTGATTTCTTGTATGATGGTTTTGTTGCTGTTGTAGGCTATTATGAGAGTGGAGGTTGTGCGAGTTGAAAATGTCGCTCTCATCAGTGACGATGCCGTTGCTGATATTACCTTCAATAACTTCTCCATTCAAATTATCGTTTCTGTTCCGAACATTAATATCAAGTCCGTTTTTGCTTTTACCGTCAACAATTGAATCATACACTTCGACGCTTTCATCATAATCAGATTCATCGTCAACTGATAACAAAACATGCTCTCTCCGAGACTTTTTCTTCGATTTCTTCTTTTTTCTTTTTGTTTTGTTCAGTCCAATTGTATTTATCTGTGAATGAGAAAAGCATTATTATCAAATTTTTCTGTGGGCTTCTTGCAACAATTTGCTGCAGTTTTCTTATAATATTAGATCGAATTTAATCAAACAATTTCTAAATACATACATGTGTACACAAAATTAATAGAAAAATGTTATAAAAATTTTTTATTTATTTTTATTCTAATCTTATCACAATTTTTGTTATAAATATTTTTCTCACCTCTACTTGAGTTACAAGCTTTGTACCGTTCGTTGACCCTGCGGATGCGCCGAATCCCTGCTCGTTTGATACTGCAGCTGCAGCAGCGGCTTCATCTTCAGATAATGTGCTAATTAAATCAACTCTTTCTACTTGAGTCAATGTTTTATTTTCAGACGACATTGAAGCTATTTAATTTTTGCGCTGCCTTCAAAGAAGACAGTTAATATAAAGTATATTTAAAGCAAAATATTGCTCTTAAGAAAACTTTACTTGTTTCTCTCTTCAGGATAGCACACAATCTTATCATAGGCACATGCCAACATCTGTTAAATATTTCGCACCGATTCCGTTCTGACCTGGTTACTAAAAGCTGTCTTATCCTTTGTATTTCTTTCGTTCTTCTAATATTTGGGAATTATACCTCATTAATTTTGCTAATTTTATTGATTTCTTTTCTTCTTTAATACGCAAATTCTTCCTTTGTTTGCTTACAGTAATTTATAATTAACAAGCACTTTGTTGCTGTATTTTCTTGTGATCTATTGTACGTGACTTTTTCCTATTGTATTTAATTCGCTTAATTCACTCGCGCTCACAGTTCACGCAAATAGATCTGAATATTCTTTAAAAACTGCAAAAAGTTCCTCCCTTCCTGTCTGAAACAATCAAAAACGCAGAAAAAAGTTACATTAATTATCAAAAATGACAGCAGCTATCAGAGATTATTTGGCATTTGAAAACATGGGTTGCCATGACTGCAAACGGCGGCACTTATGTTACAATTAATAGTTCTGTTCGTTCACTAGATAGGCAGTAAAAATTTTTATCAAAGTTTTCTGTATCGTGCTCGTTGAGCCGAAACCCCAGTAAAAATTTGTAACGGGAAAACGTAATATTAACTTTTATTTGGAAAGAAACTTGGAAATTCGTGCTGATATATGATCATCGCTGTGTTCGTTGAGAAATGTTAGTAAAAATTACCCGAACGTAATTGATAGAGTAAGATGTTTACTCTCACAAATAAAGATTTTACAAAGTTTTCACCGAACAGGAATTCTATAATTTATCAGAAAGCAGTGGCGACCGAAGGAGCCGCATAACAAACTCGAAGCAAAGCTGCTAAGGTTGCTGCAGCGGCCACAATGAGAAAAATGCATTACATTTTTAAATTTTTAAATTTTTAAATTTTTTGATGCACAAAATGAAATATTAGGAGCATTTAGAAAAGAAAAATAAAGCTCTTGTTTGTTTTTTATTTGAACAGAATCGGATGAACTCTATAATAATGTTTGGTTAAAATGGCCGGCTTACACAAAAAAAGAATTTTAAAGTTATTGTCATATTTCAGTCATATTTATGCAAAGCAAATTCTACATCAGTCCTCGTTCTTTTAGAAATAATAAACTGTATAAATGAACCAATTCAAAATTAACCGCCAAAATTAACAGCTGTTCTCATTATTTTTTACTGGATCCTGTTCGTTGAAAGCTCAGTAATCTTCTCTCTTTTATGTCAATTATGTTCTCTCAATTATGTCACTTGCTGGCTTTTACTGACATTGCTCAACGAGCTGCACTATTAGTAGGGCTTTTAGACATTTTTCCTCAGGACTTTTTGATAAGGGATTATCCATTAATCAAAGCTAAGCTACCAAGTTTGCTTACGATGAAAATTTTAATAAATGAAAATATTTTATCGTTTTTGACGCTCAGATTATAACTTTTAACACTTTAATTTATTTGTGAATGATATATAATATATGAGAAAAAATTGTAGAACCCTTCAACACGCCATGATGGGGACGAATTTTTGAGGAAAACCTACTTTCGGCTAGATAACGCTTCTTGCATATGGCAAAGTGCAGCAAATCAAAATTGAAAAAAAAAATATATAATTTGGAGGCTTTTGGAGGATGACTCCAAGGCTTGTCTTTCGAATGTTAATAAGCAGTACTAACCACTCGGCTTTTGTGGTCGCTGATTTAGAGAACTTTGCCGGAGTCTGTATCTTGAAGTAGTGGCAGCATCAGTGAAAAATTAAGAGGAGTAAACTTTGTGTTCATGTAGTGTTATACTTGTATAGTTAGCAAATTATGTGCTAATAAGATATACATATATTAAACAATATATTAAACATCGAGCCGTTTTCAGTAAATCGTAGCTATGAACGAGAAACTTTTTGCTACGCTCCCTAATGTGTTCTTGATCTCTGAGCCAATGTCTATTTTAAGTGGCAACGCTTTATTTAAAAACAGAAATCAGCTGCTCGCTGCCTGTGCCATTTAGCAAAGGAGCCGACTGAACACCAAAAACGCAGGAAACTAATGTGGACTTTCAGGTGCGGGGCAGAAGCAAAACAAAACTTTAATATTTTTAACTCTAAAACGAAAGAAGTAAATTTTCTTAAAACAAAACGCAATGTACGAATTGGACAAAAATGCCTTCAGTGAATAAGTTAAAAACGACAACGAAAAACAAAATTTTATAATAATAAAATATTGTACAAGTAGCGCAATACCATAATTGGAATCATTTGTATCTGCTTACCCACCGGAAAACGAGAACTCGAAATATTAATACTATACAAAGGCAAAAAAGAAAAAAATAACAACCACGGGGAGCTGACTGGAAGCCTCAAAATCTTAAAAACGTTGAATTCAGTAAATCTCAAAGCGCTGTGCGCACTGTATCTGAAATGAAATGAAATTGTCCTGGTTTGATCAAGTATTTGAGTTAGTTAGTGCGAGTACATTGAAATTGTACGAGGACAGCGGTCGATTTCTCCATCAGGTTATTGGCAATCAAACGCAAGCGCTAATACTATTACAAGAAACGTGGCGTGCTAACGTGTTACATTGGGTGGCACTTTTGTATCGACGCTTCAGTTCGACAGCAATCGAAGCCCTGGAGCATATAATTTACGCGTGTCTGGTATACTTTCTAGTATGCCTTGGCATTTTTTACACAACACGCAGCAACAGCCCTCTGTGGCGTTGGTGCAAACTAATCAACAATGTACGCTTTCCAAGACAACACAAACTGGAACGCGTTCTACTGGTTACTTCACATCCCGACGATGAATGCATGTTCTTTGGTCCACTAATATACACCTTGACACACCGCTCCGATTGTCAAGTATATGTTTTGTGTCTATCCAATGGTAAGTATGTGACATTTCTTTTGTATAACTTATATTAAAGTATGTATGAAAAACATGAACACATGATGTATTTTATTTTACTTATTAATTGTGGTAATGTTAATAGTTGTAGTTCAAAATAATATTATTTACAGGTAATTATGAAAAACAAGCTCAACTAAGGCGTGAGGAATTATGGCGTTCTTGTGAGATGTTAGGAGTTCCAGCGGCCAATATTATAATGGTGAATGCAACGAATCTACCAGATGACCCGAATGTTGAATGGAAGGCACCGGTGGTTGCAAATCTAATTCTCCACACCGTCGAAAGTCTTGACATTCAAGCGATTTGTACATTCGATAGAGAAGGTGTGAGTCAGCATCCCAATCACAGTGCTGTTTACTTTGCAGCTGCCTCCCTGTGTTTAGCTAATTTATTACCAAAAGGTGAGCATGTGTGTAACTGTCACTTGCAGTCATTTATGAACTTAACTTTGTTGTATATTGATATTGTTTTTATGTTTTTATTATTAATTAAATTTTTCGTACAAAATTTCACAGATTGCAAATTTTATACGTTGGACTCCATAAATATTTTAAGGAAATATATTTCAATTTTCGATTTACTTTGTACATGCTGTATTTCTACTTACTGGTGAGTTTATATAACTTATTTTGTTTATGGTTTTAATGTATACGGCTGGCTTCATATTCAACTGCTTCATACCTTAAAATACACAATTTTGAAATATTCTTAACAGTGCAAAATCGTATCTACCCGTGGCCTTTTTTAAATTTTACATACTTGATATCCTTAATATTGTATGCATTTAAAAAAATGTTTCTAAATAGTTTGTGCCTCGTTTTTATTTTTAAAAATAAGCATTGACCCAATAGTGTTACACAAGTATCGTGGCTTCAAGGGCACGCATTATTAGATATATTGTCTATTTCCTAAGTAATTTATAGGTACTTATAATTGTATACATGTGCATATATATTACATACATGTAAATTTTGTATAGTGTGTCCATGGAATGGTTTTGTAAGCAAACCGACTTTAACGGCTCCACATTATTTTTTATTCTAGGATTATATTTTGTTCGTAAGATTACAATAAACAAAAATAATTTTGTTCTTAAAACAAAAAATTATTGTTAGAATAAATCAGTTGAATAAAGAATAAATCCTTAGATGCAGAAATATTTAGAATTAGTAACGTAAGCTTATTTCCTTTGTGAGTTGAATTTTTATTTAATTTTTCATTTACGCTTATATGCTTGCAGGTGCATATTAGGCTGGGATGAGGCAGCGCAGATACGCCGCGCAATGCGTGAGCATAAATCCCAAATGAAATGGTTCCGCTGGTTGTATATTTACTTTTCACGTTACATGTTCATAAATTCGTTGCGTGAGGTAAATCTTTCGGACATCGAATTGGAGATGCAAATTGATGATAATTCTTTTTGATTTGCATAAACGTTTGTTAGCTTTAAACAATGCCGCAGTCACTCAGCCAGCCAATAGCGAAAACTATAAAAAATAGAAACAAATAAAACAAGTCAATAAATTGAACTGATGCTAAAAATAAAATTAGACAAACCAGACGTATGTCGCTGTAATAAGTCTGTGTGTATATACATACATTTTTGTATATATTTACGGAATTGAAAACATTGTATATGTGCCAGCAAACACTGTATTTGTACCAGCAGCAAGATAAAATGAAAGAAATGCAACAGACAACAAAACAATAACAATAACAAAAGCATAATAATCAAAGTCTAAATAAAAAAAAAAACTTTACATATACTAAGAATGATGTGAGGCATTATTATTGCCGGTTGCAAACAGGCAAAAAAAAATAAACTTTTACAATTGAAAACATAAATAAGTGCAATAGTTGACCGCAGCAAAAACAAAAGCTAGGCCAAATATAAAATTTGGAAATTGGGTGCCAAGCCCGTGGTCCATAGTCTTACATTAAAAAAGAAACGTGATGCCATTTGAAATTGTGTAAGATCAACAAACATAATTACAACAAATGAACCTCTACATACTACAACTTAATACTTAATATACTTAAGTATATATATTTGTGTAAACATACATATATACAAATATACGTATATTTTAAGTAATGTGGGTACATTAAATTCTAAAACACATATCTGAACATGTTTAAATTTTCTTCCAATCTACGTTTGCTTTTTTAACAATATTTTATTACACTCATAGAAATTTTAATAGAAAAATATTCTCCCTCATATCAGTGATTTTGAGGAGTTAAAAGTGGCATTAGCTTTAATGCGAATAATGCGGGATGATCGGTGTGTGGTGGTTGTTTTTATTTTATTTGTATAAATTAATCCACAAAGCCAATTTATTACACGCTTATTATTATAATTTACTTAAAACACACTTATAAGATACAAAATTCAATATGTAAATATCTACACAAAATGTGTTTGTATTTAACTAGTTTTTACCTGTTAATATTCTAAATTTTTAGATTTAAACTGCTAATAGACTCAATTTTAAGTTTTTAGCTAACTTCTTAGAGAAATAATCTTTTTATTTATGTACATAACGTAATACATATTTAGTATATATAGTTGTAACAACAGCGAAGGATATACATACCATAAAAATATATAAATATTATAACATATATATTATGTATAATCCCTAATTATATTTCTTAAAGTTTGTTTGAAATTCTTTTTGTTAATTTAGTTACTGTTATACATATACATAAAGGTAAATACGCAGCGATGCAGTATGCATAATAAGTTTCCCTGCATTCTAATAAGCATTGATATTGCGTTTGATACAGAATGTTATTATTAAAATAATTATTTGGGATTTGTTTGTGCCGAACAAAATCTGAAATTTTAAGATATCACTTTAATAATGTAAAAACAAAATGATACTAAAAAGAATTTTAATTTATTATATAAATATAAGATATTTGTGCAAAAAGTCGTATTCTTTATTATGGTCGATACTAATTCCTCTTTTAGAAGGAAGCATTTATATAGAGTGAGTTCCACAAAATCAGTTGCAAAACAACCATATATTGTCACGCATTCCTAAATGCAACTGTGCGAACTTTGACGACGTACCATGTTCCAAAATGCATCGGTAAAGTTATTGATACGCAAACAAAAGTAATTTGCTTACCGATAAGGTTCTTGATGCTTTATTTTATTCTAATGATTTTTTTTTAAACATTATATTACTTACTTTTTTGATCTGTTTTATATTTTAGACTTTTAAAAACGGTTCAAAATGTCAGAGTTTGCAAAGTATTGTGGCTAGGCAAATTTATGGAATGATGTAGGGTTGCATTGTAAGTGCGTCAACGGAGTAAAACCCCAAGTAACCAAGCTTTGGGCCACAGTCAAATCGTTGTCAAAGCGGACAAGACGTGATGGTTGGACATTTAATTCGGTGATCGCCATAAGCTGGGATGCTACCGCAGGGGACACCACAGAAGACAGTAGAAGCCTAGGCACATGAGGAAGACAGTACTCGACTATAAGAACTGTATTCAGCACCACTTCGTTTGCTGGATCTCCCGATAGATGACCTCGATCTTGCTTGGTCCCACGCGTGGTTGGACTTGCCGCTAAAACCACAACAAAAACAAGAATGTCGAAACGTTTTAATCATAACACAAATCAAGCTTCAGACAAGGAAACTCCCTTTCGTGCGACTTCTTCCACCCAAAGCTTGAGAAAATAACCACACATCTAGAACTAAATAAAGTTCTACAAGAGCGTGCAACTGAAGGCCTTAGCCGATAATATTGGTGTCACTGGCGTCAACAACCAAACCGTAAGTAGTAAACGAGACCAATGCATGTCCCTAAAAATGGCAACACAGAAAGCGCGTATTTCATCCCAGCTCGTACAGCAGAGACAAGAAGTTGGAAGACGGGTAAAAACTCTTACTGTTCTATTCGTTGCGAAGAAGAGACCTGCAGCAGAAATTTTGCGAACTATTCCCAGATGTTATATGGATAATAATGGCGTATCAATACGAACCATGTAATAAGATTTTCTCATTTCGTTTTTTGGAATAAACTAGTAAACACCTTGATAGGGTAAAAATTCAGAGGTTTATCAGCGGAGTAAAGGACATTGACGATGATCGATGTGCATAACAGAACTATAGAGAAAAAAATGTGGAATAACCACTTAGTATTGGTTATAAGTCGCATACAGTAATAAGCGAGTAGCCATGGAAGACAGCGAACAGACTCCACCAAAATAAGAAGCAGTTGTCTGGGCAAATTTTTATGGAGAATGTGGGACAAACGATTTGTGGATTGTTGAAGCAGAACAAAACTCTACACCAGGCTTACTCATTGGTATAACGTTGGCCCAGTATTCCAGTATTAGATGAATTCAATAAAACCTGGAATAGCATTCCAGTGTTAGATGAATTCAATAAAACCAGGAATAGGTCTGTGTTGGGACAATGTCAAACGGTGAACGCCATCATTAACTGTAATTATTTACCTGAAGTTGATTCCATTGGCAAAAAGGATATGGTAAAAGGCATAAATGAATGGACGGAGGATCGGAACGCAAATACCAGCATAAACTCAGACAACTTCTTCGAAAATGCTCCAACATATGCGAAAAGAATGGCGACAAGCCAGAGGACCATCATCGTAAAATATATGATGTTATCCAACCAACGGCCAGTTCATGGAGTTCTGCGGTAATACATTTTGAGAAAGAAAAACGGTCGGTTACGGTTCTGCGTGGACTATCCGAGGTTGAATGATGTGTCAAAGAAAGACATCTAATAGTTACCAATGATCGATTACACTCGAACTCGTTGACTGGCACGGGAAGGTTTTCAACACAACTCCAGAGTGGTGATTGGAAAGTGGATGTAAGAGAGGAAGACAAAGAGAATTTTCTGGTAACGGTCTTTGGTAATTCACCGTGATATCCTTTGGATTTTGCAACGTTCCAGTTACTGTTTAAATATTAAGGGATTATGTTCTTAAAGGAGTACATTGGAAAGCATGCTTGAGGTATGTAGACGATATCCTCGTATTGTACTGTCATCAGGTAATATGAATAGGCGTAGCTTTCTTGGCCTATTCCTTTTCTATCACCGATTTGTTCCGAATTTTACCAGCATTACTAATAGCATCCATGAGCTAATTAATACAGCAGCCGGAGAAAACAGTTGTCTATAGGAAAGGAGTTATGACGAGAATTCTGAATTCCATGCTCCGTCGACCATGTAGTTTGAAATGCAAACAAATCTCAAAAAGCGAGGGTAAAGATGAAATAATAGATGTGATGCTTTTGACCAAAGATGACTAGATACGAAACTTACTCAAATCGCAGCTGAGAGCGTTCCCCCATCTCACATTCTAATGAATAAAGAGTTTCGTATCTAGTCATCATTGCTTTTGACAATTACATCGACAGAAGAGCGGGGGTAGTCAAATACGGAAATGTCAACAGGAAGATCCGGACTTTGAACTTCTATTGTACGGACTGAAGATAGACAGACGGCCTAGAAAGCAGCAAAGTTGAGAATTCCGGATGTTCTTGGGTTGGATTATAAACTTCCAGGAGTATATTGCAGCTAAAAGGATGCAAGGACAGATGCAGCAATCTAAAACAGATCCTCAATTTGAGCGATTTAACCGAACCCGGAAGGAAACTTGGGAATGGTCGGAAACAAACATCAGGATGTTTGGAATATTCATACTTCTGTTCTTGATAGGCTATCGGTCCACAGTGGACGAAACAACGGGTAAAACACCAACTTTCGGTAGTGAACTCCGCTTATTTAATGATATGAAGCTGGAGTAATTGGTGATGAGAAGCATCTAACGTCCTAGAGAAAGAACTCAAAGAGATATACGCTCTTGAGAACAGTGAAATAAAATTTAGTGAAATTTAGTGTTGCTATATAAGCCATTATGAAAGGAAAGTTATGTCCACCAGAGGCGAGGCACCGAGCGGACGTCGGCCTTGAAGCAAGCGGTTCGCTATATAAATGTGTAAAAACTTTAAACGATGCCCTCGTAGGAATAAAGACTGGCTTCACCGGCGTCCAAGAAGAGAGATGTACGTCCATACGCGTAAATTTGGTGTCGGGACCCGAAGAGAACTACTTGCGAGCGCTGTCGCCGTCACGATTTTTTTCGATTGATTTTCAAATCAAATAGCAGCTGCTTTGAATGTTGCCGATGTCGTACCCGCCGGTATAATCGCATATTCGCGGCGTCTACGCTAGTAAAGAATAAGAAGAAGTATAGTAAAGATTTATTGATTAACAATATATTATTTATATTAATTTAGAAAATCATTACAGCACGCTAAATTTTTTTATTAGACTCATTAATCGAACCCTGGGATTTGGAAAATCATTGGGTTGTAATTTACAAAATTCGGTTCAATATAACAGCCAAGAAGTGTCTTATCTTTTTCTGAGCAGTGGATATCTGGCAGCACTTTTGAACAGCTGATACATTTTAAAGAAAGTGAAAGTTCAATTTATTAATTATGGTGATAAATCAAAATGATAGACAGCTACAAGTAACATAAGCTTGTGGATATAAAAAGTATATTATAGTGTTTGTTGTTTCAGTAAATAAAAAGAAATGAAGAAACAAAATGATAAGGATCTGATATAATATAAGTTAGTGTCTTGTTACAGTATAAATTTATCGCAAAAGGTTTGTTGTGTTATAATCTGGAAAGACCGAAACTCACTTTAATTTACATAGTTTTCATATGCGTGAAATATCCGCATCTTTTCCTCAGTAAGAACACGTCAGATCAACACTGTAAATCGGAAACATACAGCCTATATAGATAAGACATTATTAGCATTTTGTTTTAGTAGTATTTAAAAAAAAAAAAAAAAAAATGACCGCAAATGGATCGTAAAATTTGTTTAATTGATAGATTTTGCCACTGAATTTCCCAGCAGTTGTGTCGAAGATACCTTCATTGCACTCTATGGCGATAAAGTCGTCCGGCACATACTGGCTAGGGCAGCGGTCAAGGGCACGTTCTAGACGGTCATAAAAATTGCCTTTTTTACATCGTCCTCCTCTTTCGTCGGATCGTGGACGCAAATTGGCGATGTGTTGAATGTCTGTATTCGGCGGCAGAGTCTCTCTACATATTTCACCAGGGCCAACCTTCTACCGTCCTTCGTACTTCTTGGACGGCGGTGATGTTATCCTATAGTTTAAGAGGATATCAACCAAGTGCGCGAAGAGGGTTAAATTTAACACTTAGTTGTATTTCGAAGCGTTATTTGAAGACCAACGCCGCCTCGCAGTACCAACTCTGACGCACATACGCGGTCAAAAATATCCATCGTCCATCGGCAGACAATGTCAAGTGTATTTTTATTTTTAACAGAAGTTCATTTAATGTTCTTGATACGTTTTCTACAATGTTGAATTCGTATTTACAAGGCCCCAAACCATAATTTCACGATTAACAAAAGGTTTTTTTCCGGATTAAGGCTAGGGTATTGTGCTGTTTTGATTCCGAATAATTAACTTTACTATTTTAGGGGAATATATTCGCTTTTTATTTAAACTCTTGGATTTTATCTTACTATTTTTTTAATCTACACTAATTTGTAACGAAACAACAATAAAAGTAAAATAAAATAATTATTTTTATTTGTCTGTATGTATGCTTTAGCAGTATGTACAATGTAATGTATATGTAAAAGGCTTCCTCAAATATATACGTATGTATACATATGCGTATGTAAATATATCGTTATTTCATTCTTCTTTACGGCATCGCTTGTATAATTTCATGCATTAAATTGACTTGTAATCTAATTGTAACGTCACCCGAGCGACTTCCACAGCTGCCAACAACAAGCTGAACACAGCAGCTGAGTCTTTCATTCGCCGATTTCATATTTGGCGAGAGTGCTGGTTGAGTAATATTTAATCTTACACTTAGTGACACATTAAATGAAGGAATTTAAGTTTAGTTGACGCAAAACAGTGGTAAAGAGCAAACATCAATTTAATAAGAATATTTAGCGCAAGATGAATATCCACTTGGATTTAAATAAAGTATTAAATATTAGAAATATAGAACAATTTTACAGAATATGGATAATAAACAAAATATTTAATTCAAACTCTTCCATTACAGCTAATAATTATGTCCACAGAGGCGGAATTTCTCGGCGCCTATGAGCGCATCAAAGCCTTCAACCAACGTATACTCGCTTGTTTAGAAGAAGGCATCGCCCATGAAGAGCACGAAAGGCCTCTGGAGGCGATTGCCGCATACGAAAATTGCTTACAACAAATTGAAGAAACATTTGGGTTGTCTGTTGGACTACCGGATAATGTCGATGCTGTTGCTGCAGAGTGGAAGGAAGCTTGTACTATAGTACAAAGATTGAAGAGTGCCAAAGTTGAAGTAAATTATCGTTTGAAAGTGTTAAAAGTCAAAAACTCCCCTGTTGATACTGCTGCTGAGGAGGCAAATGAAACAGTTATCGTACCGGAAGATACGGATGCTGGACCTTCTCCGAAGAAAAGATCTCTTTTACTTGAAAATCCTGTGATTCATGAGGGCTCTTCTACTGATAAGAACTTAAAAACTAGCGCCACAAATAATTATCGTAAAGTTTTATCGGATCTGAGGCGGGTCATGGCAGACCCTTTCAGTGTGGGCATACTCTTTGATACACTGTTTCATTCTCAAGCAAAATTGTATAAGATTCAACCTGATGGTGTTGTTGTTACTATGGTTGGTATAGTTGATATTTCTGATTAAGATTTATTTATTTGATATTTGATATAAATTTGATAAACCGCAAACCTGTTTTGTTTGCTTCATTTATCACACACACATTTTTATATACCATGAAAAATCTTTATACACATATACATGGTATAATATGTGTAAAAGTTTTACTTTAAATTAACATTGCCTTCATAACTCTTCAATGATTAATAAACATACATACAATAAATTTATTCCGCAGGGCGAAACTTCCATGTCACTGGTTATGTGCACTACTCCAAGTAGCGATCAATGGAAACATTTGAATGGCATCTCGTTTGTACAATGCACAATTCCTACGAATCAATCTATGGATAAAAATGATAAGGACCAAATTCATGTACCAACAAATGAGTCACCGCAAATGATTTGGCTCTATGTTCTTCTACCAACAATAACTACTTGTTATAGGACAAATTATGGAGCTTTTATTCTGCCAGATTTGGAAATTGATGAGCCCGGACATGCGTTTGGACTAATGCTTATCGAAGAGCAGAGCACTGTTGATGGTGGCGCTGAGCAGGCGGCTGCACAGCCAGAGGAGCCAGAAGAATTGAGTGACTTACAGCAGTTCTTCTTGGATCTACTCGAGGCGGTACTTTCTGGCCGTGTTGAACTTTTACAACAACCAATAGTGACGCCGAGAGTGCCACGTGATACCAGCGAACAGGTCTCGCGCCACATCGTCACGGCAGCCGATTTCATAGCGCGCAATCTGGTGCGCGGTGCCGAGAAGACGGGTGAGTTAATGGTAAAAACCACACCGTATATCATTTCGAAAATGAATGCCGCACCACCAGATGCGCCGCCAGTCTCGTCGACAGTGCAAACATCAGTGACGGTGGCACGGGATGTGACGCATGCAGCTGCCGGAGTCACCGGTTGGATAGCCGGCAAAGTGGGTTCCGCCTCGATGGCTATTGGTCGCTACTTGGCACCTCATGTACAAAATGCTGGCTCTACATTATTACAGAAGGGTCTTGGTTACGAAACTAGCGAAGCAAATAGTAAAATGGAAGGTGCAATGACAATAGCCGCCGGCGCGGTAGAGGGTTTCAGCACTATTTACAATGGACTCGAAACATCAGCCAAAATATTGGGCACCAATTTGAGCGAAAACTCTGTGAAGATTATACAGCATAAGTAATGTATGCTTCCGTTGACAATATTCCTTTAACTCATGCATTTATCTATCAACAGATATGGCACTTCAGCTGGTGGCGTCGCTGCTGGCACCTTTGATACACTTGGCAACGCGTTTAATGTAAGTAAAAATGTCAACTACATTACCCCAAAAGGTCTGGCCAAAAAGATGGCGAAAAATACAGGCAAGGCCGTGATCGATGATTATAAAACTAAATTACGAAACACGGAAACACATTTTGTGACGGCAGGAGCGCTTTATCCGGATTTACGTACTTTAAAGGAAAAATAAAATTTTTAAAGCCGAATTGGATATTATATAATGTACAAGAATACTGATTAATTTTTTCCTAGTGCATTTTATCGCTCAACAGTCGAATATTCGTAAATATATTATATATTATGATAGTTTAAGTTAAACGGTATTTTCAAGATTTCCATCAATTTGATATTATGTACTATATATTACTATTATAAAATCTTTAGACAGTCTCGAAATGAGAATTTTCATTCCAAGAAGTCGATTGAATAACGAGGAGAAGTGCATTATTAAGAATATGCTTTGTTATTTACTGATATGGATACTGATACTCAATTAAAAATTATATTATTGAAATTAACAAACAGAATATTTTTTTATGTATGTATGTACCTTCAGCCTGGGGACAATTTTAAAAGAATGGGAGCTTTGGTAAAGCCAATCCGTTATATTCGGTATAACAAAAATAAGTAGTGTTCACCAGTGGTGCGGGTACGAGCCGGTGTCTGTTCGACCCTATGATTAAGAACCAAATAGAGTAAAAGCATAACATATTATAGCGGCCATATAAAAGTGCGAAAGATTGATATTGATTTGTCTCCTATTTCTGTTTTTATATAATTATAAAATTTCAAACAAATAAATTTTATAAGTTTATTATTATATAAGCAATGTATTCATGAGTCTGTGTGTCAAATAAAATGATTATATTTTACAAATTGTTCATCTGAAGAAAACTAGGTAGCCTGGTTTTCGACTTTTCGTATAGGTCGGTCTTTAGTTCACTACCCACAAAGTACTCATCTTAGTCAGAGCAAAAAGCTACTGAGCTACTCATAACCCTATTCCCTGTCAAATCAGTTATCGAACGCGTCCATACACATATCCATAGAGTTCCAACTTTATTTTCGAATATAAAAATTTAATTCAGAAATAAATTTGATAAGGCGCAAGTACTTCTAAAAATCCCAAAAAGTGAATTTCCTATCGCAACGCAATAAAAATACAGTTTTGAATTTGATTTGTTTAATTTTGATTATTTTATATGTTTTAAATAAGTTGACCTTTTACATTCATTACATTTATGCTTCACAATTATAAATAAGCGTAAAGCAAGTACTATGACGAGTACACTTTTAATCAGTATTTAACAAACCTTTCATTGAGAATGCAGGTGCTTATGTATTTCGATATTTCAGATTTTCAATTTATATCCGTATGCATATTTTTAATACAAATGGAAGAACTTACAAATTAACTTTTCAATAAATTTATATGTATTTATAATGTATGTATGTGTTCTTGCAGTATGCTTACATATAAATATGAACTAAAATATATTGAATGCTTATAAGCTTGCATTTCAGCATATAGTATTGTATGTATGTGCACTAATACCCATATTCCTGATTCCTTGTAATTTCAATTTTTGTAGTACTTTTCTTGAATCCGACTTCAGTACGATGTGAAGACGAAATATAGACTAACAATAGGCATCAAATTTACATCGTAGACAAATCGGATTCAGGAACCGTACCTTCGAAACTGCGATGTTTCAAGAATAGAAGTGTACATTTAATTTTAATACTTATCTAATCTAAGTAGCCTACATACTAATATTTATATATTCTTTTGCATAACATCTCTAAGTAATAAATATTATCTATATATACATATATATACATTTATCATGATTTATGTTTTTACATATACATTAATTCAATATATGTATATGACAATAATATATAATTTTTTAAATATATATATTTGTAATTGTATAAATTTTAACTTAAAATACTTCAACACAAAATTATATAAAATTTCACATATAATTATTAGATATTGCAATTTGCTTGGAGGAACTCTTTCTTACAAATTGCTGAGTAGTTTGAGGTCTATCGAAACTGTACCTGACTACACTGCGTATTTCTTCAACTATTTCAGATGTGCTTTTAAATTTTGTAATATGGCTTACTTTAGTTATTTGTTTAGTTTTTAATTTTTATTTATTTTATTTTATTTTTTTAGTTTTACAAACAATACTCTATGGCACAATGTTGTTACTAGTATGTATGTTGTTACTTTGTATGTATGTCCTATTGGTTGGGTTTATTAAGTAAAGCTAGGACTTTGAGATTGAGGTGTTAGTAGCCGACTGAGATGAGATTTATTATATTTAGAAATGATTTATGATTTTATAATCACGAAATTGGTATTAATTTAAATAAATGAATTTTATCAAATCTTGCTTCTTAAAATGCAAGTTATGAATTTCTAGGGATATCTGCATGTTTTATTTATTAGATGTAGATATGTTTTTAATCCATCATCAAGCCCTGTTCTGAGTTAATTAATTAACACAAACTTCGTATACCCCATTTTTTTTTTTCAAATTTGTTAGTAAATCATGAATTTTTCGCATAAATTATTGATCACAAAAAACAAAGAGCTAAATAAATGTGACAATGATTTCATTTTAACAGCTTATTTTAGCATTCATAACTTACAAGACAAGTTAATATACATATATACAAACGAGAGTAAAAAAGGAAAATATATTGTTGACTCACGAAACTAATTTTACAATAAAAAAAAATAAGTATTTTTTCACATTGGAAGAGCTTAAAGCCTTAAAACCTTATTTCCAGGCATTGAAATGTATGTTTGTATATAACTATGTATATACATACGTATTTTTAATTAATATTTTATATATATCTTTTTGCTTTTCAAATAGCCTAAAATGCGTTTTCTCCTTAGCATAAAAATCATTTTCTTCTTTTTGCACAATGATCGATGTCATGCAAGAGCTTTATATATTTCTTTTTCGATTTATGAACGCTGCAGATTATTAGTTTTATATTCTCTCTCCTGCGCTCACTTCTCCTCACCTTACATGAGCAGTCCCGTGGTAGGTGAGTGTCATAAAGCACTAGATGTGGTTGCGTCTTTAGTTAAATGCGTCTCTATGTCAACGCGGCAAATAGGACAGTGTTTATTTGTAACTAACCATTGGTCGACACAATCAGTGTGGAAGAGATGCATGCATGGCAAACGGCTGCAAAGAAAAACCAAATACTTTTTGTATAGTGGAGGCAATTATGTATGTTAAATTAATAACATTGTGTGGCCTAGAGTGGAATGCAATTATAATTATTTATTCTATTGTATAATTTTGCACCAAGGACATATTCCTACAATAAATTTAAAAAATTAGTCTATTTTTCAACCCTAAAGTGGCTTTAATATTGTTCAACCTGTAGAAGGAATAGAAAAGTCCTGCATTTCAATGGTTAATTTAAAAGAAATGCTAATGTGGTCTAAGTATACTCACCGAACGTCATTCTCAATCTCAAATAATGATAAACAAATGGCACATTTCTCAGCATCCTCATCCGATTCACTTGGGCGGCGTAGACGCTTGTATTTATGCGGCAAGGTGTTGCGTTCAATAATTTCCTGTAACGAAATGCAAATTTTAATTCATTCAAAAAAAAAAACAATTCTCCAAAAGATGTAATTACCAAAGTGGCACCACGATTTGGTCTTATTGCAGACCCAATTAAAATGTGTGGTCCAATATGTGATAGTGGGGAAAGTCCAATTTCCAAATGTACGGGTGAGTAATGATGAAACATGTGGTGGTGTACAGCGGAACGGCGTCGTTGTTGTGCTTCATATGGATAGTAAGCCTAGAACAAAGATTTATTGAAAAAGAAATGGATTTTTTATATGTGAAAATTTTTACCGGATCCAAGCTAGATACCGGTCCATTGCTGGCATGTACACAGGAACAAGTATTCGGTAGTTGAGAACGCCAGCGGAAACTGTTTGTCAAATTGAGTGGGTTCGATGAAAGATCTATGGGTGTGGGTGTCATATGGCGGCGGTGTATTTCCTGTATATGTTGCTGGCGATACCAAAGGTTCTGATGGACAGGATAAGGTGGTGCGGCGCCGCTATGATGGCTACCATTATGGTGGCCAGTATTTCCAGTGGTACTGTTTTGATGATGTCGACCCATAAAATTGGAGAATGGCACACGTGAACGTGCATTTACGGCAAACGAGGGATATGGTAGAGAGCCATTGAGACGTTCATCACCAACGGCAATACCACCGCCATTCGAATGTCCGGCTGCAGCCAGTGATGAAGCAACTTCTGGTGTTGAGCCTGGAGGTGGTACTGCGGTTGCTGTTGCGGATAAGTAGGTGGGTGGTGTAGGCGATACGTCTCGCATGTGTTCTGAACTGCCGTTAGTAGCTTGTGGCATAGCTCGGGCCATTGCGACACCAGTTAATGTGGAATGACTGCGACTAAACGAACATGAAGGAATGACTGAGGGTTCTTGCTGAGTATGATGTGTGCTTCGTTGCAGTGGTGGCATTTCATCTTCAGCTCGTCTATAGTGGAGATAAAATGGCGCTATTTGTGGTATTGGTGGGCTGCTATTACTACTGGTGCTATCGCCACCAGGAACATTGGGGTAAACACCATTGCTCCCAATTCCAGTATTTGAACTATCGGCTAAATCGACGCTATCACTTATGCCACCAGCGGAAACACCCCGAGCATAGCGCGAAGGACCGCTGTGACGACTTTGAAAAAGAAGATTGCTTCCCTCATTGCGACCTTGATGAGGATGCATTGAACCGTGAGCTGCTGGAACACGATTGCCAAACAAATCCTGCAATGACACCTCTTCGATAGACGGTATTGAAGTGATTGAGGTGTCTGAGCTTGGTGCTGCCGACGTGGCTGCGTTGCGTAATACGGGTATGGCTGAGCGGCCCATTGTCGCGGCAGCTGTCGCCATATTCAGTTGTGGTGAACGTCGAAGGCGCCGCATTTCTGGACACATACCGTGTGGTGGTAACTCAAGAACCATGGGACGTTGATGTTGTGACTGATGAGCTTGTTGTGGCTCATAAAACGGATTCGGTGCCGGGCGTGGTAAATACTTGTAATAGCGATTCCGTAGCATTGATGTAAAGCGTTGATGTTGTGGTTGATGGGCCTGCTGCGGCTGGTAAACGGCATGTCTAATACAATTATGATGATGTTGGCCATGCGCTCTAGGTTCATCGGTTTCTGTGTTGGTAAGTGATTGTGTTTGATTGGATGATGCAGGCGAGTCCCACTGTTGATAGCCTGGTGGTACAACGGCATATGGATGTAATAATGGAGCGCCAGATGTGCTTTCTACTCCCCTTGTACGTAAGTAACTCGGATGTGTGCTATTCGAATCTTCAAGTGGTGTTTCAGTGGAATCTGTGGAAGTGCCACCATCTCCGCCACTAATATGACCAATCGCTGGTGTATCATCATCGTTAGTGAGATCAATAGAAAGTATCGGTTCCCGGGTGGAATGCACGAACACGACATCATCATCGTCAGCTGTGGAATCTGACAACCAATCCAATTGTAAGTCGGGTGCAGTTAATACAGCTGCGCCACTGCTGGAAGCATTTAAAGATGTTGAAACTCTCACTGAGGCGGCATTTAAGCTAGGATCTGTCACAGCATTGACGGTCTTGGAAGCATTATTTGATGCAGCAGCTATAGCACCCGAATAAGTTGGCTGCTCATCATCCACATAAGGCTGCATTATTAGCGGTGATCTCACTGGTGTTTCCTCAGTGGGCACGGTAACAGTGCCGCCTACTTCTTCCCCACCAGATGTAGTTGATGTTCTTTGCATAAGATAGTTTGTGTTGTATATATGTGGCTGCTCCTCTATATCACTATCTTCCAATAGCACTACATTGTTGTCTGTAGAATGACCAGCACTATGACCGGCGTAGGTAATAACAAAAGGACCCTGCTCAATCGCCGACGCACTGTCTGAAGGTGCTTCGTTGCTCGGCGGAGTCAACGACCTAGCGTTTTCCTCTATATGTTGCGATGGCGTCGATTGTGGTACCTCATCCACTTCACTAGACTCGTGAACATTCAACATACGCCAGATTTTGCGACGTGCAGTGCGTATATCTGTTGAATCACTGCAGTTAGTATTATTGCGTTCATCTGGTATATTATCGATAGATCTAGACGTATTGGTTCTCACCACACTGGTGGTCATGCGTGGTATTTTAGGAGCCCTCGATGAAATATCTGCCTCTCGACTGGTACTTGGTCGCTCTTGTGAATAAACTTCAGACCCATCACTACCATCTCCTCTGCACTCACGCAGCCAAGCTAACTCATTTGTAACTCCTCCACGTCGAAACTGTTGTTGTTCACGATCTCTGACGCGCTGACGTTCACGTTCGCGCCAACGTAAGAACTCATGAGGATTATGTCTTTCCTGCTGTCCACTCCCCGATGTAGCTGTACTGCAATTATTTTGCGGTTTATGCAAGTTCCAAATAATCTCATCATCATCGTCCCCTCCATCGTCCTCGGCAAGATTAGGTTCACAAGCGGGATTGCTATTGAATGCGGAAAACGCTGAGTTACTAATCGTACGAAAACTGGTTGACGAATGTGCTTCATCAATACAGCTGTTGGGAGTAACTGATTTGTTGTTATTATTTGCCGCACCACTATAACTCGGCAAAGCATCCATGTCGGTTAAATCATCCATATTAGCAACAGAACCGCGATTACTTATCGAACTATTAACGCTGCTTCTTCCACCCACAGCACTCGAACTACTGCTCCCGCTGCTGCTAGCGCCATTAACCACATTATTGCCACCAATACTAGTTGGTTTGTTTTGTTTCTTTGCGGCATACGTTGTTGTAGTAGTGTTGGTAGTACATGTATCCGCAAAATGAGCGCGTTCGGTATCAGACGCTGACGTTACCTCGTCGCTAGTATTTAAAGATATTGGTGAGGTGTTAAATGCTTCTTCAGTTTGTGCTATTGCTTCGCTGGATTCTGGATTTGGATGGGAATGGTTATCATTATTTGTCTCAGCATGGACTGTGGATGCTGGCAAATTTACTTGGATAGCCGTAGCAATACCTACTACAGGAGAGTTATTTTCTGTTTCTTCGCTTCTACAAACATTTGGTGCAGTAGTTGAAGCCACCATCATTTCATCGTCCAGCGAATCTAAGGAGGCACTGCCATCTGCCATAGTTGTGGACCCTGTTTCCATAGCACTGCTGGTTATAGTAGATACCGCAGCATAATGACTCGGCCGAATTGCATTATCTTGTGGCAAAGACATTTGAGCATCCGAAGAGAAAGTGTTAGAATTCAAAGGAGAGCTACTTGATGCAGCACAATTGTTATTGTGAGTAGAGGTGGCCATCATCTTTTTACATTTATAATCGCTCTTTTCTCTCTCAGCAGAAGTTGCAGGTGGAATCGAGAGAACAACACTATCATTTGAATCAGCTGCTGGAGGAGCCCAATAGGTCCCCATAGCGTAATCATGCTCACCGCCAACAGCGCCCGCAACTCCAACTTCTTCGACATCGTGCAGATTAAGAACAGTATTTGTACTGGTGGCTAAATTTACATTCGTACGATTTGCCACCATATTAATATCCATGCGCTCAACTCGTGTCAGTTCATTAGTTGCTAATAAAGCTTGTTCTGATTGTGGATCAACATGTCGTGGTGTATGCATATGATCCGAGCCATGTAAAGTCTCATATGAGGAAGAATTTATCCTGAAAGATGTGTGACATAATTAAATTTCAATATAAGCCTCTAAAGAATGCCTTACCCATTGGTATCATTATGGGTACAATGGCATGTACTTGAGACACATTTGTTGCACAGCATATAGGGATTACGCTGCATTAAACAAGTATCGTAGGCACAACGTTCAGTGGATAGTTCGTCTTCGATTTGTACAGCAGAAGTAGTTGAATGCGCAAGCTGATGTTGTTGATTAGTATGATGATGGTGAATTCTGTGCTGGGGAAGGAGATGAGAATGTACAATAGTGTGATTTTGATGTCCCAAATCATGACGATGAGAATGTACATGATTATAATGATGCATATGATGTCGCACCGGCTGATACATCTGTACATCGATAGAACCAACCATTGGTTGTTCGGATACCGAAGTTGATAGTGCGTTGGTAGCTGGATCATATGACAGAGTTGTGGTAACACCTTCGTAGTGTGCTGTTGCGTTAGGTGGCGTATGTGGTGCGAGTACTGCGGCTGGATAACTATGCATGTTGTGAATATTTGATGTGGCAGAGGCCTCTACCACAGATTCAGTTGGTGTACCCATGTAGAATGTTAAGGGGCTTGGCTTAAAAAGAGAATAAAACAATTTATTACATAAATAATATGTATGTATGTATATGAAAAACTGTTAGTTTGGATATACTAAATGCTAGCGATTTTAGGGCTTCTATTTGGAATATCCGCCTACGAGAAATCCAGCAAAGTTGTACCATTTACCTCGATTGTAAGACCCAAAGTAGATGCACGTTCTCCACGATCATAGACCAGGCCATACGTGGCTAGAATAAAAAAAAGGTAATTCAGTGATATCTTTGGGACCTACTTCTATTTTATTTTTATTATTTGTAAATGTTCAAATGTATGGATGGTAGCTTACGTCCATTCTCGTTGATTTCCATCTCATGATGAAAGGCTGGAACTTCGATTTCGTGACGTATATGTCGCCGCATTTCATCTTCATTGTTCTCCATTGGTTCCCCTGTTTTTGCTTTTTGACTATTTCTTACTTATAAATATGCTCTATTGCACTTTATTGACGATTACCTGCAATCGCAAAATTTTTTTTGATTGCACTTTATTAAAAAGCACAAAGCGAGTCAGCAGAAAACTAAAATTAAAGAAAACAAATCAATTTGTATGTAAAATCCCTAGTTGTTTAGGCATAGTTGAATCATCAGTACATGTACATATGTATGTATATATGTATCGTATGTATATCGCATAATAAATAGAAAAGTGGCAGAACAATAGTTAATAGTTAAGACAAAATCTATATACTATTGGAGATGTACGTTTTGTTGAAGTTTTATTATGTATAGTTATTATTATAATATTTGTAGTTATTATTAAATGTATTTAAGCTTAGGAATATATTTTTATTTATTTTTGAATCTTAGCTTTTGAATTGAAATATTGCTCCAAGCAGATTGTATTACTTTAAAAATTATAAGATACTGCTAAATTTAGCACTTCGAGCAATTATAACGACAGAACCAAAATAGTTATCTTTAGCTAATACTCCACAAACGTCACAATGAATAGTCACACAGACTATATGATAATTTACCGGGTAAGAAAACAGTGCTTAAAACAAATTAAATCGAGATGTGCCATTTTATTTTTTATACGCGATATGTGAAAATAAATACCCATTTATTTTTATATAGTATATGTATATGTACATATCTCTACTAATTTAAGTATATTGATATATTCATATATTTGTACATAGACACAATTGGCAAAATAATCAGAAAAATATATTCAGTTTGTTAAATTATATTAATGGCGCTTTATAACCGCTGAAGGGTTTTTCAGACGAGCTCCTCCTTTAATTTTTGGAGTGCGTGTTGATGTGTTTCCTACAAATAGAACGGCCTACACCTTATACTAACTGCCTCCGAACGATTGCCGTTCTTTTTTTTGTGAGGAGCTTTTATTTCACGACAGAAATAACCGAGAACCGACCGCAGTTAGAAAAACTAACATATTTTTTTATTTAAATTAAATAATTCTATAATTTTTAGAAGTTGGTGCGATCAGGACTCTTTCTGACTATCCAAACTACAGTACGGAATGCTGCTGGCTATTGAAAAACATTACAAATCAAAGTTGCTGCAGCGAAGACGTTACACAAAATGGTATGTTAGTCGTATTTTGAAACGAATAATAAAGTTCTTGCTCTTGCAATAATACCGACTTGCACGGTAAAATAATTAAAATCTCATTTTCGTATTTCAATCATACTCCTTGAAAATCTAAGCGAGAAAGTAAGTTTTACATAAAGAATGAAGTCATATTGATATCTTCAAGGTTTAACGGCTATGCAACATGTGCATAGAATTACATATATTATTTTTGTTTTATATTATATTTTGAATGTAAAATAATCGAAATTTCATTAAAATACTTAAAAGCAGGAAGCAACAAACTGTAAAAAAAAATCAACAGATTTAAATGTAACTACCAAAAATAAACAGCTGTAATGCAACTTGTTGGCTAATCTTTACTGAATCCTGTTCGGTGAGAACTCAGTAAATTTCTCCCTTTGCTAGAAAAAAAATTTACTCTTAATTTCGAAACTGACTAATTCTTACAGATATTTCACACCGAACATAGGTTATATCTCTTATCAACAACAGCTGATTTAGAAAAATAGTACTCAAGGATAAGAAATAAATCAAATTACAAAAAAAGAAAGTCAAATGCTACACTTGTATTATAGTTGAAAAAAAACTGTATACAAATGTATTCTGTTATGCAGATAAGAGTTTCCCATATAATCCGCAATACATATGTATTGTATAAGAAGATTTTAGAAACGTTTCAGTTTTATCTTTTTTTTCAAATATATTTTTGTTATTTCCATTTTCCTATAAGACAGCATTTATAAATTTAATGTAGATCGACGATATTTAATAACGTTAAAATTCTCAAATAGCCGCAGAAACAGCTGTACTCTCAGATGTGTTTTTTATTTCACTTGTTTTCCACTGTTACCCATTCTTCTATGTGCCATTTATAACAGTTTATATACTTACATATTTACTTATGAACAGATTGAATTTAAGCTTGCCGTTTTCTATTATTTTCCCCACCACCTTTTTGCCTTTGGTTACAAATTTGTTATACACATATACAGTGATATTTATACATTCGCTTTAAATTGTTCATTAATTTCATAGAAGTCAAAGTTTCCAACAAATTTAAAGAATTTTTCAGCTTATTGGTATTTGTACGATTCATAGCATCATTATTATTTTATACTCATATATACTTACGTTCACAGATATGAACTGTTCACGTTGACACAACACTATTTATCAACCATTTATCAATTTTAACATAAGCATACATTGCGAACACAAGATTCAAATTCATATGCCATATTGCAAGAGACTCCCTTGTTAAAGTCGATCTCCTACCGCTGGCAGTGCTTATATATTTATTCCTTTTTCTTATTTACGTTGCACTTCCTTTATTTATTCTTTGTCTCTTTGTTTGCCATTCTACCCAGCAAAGTGCACTATTTTTTCTATTATCTGTCTCGGGTGATAATTATCGCAATTCGGAGGATTTTGTGCTAGTTATTGCTAGACATTTGTGTTTATTAATTACATCGTTATATATTTTTTGATAAATTCGCTATTTTAACTGCAAACAAGATCACAAAATTTACTCAGAAACCAGACAAATTATGAAAATTATACGACAACCAGTATGGGACTGATGAGGTTGCCACACGTCACAAAACAAAGGCTGAAGAGTAGAGTTTCAAACCAATGCCCAACTTGTGGAATTGAAGGCGAATTGAATACCAGATGATAACAGAAGTAAAGACGAATTGGGCAAGTAAAACAAAAAAGCGAAAACAGAATTTACGCTACAGGCAGCAGGCTACTACTGTTGATCTGTGCCCTTGTTCACAATGTCCGATTAACTTAACCTTTAACCGGAGGACAGCTAACCGTCAGATAGACTTTTGTTCGCCAATTTCCGGTTACTTAACTTCTAGTTCTAGTTCTAGTTAGTTGGATCAAAAGTGCATGACAGCCAGGATTTGCTTACATTTTTCCACACGATATGATTGAGTAATTCTGTTTACTGGCATACCTAAATTGGAGCGTTCGGCGTAGCGCTTACTTACGTCAATGAGGGGCAACGCGTACAATCCCAAAATAAGAGCGCTAACGCATTGGCGTTTTCTCTTTCTCTTCAAGTTTGCATTACTCGAAGAACATTTAATAAATTAATTGCACTTATTTCAAGCAATATAATACGAACTTAATCGCTCGGCAAAAGTGTATCTTCACCTGTTGAATAAACTTTTCAGTAAATATTTAGAATATTATTTTCAAAATACATTTTACTTGTAAAATTTTTCTTCAATTTGCTTATTCCTCGTCGTCAGTTTATCCTCCTTTCTTTCAAACTTTTATCCTTCACATCTAACTTCATCATATAATGCGCTGTCAAAATTGAAAATGAGGATTTTTGACAATTGTTTAGCGCTAAACGCTCCAATTTAGAGATAACAGTTATTTTTTTTAAATATTATTTTGTGATAATGGAAAAAAATGTAATTTAATGTAATTTATTTCATATATTTTTATTTGAGAAAAAGGACTATGATGGTTTTCAATTACATATATAAAATGAATGAAATATATTATACGGTTTCCTTGAATCCCAGCTATGTTTTCTTCGGCATAAACGGATGTTTCTCCTGTTTCATTCGCTTGAACTTTTACCTCATCCAAATTAGAGTCATTCTAGATAGCAAAATAATAATAATAATAATAACAGGCAACAATGATGTTCATAGTTGTGCTGAGCGAAACTTTCAATCCATAGCTCCTCGATATGCAATTACGAGTACCTATTTTATATTCATTGTAAAGACGTTCGACGTGAAGATTGAGATGTAAAAATTTGACACATCATGTAATTGCTGACAAAGCATAACCACTACCACCCAATTAAAAGAAGTCCCTAAATTCGTTTTGTTCAAACTGGTGGTTTAGACAGCAATTATTAAAAATAATGCTGTCATGTCCAGAACCAGGTCAATTGCATACGAAGTCCATTACTTCCATTTTACAAGTACCCTTTTCCGCGGCAGCATTGAATACTGTTTGCCACCCGACTGGCTGTCGCCACTTTTATTGCGCCCAACACCGGAACACAAATTAAAACACTTCCCTATGCATAAAGACGTAATGCCAAAAGCAGTTTCCACCGCTTTATTCCCGCAAAATTATTATCAACAATATAAATTTACTCAAAGCACATTATTTTCACAAACCCTTCAGTGCAGCTTCTAATTTTGGTTTCTATTTTTCCAAAAGGTATTTCGCACTAATTTCGGAAAGAAGAAATCTACGAATAAAAAATTCTTCATAATATTTTTCAAAAAATTTGATTTGTGTACGGCACGTTCTTTCCATATTTTCCATAATAAAATTTATTTTAAAGCCGACACCGAAATATTATTTTATTTATTATTTTACCATTTCCAACTGTCAAATTATCTCAATGTTGGCGTTAAGTTAACCGTAACTTAATTGACAGATATGCCTTAACCGGACATTGTGAAAACGAATTTAAAGCTACCTTCCGATTACGTTATGATTAAGTGCTTAACCGGAGATGGCGAAAACGGCCCTTAATGTTTTAATGATTACCTCATCTACAATTTGAACTAGTGCATATTATATTATATATTTAGAACAATAACACTTAGCCTATAGCTTAGATGCGCAAAACAATCTACGATCTCGAAGTTATGACTGGGAGTCAAGCCGTAAATGCGTTGATTGTTTGATTTCTTACAGGGGATCTTTCGTCTTGTCCTCGTTCACTACAAAACCCATAAGCTTTTTTACCCAGCTTGGAGAAGGCAGAACTAAGCTGCAGCTCTTATTATTTTCGACAGGATCAAAAGAAATTTGATATCGAATGGCTCGGAGAGGTCCTTCTCAATTCTGGTTGCGGTCTTCGTTCAGCGTACGTTTACACAGCCATATAAGATTGCGGCAGCTCCTTACCATGCTGTCGAAGGCAACTTAAAATCATTATAAAGGTGAAGCGTATCGATTATTTTCTCACGGGTCTTTTCCAAGATTTGTCGTGTGGTAAATATCTGGTCAATTTCGAGTTTCCCACTAATAAGATCCAATCAGCTTATTATCGGTTGGCTCTCTCTCACAATAGACTCGATTGCACCTTATATCCGATATTTAGGATGCTAATCTCACGGAAAATGGAGCAGACTGTGGAATACCCTTTTTATGGCTTCCATGCTTTCGCCCCACCTTATTCTGAAAAGAAGCCGATGCATGCACCTGGGATTTCTCCGAGTGTTACATTTCCACTGACATTAAGCTGCCTGGAAATGTGTTTCGAGAATGCTCTGAACATCGGTCACCAGATTTCCACATTGATGCTTGAGAATGCTTCGGTCTTGAAACAATCGGTTAGCCGCCGCATCTTTTCGTAGATTTTTTACGCTTGTCGGCGAGCTCTTCAAACGGACGGATCTCGCCATCTTCGTTCTTTCACTGAAAATGCGTACTGTTTCTTCAGCTCTCGGTATTTGTCCCACTTCCACGTGTTGGGGTCGATTGCATGGTTGCGAGCTCTGTACAATTTTGATGCAATAGGCAAATGCAAATTTTGACAACTGTGTGTCACTGTCAATTTCGGAACAGAAGGTACCATTATAATTGGCTTACGATTCCACAAATACGTTCCGTTGCGCACACATTTTACTCCACATTTCCCAGGTGATCATATATTGCCCACTAACTTACATTTTGACAAATAATTCCAGGTAATTTGACTGCAAGTTTAAATTACAAAGGTCAGGTTTTGACATTTATTTATTTTGAACTATATTTTTCCGCGTCCGCATGCAATTTTAAGATATTTCTAATAGGTTTTTATCTGGATTTTATGTTATTTATTTTATTATAACGTATAAACTATTATGTTAAAAGGTATGGAAAAGAATTAAACGCCTTCTTCATATTTGCATAAAAAATAGCCAACCATGTACCATATATTAGGCAAAAGTGAACAATCGAATGCATTTCAAGCTCACTTCCACTACTTACCTATGCAACAAATTTCTTATAAATCGAACTATGACACGATTTTTACGAATAAATCGACCCCAGGCCCTCTTCCCGGAAGAAAATGTATTAATCCTCGATTTCAGGTAAACTTCGATTAGGCAAGGTGTTAGCTGTGTACCAAATTTCTTGTAAGTTAAACCATTAAAAAGTAAACTCGGTTTTATCGAATAAATCGAATATAGGTCCACATCCCAGAAAATCCTTTCATATCGAATGCCTACGTCATATGTTCGATACACTCTCTAAGTTTCAGATCTCTACGATCAACAGTTTAGGCTGTGGTTTAGTCCGTCAGTCATTTAGAACAAAGCTTTTGATATCTTTATATAATGTTTAAAATAACCTCAAAGATTGTCAGACCTTGCACTTTCTTAATACCTCTGCGGGAAACCTCCAAACGGTGGAAAACTGTGCTTACGTCATAGGAATGAGTTTCGTTTTATTTTATTTTCATATTTGAAACTCTAACGTTTTATAAATCGACGTATGTCATGCAGCAGTAGGCTTGTACACCATTTGTTTTTAGTCCTGCGGCGTAGGGGTAGGAATACCTGCCGTGAGAGGCGACTAAAATTCAAAAGTTACCTCAACAGTCGGGACACGTAATTTTGCATTCCCCAAAAATATGTTTGTAACTACAGCAACAACATCTGTTGTGATATTCTTATTATATGGTATTATTTTGCATGAATTGCCTTGAGCCAGTGGTAGACAGATATTTGCTTGTCAATCATGAGCGAAAAAGTTGCGGTGTGTAGGCCTAGGATTACGAAATATGTACTAAATGTACTAAATTTGATGCTCTGCAACCCTCTACGAGCAAATTGATGTGCATTCGAAATTTAGAAATTCCTTTGTTGTGTTTTATTATTAACGGAAAATAGCACACGAATACATCGTATCGATTGCCAAAATTTTACGAAGGGGTGTGTTTTGAACTAAAGGAAATTTAAAATAAACAGCAGGTAAATTTTAATGAGTTGAAGTGAGATTATTTTCAACATGTTCATGTACTGGACACAGTGAAAAAGTGAATTTTTTTATTGTGAAAAATCGATTGATCCGAAATCATTTTGGAGAAAGCTCGCATTGCACGCATCTGTATATCTAGAAGTTTGCAAAGTACTTGGTGCAACTTCACTTGATTTGGGTTAGAGGAAATTTAGCATGCCATGCTGAAATTGCAACCAATATGTCTCCCGTTGAGTTATATACTTTTTGTGTTTAGTGCTGCAAAACCAGCAAATTAAAAATAGTTCAGAGCTATGGCTGCCTGAAAGATGAATGAACCATGAGACATTTAGTGTTTCCACATGCGTAGTTGCGATAGTCGGCAAAGACATGATTTTTTTTTATTTCAATGCTTGGGTGTGTACATATGTTTGTAAAATATGCTAAGTCGGTTTTGGGTGCATTTCCATTTTTGTTGCTTGTCTGAGTTTTTGACTCAGTTACTCAGTTGTTTTTATCTTTTCTCCAGCTGTTGAGTGCGATAGCAGCTTTGTTGTGTTGAACACCATTATTTGAGGTTGAGCTAATTTATTGAGGCTAGTTGATTTCAAAACCAGATATAATCGGTTTGGTCAAGTTTGAAAGTATATGCGTCGGGGAAGCTTCACACAGTTTTATTTGAATAACTGAAAAACAACAGTTTGTAAAAGGCAAATCAAAAACGACACAACTGAAACCAAAATGTTTTAGATCGTTTTATGCGCAGGTAATATTTGGGTGACTAAACATTTAAAATTTATGTGCATAGGTATATTAATTGGTGCTGATTTACTCCTATTAATTTTTTATTTTTATTTATTTTTTCTTATTTTTGATCGTCTTAAAAGTGCTTATGTAGAAAAAATGTGATTATCTTCTAGCTCACTACTCATAAAAATTCACCTTGGTATTAATGGAACGAAATGAGGTTTCAAACTATTTTTAATTTTTAAGGGATCGTTCCTAAAACTGCTGTGAACTAATATGCAAATGTGGTGTTACCTGACACAATAGCACTTTGGTTAAAGAAAATATCAAGAATTAAATATTTTCAAAAGGTTTAAATAATTAAAAATAATTTTTAATTTCGTCTTTGAAAAAGTGCTTATGAAGTCGTTAAAAAATTCCATATCAAATAAGCTATTAACAAAAGCTGCAATATGATGCTCTGTAGATTTCTTTTTCACTTTCTATATATATTAGCAACACTCAACTGCGGCTAAGGATTCCAGGTTCAAGATAGAAATTCTAGTTTTTAAATAATATGAAAATATGTTTTGGAAACATTTATGTAAGTAAGTATCTAAGTGTACGTATGCGCTTCGCAGTGATGAGGCTTTTTGACAACACTTAATAACTTTACCTACAGTGTAGGTACTGTAGTATATAGAACCATTTACATGCGTAAATAATATGTACATTTGTAATCACGTTTCTACCCTACCTGCGAATGGCAAAGTTTGCGCACTCGAATGAGTTCATTGTTTTCTGTTCTTTGCGTATCATATTTATATTTTTATGTACATACAATAGGATCATATACCCAACAAACCCTACGAATTCGACTCGTCAACTGAGTTTCTTTGGTAAACTCGATTTCTCTGATTGAACTATTACAAATATTATAACTTTGCTCTGTTAATTCCCGCAATCGATTTCCTCTTATACAGAAAGCAAATTGACGTTTACAACCTTTGCCTCGTTTATACTTTAGTTAATTTATTTTTCTTTTTGGTTTCTTACTGTAAACTTGACATTTGTTTTTTCCTGATATTAAAAAAAAAAGAATCTTTCTAATCATTTCAATTCCGAAAAATATACATACAATCAACTTATTTTCTTCAGTTTGTCAAGAACCAATCCAATGTGTTTAGTGGGTAAGTGTCGATGTCTGAATGTATAGATATTTTATGTACATACACTGTAGATACCTACCTTGTAGACAATTTATTTAAAATAAGATCTTGCTGAAATATTGTTGCTTCTTGTCCGAATATTGCTAAACATTGCTTTACCTACATACGCAAGTGCATACCAGCTGCCCCTAAGTTCTCGTTGTTGAAGTGATGTTCGCCAGCATAGCTTGCATTACGTGGAAACTTCCAGTTTTATCTTTCCTACTAGTACCAATATGTATGCATGAATTTACTTTCGATATATGTACTTATGCATGTATATGCTGTTGAATATTCCAACATTTATTTACATACATGCATATAAGTGTAATGTATGTATTTCTGCATGCAGCTAAGAAAATTTTGCGAATGAGACAACGTGACACCGACAGTTTAGAAATTTTCTTATAGAGGTATTGAAAGATATATGGACCTAAAAGGTTTAATTTCCATTGATGGGCAGTAACGACTGCTACTAATTTTTACTGAGCCGCGTTCGGTAAACCAAAAAGCGAAAAAAATTCGCTCAGAGAGAGAACAATTTTGCCATTGGTTACTGTTGTTCTTTTGTTTTTCTTTTTTTTTGCAGCCACATTAGGCGTGTGGTTAACACTGCGTACTACCCTGTAGAGGATCATGGGTTTAATTCTTGTCCAGTTACAGTTAAAATTCTAATTGCGGTAGGCCATCTACAAGAAAAGCCAACCACTTGGAGTGTGTTTCTTAAACTAAGATATGGAGGTTTGTTAAAAACATCGAAATTAAAGCAGAAGCTCGGCCGAAATTTATGAGGCATCAATTAAAAAAATTGTTCTGCTGAATTTATATATATAATTGGCGCTTTGTAACCGCTGGAGCATCTTTTCGGCCGAGCTCCTTCTACAATTTGTGGTTTTGCGTATTGATGTTTTTAAAAAAAGTGGAGTGACCTGCAATTTATACCAACCCGCTTTCGAACGGCTGATGGTCTTTTTTTTTACCAGGAGCCTTTATTTCATGTCCGTAATACACTCGTAGGTTGGACATTCCCTGCCTAGGGGCGACCGCAATTAGAATATATAACTTAAAATTGTTTTATTTAAATTAATTTGGATGTTGATGAAATCGGAACACCGAACCTTCGGTGTGTCAGTACGCGATGCTAACTACTCGGCTACCGCGGTCGCTGAAATTATAAATAGTAAATTTCTGTTTAGTTCAAAAAAATTCATATGTGCATACAAAAATACTCTAAAAAGCTTCTTTTTTTTAATGCATACCTATTTTTTTACATATGTACATATTTAGTATGTAGGTATATTTTTAAGTGAATCATCGTCATTCTGACATGTACATATATTTATATACATACATATGTATGTACACGTCTATATGCTACTGTGTATATCATCTATTGGCAGTGAGTGGCAAATTTTATTTTGGCATAGACACAAGAGTGTGGAGAACATTGCAAATAAAAGCAGAAAATTGCTTGTGAAAGTTTTTCGCTGTGTGTTTTCCTTTGTTTTTGCTTTACTCGCTGGTTGGTTTATTATTACCATTGCCATTGTTACTGATGTTGTATTTGTTGTTAACATCACTGTTGTTGCTGAGGTTACTTTAGACGCGCCAATGTGGCAACTAACTATGTGCGCTTGAGTGCGGCCAACAGTGCGGTAGCCAGCCAGTCATTGAGCCATGTGAGAGTCATTTGCCCTGCCGTGTCAGACGTTGCTTTGGGGTGTTGCCTACGGTTCAGTTAGTAAGTGTCCGTCTGCCATCGCGCTGCTCATTTTAACTTGGCCAATTGTTTCGGTTTGTGTATACATATGCAGTTAAATGAATTTCTATTTACTATAAAAACAAAAATATTTCTCTAGTTTTTCATAAATTTCCCTCACATAATTCTTTCTTTTCCATTTACTTTACAGGTTTAAAGGTCTATTGTGTTCATTGAAGCCAAACAAGGAGAACTGCTCTATTTGCCTGCATTACTACTTTGTAAACTGCACTTAACTCATCGCTTTCATCAGAAATTCAAAGTTTGTTTGCCAATAAAAATGACTTCCACCGAAACTCGTTGCGGCCTTACCTCCAGCACTCGTCCATCTAGCCGTGTTCTAAAGCCTCCGGGCGGCGGACACTCCAACATATTTTCTGAGCCTGAAGTTGCCGTTAATGCGCCACGTCCCAAATATAATCAACAAAATTCTTCCAATATGAATGCTTGTATGAATTCCACGGATCCAAATCAAAAAGTAGAGAAATTACGTGAAGAGATTTCACACAACAAGTATGCCCAGGTCGAAGCTGAAACTCAAAAGCCTATTACGGTTGCTACCACACCCACCGGTCAGCCTGGTGGCAATGAGCAACCGTCGCGTGGTCGTGTACCTCCTGGTGGTTTCTCATCAGGTGGCTTTTGGTAAAAGACTTGCGCTAGTATAGTAAGTTAATGCGATGAAAGTGCAACGCTACACAAACAAAGATAATATAATTTAATAAGTTAGTTGTACTCATCGTACAAATTTATATAACAAATAAAAAATCGCATTTACTACTACTATTCGCTTCTCTTAACACGAGCATTTAAGGACAATTTTTTGATTTTTTGCCACAGCGTCACTGAGCTGCAGCATTGGAAAATGAAAGAAATTAAAAATTTCATGAATAACTACTTCCTTTGTACCATTTATGTTTATTTATGAGTATTGCCTTTGTGTGAACAAAAAAAAACAAAAAAAAAATAAAAGAGTCAACTATCCCTAAGAAGCGCACTGGGTGTGACACGTGCGTCAGTCGGTAATTTGTGCACTTTTATACGAGTATTCAAATCTGTTGTAAGTTTAGATGTTAAGATGAGACAAATTTTTACACTTATGTCTATTTTTGAATATAATGTGATGAGGCGTTTTCTGTGACAAATGTAGTTTCGTTGAATTTGACTGCGTGCATTCACACCCGGCTCTCTTGTACTTACATTATTATATTTATTTTTTAAATTATACATACATATATTAATATATATTGTATATTCTGTATGTTATATATACGTGAATAACTTAACCAGTTTCTATATAAATTGGATACTTAGCATTTTTGGACAAGCGTAAAAATAATACAAAAATATTTATGCTTAATTTTTATTTAAAGTTTTCATAAAAAAAATTACAAGAACAAATATAAATTTGATTTTCGTATTTCCAGAAGATTAAATGTCTTTGTTTTCACTATGGTTGATGTTAAAAAAAGGCTAATAGTCCTATGCAAAAATCCATACAGATGCTATCTTTAAATGCACAAGTTGGACTCGAGTTGACTAATAGTCTAAGAACACGCGCGCATAGCTGAAGCATCATTTTATGAGACCTGAAAGTTTGTATGTGCGCGCCATCAGCATAGGGAGGAACCAAAACATGACTAATTTTGGGGAGGTATACGCAAAAAACACACCCGAAATACGTTATAGCATAAAGGTTAGATAGGAAGGTTTTTATAATAATATTTAAAATGACCTCATATGTATATTGCCGAGCACTGCCGTCTTGCTATCTGCCAGAGTAACCACTTCTCCAAATCATTAGTCACGCTATTGTTCTTACTTATTTTGCTGCGTGCACGGACAAATTTCGAGTTTTGTAAAATGATGCGCTCCTGACTGAAGCTGGCTTTTTCTAATAATTTTAATTCTAATTTGATGGCGGTCGCAATAGCCGAGTGGTTAGCATTGCGTGCTGCCACTTCGACGGCATGGTTTCAAGCCATGGTGCGACAATATCCAAAATTATAGTTCATGAATTTTTCTAATTACGGTCGCCCCTAGGCAGTGAATGTCTAGCCCTCCGAATGTAGTTCGGACATGAAATGAAAGCTTCTCACAAAAAATCCATCGATCATACTGAGGTAGCTTGAATTAATTGTGGATTTTCCTTTTGTTGGGAAAAACATCAAGACGCGTAGTTTCGTAGTAGTAGCTGTTGTTGTAGCGGCTACATATCTCAAGTAGAAGCAGGAGAGACAGGCGGATATAGAGCGGTTAGGTGAGCAGGTTTTAAGGGACATTTAAATAGGTGGTTAGTGTCGTGCGGGGTGAAGTCATTTGTTAGCCATGAATTACTTTATAAATTGTAGGCTCGAAAGTTACCCAACTGTCCTTGTGCAAGATGCGGTAACCAACCCATGTGGAGCCTGGGTCACGGCTAATGAGAGAGGTAGCACCAGTGGGGCCACTCCGACTTATTCGATTTAAGGGTCTGCTGAAGTCTTATTGTGGTGCCTATTCACCAGACTTTTATGAGCGCCTATAGCACCCTTACTAGCGCTGCACCGACACGATGAGAAAATCGTGCTTGGAGATTTTAGTGCTAAGGTGGCCAAAGAAGGTATCTTTGGTACGACTGTTGGAAAATTCAGCCTTCACAACGAAATATCTCCTAATGGGTTAAGGCTGATAGACTTCGACGGGTCCGAAATATGGATGTCTGTAGTACTAGATACCCGCACAAAAAATTACATAAAGCTACATGGCTGTCCTCTGATCGAAAATAACAAAATCAGATAGATCACGTTGTGATAGACGGAAGACATGTCTCCAGTATTCTTGACGTGCGTACACTCCGAGGACTCAACATCGATTCGGACCACTATCTTGTTGCAGCGAAGATACACATACGCCTCTGTGTATCGAAGAACGCCCGACAACAAACACAAGGAAAGTTCGACGTTGAAAAGCTTGCACTCCTGCTGTCTGAGAGCACTCACCAGCAACTTGGTAGACGGGACTTGTGGGTCGGCATCGCAAACTCCCTACGTACAACCGCAAACGAAACTATTGGATTTCGTAAAGGTCGCAAAAACAGCTGGTACAATGAGGACTGCCGTGTCGTAGTGGAGAGAAAACAGACTGCCTACCTCGCAACCTTGCGATCGACCACAACACGTGAGGGATGGGATAAATACCGAGAGATGAAGAAGGAGAGCAAGACGCATCTAGGGAATGCTCGAAAATTCTATGAGAAGATACGACGACTTAAGGAAGGTTTCAAGGCCGGAGCAGACTCTTGTAGGACACATAGAGGTGATCTAGCCAACGAGCTTATAAGGTGCATGCATCAGTTACTTTCCAGAATATGGTCGAACGAAAGCATGCCCGACGAATGGAATTTAAGTGTGCTCTGCCCAATCCATAAAAAAGGGGACCGCACAGTCTGCCCCAATTACCGTGGGATAAGCCTCCTAAATATCGCTTATAAGGCTCTGTCGAGCGTATTCTGTGAAAGACTGAAGCCCACCGTCAACATATTGATGGGACCTTATCAGTGTGGCTTCAGACCTGGTAAGTCAACCACTGACCAGATATTCACCATTCGCGAAATTTTGGAAAAGACCCGTGAAAAGAGGATCGACACCCACCACCTCATCGTCGATTTTAAAGCCGCCTTCGACAGCACCAATAGGAGCTGCATTTACGCCGCTATGCCTGAATTTGGTATCCCCGCTGTATAAGCTGACGCTAGGAACACCAGAAGCGCAATCAGAATTGGGAAGGAGCTCTCTGTGCCGTTTGGTACCAAAAAAAAGGTTTCAGACAGGGCGATTTGTCGTGTGATTTCTTCAATTTGATGCTGTAGAGAATAATAGGGGCTGCAGAGCTAAATAGAGAAGGTACAATCTTCTATAAGAGTGTACAACTACTGGCGTACGCCAATGATATTGACATTATCGGCATCAACAACCGCGCCGTTAGTTCTTCTTTCTCCAGGCTTGATAAAGAAGCAAAGCGAATGGGTCTGGCAGTGAACGAGGACAAAACGAATATCTCCTGTCATCAAACCAACAGTCATCGCATTCGGGACTTGGCTCCCACGTCACTGTTGACAGTCACAACTTTGAAGTCGAGGATAATTTCGTTTATTGGAACCAGTATTAACATCAACAACAATGCCACCCTAGAAATCCATCGCAGAATTACTTTTGCCAACAGATGCTACTTTGGACTGAGTAGGCAATTGAAAAGTAAAGTCCTCTCGCTATGACCAATCTCTACAAGTCGCTTATAGTTCCCGGAAGCATGGACGATGACAACATCTGATGAGTCAGCGTTAGGAGTTTTCGAGAGAAAGGTTTTGCTAAAAGAATTATGGTCCTTTAAGCATTGGCAAGGGCGATGACGCAGACGATGGAACGATGAGCTGTACGAGTTATACGGTGGCAGGTGCCAAAAGGCAAAAAGGAGAAACGAATGGCGCAATGTTGTTAAATCGGCTAAAATCACGTCAGCGGTGTCTACCCCTGCAAGAAGGGGCTGATGAATTCACCAATACACTCACACGATTTCGGGCAGCACTAACACATAAGAAAGTTGTTCTGTTTATCTCACTCTTCTGAGTACATACAAATTGAAGAAGAATGCAGTTGAAGGGAATATCCGATTTTCTTCGTTCTTATTTTCGAGTAGAACGCCATTTTTTATCGTTTTCTCCGCAGCAGATAGAAGAGAAAATTATATGATCAGGATCCTGTACAAGCTGTGGTAATAATACAATATAATATATTTTGCATTAATTAAGTACTTAATTTTTCATTGCTTTTTACATTTGTTTATTTAAGGGCACTCCATGTCCCACGGAAAGATCAATTAATGGAGCAGTTTAACTGAAATGGACGCTTCTCATCTTGCTACAATAGCAGATTTAAAAATATTTAATAAAACTGTGCAAGGTACAACGCGTTCGTGGAGCTGAGGACCTGCGTCACTATCAAAGACTTCTGTATGTACGGTTTTGCTTATAATATTTTGCTGATTTTTGTACCGAATTTATTGTTGTATTGTCATTTCTTTTGTATGCTATGTGAACCATGTATATGATCTATGTAAAAATATTGAAATAGAGACTGGATCTTAATAATGTTTGTATGTATGTATGTATATATGTAGGGAAACATTTTGTCAATTCGTAAGTATGTATGTATACGTATAGAAAAATTTTTGGCACAGCTGATTTCCTTCGACATCAATACTGTGTTCGGCTTGTCCGAAAAGAATGACAAAAATGTAAACATCATGTTTGTCATTTTGGCCTTAAGAAAGTGATAGGAAAATCGTTCTGCGAGCTGCCGTCATGCATTACTGAAATATGTTGGTTCAAATGATCGGAAGTCTTCTTGCAGGGTACGTGCATTTTTTGCTCTAATACAATGCTCTATAATACAATTATGCAATTATTCAACATTTTTCAACTGACTAGAGCTACTTTCTCATTACCAATACCAAATATCACAGACTTTTTAGCTAAACTTCAATTTGTCACCAATTGCCAATTTGACGATTCTTGAACTTTTTTAGTTGGTTGAATCTGAATTCTTTAAAACCCAAATTGCAATAGGATGTCCCAATCAGGACTCATCAAGCGACTTTTTTGAACTCATAATGGCTTTTGATCAAAGGCTGCTAAAAGACTTCAATGTATTTTCCAAGCAATTTAAGCAATTTTATTTCTGTGCAAAAAGTAAGGTGAATTTGTTTGTGAATTTAAAAATCTTTATTTATTCTTCTACACCGATTTCGCCGCCCTCAAAATAGTCCCCAGCCGATGCAATGCACTTATGCCAACGCTTTTTCCAATTATCGAAGCATGTCAAATAGTCACGTTCTGGTATGGCCTTCAGAGAGCACGCCGATGCAGTTTTAATATCCTCAATCTACTCAAACCGGTGTCCTCGAAGTGGTCCCTTGAGTTTTTGGAAGAGCCAGAAGTCACATGGTGCTAGGTCCGGCGAATACGGGGGTTGGGGAATGATATTCGTGGAATTTTTAGCGAAATGGTCACGAAGAATGAATGCTGTGTGCGACGTTGCATGCAAAAACCAAGAATTGTTGGCCCATAATTCTGGTCTTTTTTTTGTGAATTGCTTCACGCAAACGACGCATAACGCTTAAATAATATTTCCTATTTACCATTTGACCGGGCGGAAGGAATTCATAGTGCACCACACCACGAAAATCGAAGAAAACAGTTAACATGACCTTGATTTTTAAGCGACTTTGACGTGATTTTTTCGGTCTTTCCTCACCTTTAGCACGATATCCGCTTGATTGGTCGGTGGTTTCAAGGTCGTAGGCATAGATCCACGTCTCATCTCCTGTGATCATGCATCTCAGCTTGTCCTGGTAGTCAGAAAGCATGGTTTCACACATATCAACGCGACGACTTTTTTCCATGAAATTGAGTGTTTTTGGAACCAAACGAGATTTGACTTTTCGTAGGCCTAAATAGTCTTTCAAAATCGTTTTTACAGATCCTTCTGATATTCCAACCGTATCAGTAAGGTCTCGAACAGTCAATCGACGATTTTTGAACACTAATTCCTTAATTTCATTGACGTGTTGCACATCAGTTGACGTTAATGGTCGTCCCGATCGCTGCATGTCATCAACACGTTTCCGGCCCTATTTGAAGTCTTTGTACCACTTATAAACGTTCTTCTGCGACATAGTTGAGTCTCCAAAGGATTTCCGTAGCATCCTCAACGTTTCAGCAGCTGAAAATTCGTTCCGCAAACAAAATTTGATCGCACTTCTTTGCTCAATTAAATCAGACATTATAAAAATCGCCAAAGACACTTTCAATCGTTTAGTAAACACAGGCGTAACGTAGATGTCAATAACAGTGCTACCAACATTAAAAAAAAATTGAAGCTCAAAATAAAAATTCACCTTTCTTTTTGCCCACAGTACATATAGAAAACCTAAATTTAGCAAATTTTGTTCTGAGGATATAAGTTCAAATGGAAATATTTTAAGAAGTGGCACAAGGCGAATTTGTAGAAGGTGAAGTTGTCAGATCATATGATTGCTTGTTCTGCCTCTTATTTAAACAAATAATATATGCTAACATTTCGAACGTTCGTTTACACAAACAAAATACACTGAAAGATTTTCTTCAAAAATAAAATAAAATAAAAAAATTAACCTTAATTAAAAATTTCTGGATCTACTGGGTTTTCTAGCGCTATCTCACCTCGAATTTTTATAATCAAAAATAAATTTGAACATATTTCCATCCATTAATGGTGACCCAAATTACATTAAACAAATACACCACTATACGGATCACAGAATCGAAGCCAAAGGGATTCAACCATTCGGTCCTATTACAATAAATTAATGATGGCAAAAACCTGAATTCGATTTTTTCGGTACAGCGGGTATTTGCCGACCATCTCCTTTTCATTTAGCTGCCGAAAAACCAAATGATTGAAGACAATGTGTTGATCACTGAATATTACATTTTTTGCCTATTCTGGAGTGATATCCATTACCTTACATTTCGCGATTGATTTAAAAGATAAAATAATATTTTAAAAAATTGACTTTAGCTCGTTGATATCATCAAATACCAATGAGACGATATTGCGAAGAGCTGCCGAGTAGCCCAGCATGAGAGGTGAAGGTGGAACTGGATATGGGTGGGGTGAAGTCCAAGAGGAAAGTCTAGAATAAAACTGCGGGGAGCTCCGTTAGATCGTAAAGATCTAATGGTGGTTACCCAGAGTGGGTAGGGGTATAGAAGGTACAGCCGGAAAGGTTCAGAGCGTAGTGGGGCGCTGGTCTTAAGAAGACTCATCGCACTGGTTATATCTAAACGAGATGGAACTATGACACCGTCGCAGCAGCAGAAATTATCCATCAGTTCAGAATTACCTAATGCTCTAAACAGGATTAGGTCACCGAAACAGTGACATCTCCGGGGCAACTCTGATGCGTAGAACCAGTTATTGGTTAAAACAATAAGTAAAGTCGCTACTAGCAGCTACTTGAAAGAAACCTAATTTGTTTTAATATTATTTTATGGATCATTGTCTATAACATAAAATCATACTTGTAAATATACACACATTACGTATTTAAATATCGTTTAGAGTCTACATATACATATGTACATACGATTTTTTGTTTGTTCTTAACTTAACTTTTTTTAACTCTTTTAATACTACGAATACAAATCCCAAAGCCGTGGTATTACATTTTTTTATCAAAAAAAATTACAAAATAAAGTACATGATAAAACATGAGAGGTTCTAATTTCGTGTTCACCATTTTCAGCAATCTTTTAAGACTAAAAAATAGCTTAGTGCCAGTTCGATGTTGAGTGAAACCACCCTACCATTTGGTCTCTTGCCGCATTGAGATAAAAAGTAGGAATAAAATTTTTATTAAAAATATAAATCGAACTTTCATTCGTATTCCGGACATGTTTTGTTAATACAAATTGCTAATTTAATAGTTGTTGCTATTCGTGATCGGCATTTTGATTGTACCTTAGCGATAGTTTTATTTCAAAATAAATTCAGATTTATTAAAGTCACAATGTCATAGAACTATTACATATTTATTTTACAATTCACTACTTAATAATATCACCATTTCTTCGTACGTGTATTATATAATAATAAACGAATTACCAATATACTTCCATACATTCATACACATGCATATGTCTACTTGAATACATTTACTGGCCAATCGGTGATTCAAAGCGAGTAATTAGGTAAATAGGTAATTATTTATATAATTATTTATGTATGTACATATGTGCAAGTAATCAAAATACAATATACATATATGCAGCAATAAAATATAACACCATTAGCACCGATTTCATATTTTTAAGAACAATTTATATCTTATGTAGGTATGTTTTCCTTAAATTGTGCTGTTGGTTGCTCCTTTGCTCGTCTTTGATTAGCATGCGTGCAGATACGTATGAAATTATTATATATGTGTTCGTATGTACATGTCGAAAGTTGATCTGAAATTGGAAAATGGGAAATAAATCGATGATAATCACATGCAGAACTTTTTGTTGTGGGTCCCACGTGCACTTACCGCATAATTACTATTGTCAGTATGTTAGGCGATTCATAATATTTTCAGGCATAGGTATGTGTGTGCGTGTGGGTTGTTATATACAAATCACAATTATTGTCATTTACAACTCCTTTTTCTTTTCAACTGCTTGTTGGCCTTCACCGGCTGTCAATTTGTTCTGCTCCATTTGGTACATGTATGCGCGCCCCAGTTGAATGACCTGTGTTAAGCCGACGAACAAATTGACCGCGAAGAGACTGTAGTTCTTGGGAATGATAACCAATGAGTAGCGCGACCAAATGATACCTGTAGCAGCGAGTGCGGCACATTGTGGTACCGAAAGGCTTTCAGCCGGACGCGCCAAATCGCTAAGACCAGCTATGACAAGAGACTAAAAGAGAATAAAATTTTGAAAGCAGTTAATCAAAAAGGTACATACATTGAAAGGAGTAAAAGCGAAGTCGACCTTTGCCTAAATACAAAATAATAAAATTTTTGGTAGAAATAATTAATTAAAATAAAGTATGCATCAACAGGTAAAGAGAACGAGTACGTTGGTTATTTTGATGTTCAGAGTCTTGGATATTCTGACTAATATTTGCATGGATTTTACGTCATCCAAGGTTTTGTCATCTAACAGCAGGCATAAATCAAGCGAATATATGTATATGAGCATGTACATATACATATATAATATACTATAGTTAGTGCTTTGTAACCAGCCGGACGGCAACTAGATTTTATTGTTGCCGTTTTTCCCCACAGCAGTTTTTGGGGCATGTTGTGGGAGTGACTATTCTAAGCCAGACAAAAATCCGGGTAGTTCTGATATAAAATACCCAATTTTCGTGTGAGCTTTTGGATTTTAATTGGCTTATCTCGGGAAAATTCTTGAATCCCTCCCATGAGGAGGTGCCAACTTTTCTTAGTAAAAAATATGAGAATGATAGTAATGAACTTTAAATTTATTTAAAAGTGAGGTTATTTCGGAACTACATATGCGGTGCGAGCAGTATACTGCAGAAAAAAAAATCTGGTCACACTGATGGGTTGACATAAGCAGACGTGTTTGACAAACTACTACCTGTTGATATTCAAAATTGTATGGATGACTGCGTATAGTGTGTCTCCTATATTATATACCTCTAATCTAGAAATGAAACTAAGCAGGTTCCTTATCCATTTACAAGAGAGAAAAGCTCATATTTATGTTTATCAATACAAAATTTCAAGCAAAACGAAACATAAAAATGATTTTCCGAATATATTGGTTCCATTTCCTGGGAGGCAGTTTTCTTAGGTTAATCTTAGCTAGAGGCTACCCATGCATGGTGAAATTATAAGAAGGTGTGATCAGATGGGCAGTCACAAGTTTTACTGAACTTCATTGAGACGGAAATTCAGTAAAATTAGTAACTAGAGAGCGCAATTTTGAAGTTGGGTTTAGAGAGGAAGTTGCAAAAACTAGCAATTATGAAAAACAGCTGATTCACGATCATATGATTGAATTTTTGATAACAAAACAAAACTCATTTAAAATTAAATTCATATTAACACTTTAATATGAATGATATTCTACCAAAATAAGAACCAAAAAAAAATTTTTGTTAAAGTAAATTTATGGCATCAACGATTAAATCAAATAGTTTATGTACTCATTAAATGGGAATGAGGCGGCTGTGGCCTGGAATCTGCATACCATCGAGCCCGCGTTGATGAATTAGAAGCTAGGAATGTTGAAGACATCGAATTAGAATATATTGGCATAGTAAAAAGAAATCTATGATTTATGCATGAAATTAATATCCAGCCTTATTCAAATGGTTCCAAATAGTTTTTTGAGAAATCTCTAACTCTTGGTGTTACATGACGGAAAAAATAATTTCAAATTGATTTTCATGAAAGTCTAAACGACAAATTGTTGCAAAGCAAGTTTTACCATAATTTCCGTCCTTTTAGAGAACAATAATCAAATTGTTATCTTTACGGTTATAAAACGTGTAAAATTTCATCATTGTTGAAATACAATACAATACAATAAATTTTAAATACAGTTAATATATTTAAAATGCTACATGTTTGCCGATTTCATTAAAATACATAAAAGCAGCAAAAATATATGAACGAATACAAATTTAACCGCCATAATAAACAGCTGTTATACAACTTGCTGGCTAATTTTTATTGAATTCTATGCGTTGAAAACTGAGTAATTTTTTTTTTTTTGGGAAAGTCTTACTATCTCAATTTCATTACTGACGTCAACGAACACAGGTTGTATGTTGTCGGAATATTTGTCTATTAACAGGCCTATTCTGTCGAGGTAATAAAATTTACCGTTCAGTAAATTTTGTTACCATTTCGTATTCTGAGCTCACTGTTACCCTGTAAATTTAGTTACCAGCGAAATAGGAGGTAACACAAATATCTGCTGTTGGATTTTGTGTTGTAAATTTGAGAAAAAAATAAAAAACCAAAATGGGTAGGCATATTTTAGGCCTGGAATTCATTGAAGATGAAGAAAAAAGTGCCAAAAACCGTATTTTAAGAAGTTTTCGAGACTAAAAATTAGCCCTTTATATTGTAAGATAACGTTTTCATTCAGTTTTTTTGTTGTCCAAGCATATTTTCCATAATTTGGTTCAAATATTTATGATTTAATAAACAAATAAAAAAAGTCTTCCATTTCGATGTGAATATTTTTCTTTTTACTTTATCAATTGGCAAATGTAATTTGATAAGGAGGAAAAAAGCAGTGCTGCCCAAGTTTTTTCAAACATTGTAACCAGTTCGCCAGAATACCAAATTCAATTTCGGGTTTTAAAGAAAAGTAACTAAATTTACTTTAGTGGTAACAGTGAGAATAGGCCTGTAAAAAGGAACATTGCGTACAGTCATACGGAAGGCTCGTGTTCGAATTCCCGTGCGACCAACATTCAAAAGTTTTTGAAAATTAATTTAAATAAAAAATTAATTTAAATTTTCTAATTGCGGTCGCGCCTCTGCAGGGAATATCAACCCCTTCGAGTGTATTTCGAACAGGATATAAAACCCCTCATAGAAAAAAATCATCAGCCGTTTGGAGGCGGCTTAGTATAAATCGTAGGCCCCTCCATTTGTTGGAAAAACATCAAGACGCAAAACCACAATCGGCCGAAAATCGCTTCAGCGGTTACAAAAGCACCAATTATATATATATAAAAAGAAACATTTTTTCTTTCTACTATCCTTAAATGGAATCGATGAGCGCTAAACAACTGTCAAAAGTGCTCATAGTCATACAGATTGTACAGATTGTCTCACAATAACGCGTGGTCAACATTGATCATATGGAATTTTCAATTTTGATAGCGCGTTATGTGATGAAATAAGATGTGAAGGATAACAGTGTGAAAAAAGAAGAGAAAACTGACGAGGACTGCCTGAATAGGCGAATGTGAGAAAAATTTGACAAATAAATTGATAAATATTTATTGAAAAATTAACTCAACTTGTGGATGCACACTTTTGCCGACCGATTAAGTTGTAGTATCTTGTTTGGAGTAAATGCAATTAACTTAGTAAATCGTAAGCGCTCTTATTGAAAGATAGCGCGCGTTGCTACTCCGAACGCTCCAATTTAGGTATGTCAGTTCCTCTACGACTATGACAAAGCTTTTTTGTTTTATCCAGGTTCGGTGGCCTACTTCACTGAGAGAAAAGAAAAGTTTCTACAAATTAATTTATGCCCATAGCTACCTCTGTGAATCGAAAGCTTTTTAAATAAATTAAATTTTTTCGAATAGATCGGTTTCAGATCTACTTCCCGGAAAAGTCTTTCACATCGCATGCCTACATCATAAACAGAACACATCTCCCAAGTCTTAGGTTCCTACGATCAATGGCTTAGCCGGTGGGTTGCCTCTTACATTATATTATATGTATGTATATATGTATGTATATGTATGAATGTATGTATGTACGCATGAAGATACTAGCATTATAACCGCTGAAACGTTTCACATACATTATTCCATATATTTATATTATAATAGTATAAAAATGTAGTGGTAAAAATTACTCTCTAAATTTCCCTTTTTCAACTACGTTTAAAGTCAATACCGAAATAAGACTGGAGAAAAAGTGAAGTGATCACTCCTGGTAATGGTTACACTCTCACAACAGCCGTTGTTCTATGCACCGGATTCAACCCGTCCAAGGGCTCTCACTATTTCGGCGAGATAACCCCGTTTAGTTCATTACACCATGCCTACCCACCTATGTAGGAAATGAAAAATAAATCGTACAATAAATATCTGTTCGACATTCACCTCCCCCGAAGAAGAAATGATCTACATATTAAGATAAAAGTAACTTTTGTGCCAAATTTCAAGGAAGTCGAAACTCAACTACGAGTTTTTTTTTTAAATTTATGCAAATACAAATATCGAATGCTTCACGATTTTTTCACAACAATACTAGCTTTTCTCCTTCACTATTGATATAAGCTTTTTTTAAATTATTTTTAACTTTTTAGTTAGTTTTTTTATTAAAAAAAAACCTTCCTTTGCATACATAAAAACATAATACATATATGTAAGACATACATACATGCATACATATTTATATGCCTATGTACTATAAACGTAAAAAGATACTGCCCTTTGCAATTGATTCATTCCTAAATTTATTAAACACGATAATTGTATATACACAACAAATTTGATTCACAGTTAATCTGTCGCACCGTCTGGCTTATTAATTATCACCTTCTTATCAGTGAACTGGGTTTGCTTATGACTGTGCGCAATATCAAATTATTGGACCGCATGGCAAATTGAATTGGTCACACGTAAAAATCACACAACTCATAATTTCAAAAATTTAGTTTTAAAACACTTTCAATTCAATTTTTTATTTTTTTTTTCAAACATAAATAATTTTCCTCAAATAAATTTTGATGCGCTAAGAATTATGAAACAAAAAACTCAATTTTATCCCAGCTCGAGTTAGGCAACTGTCAATAAACATTTCTCGTGTATGCGTATAAACACCCGCATGCAAATATATATCACTTAATATATGTGTGTAGGTAGAGGGCATTAATGTTTATGTTTGTGTAAGCAGTGTTTTATTTTTATTGTCCATCATACACGTATCATCACTTATCTAACGCGACGCTTTCGAGAGGTTCCAGTCAAGAACTGGTGAATTGTGGTGCACATAATATAATTTTTAATGGCTAACAATGAATTTCAAGATGCTCTGATAAGGCGAGTTAACAGTTCATTTTGGTAGAAAATATTTTCATATTTACTTATGTACTCGTATACTATATATGCAATATTGCGCTTTCGCATTTGAGCTCTATACAACACACAACTACTTTTATAATGATTTCATGCGCTGATTATATAAGTCCTTTGCAAAAATCTTTTCACTTATACTAATGATGAACTTACCCATTTGAAAAGTGGTGCCCAGAAGAAGACTGTTTTGGGTCCTGTAAACAATTATGTAGTATTAACATAGTTAATTTGGTATTTATATTAAAAGTAAAGTTACCCACCTGCCGGATGCTGCCACAAGGGACGCATCTTATCGGGCACATACTTGTCCGCTGAGTTGACTAGAGCATTGTAGATTTTATTGGGGAATCCTTTACCCGCTGTAGTGGTTGGCGGTGGAGGTGGTGGAGGTACTGAAGCTGGTGGTGTTGAGGAAGCCATCTTATTACCGTTCTATGTTCACAAATTTTCACCTATTAGCACTATTGTTGAGATTTTGTTTGGTTATCTTAATTTTTTTCTCAAGTGCAAGGTATGTTCCAGGTACTATTTAGTCGAACAAGTGCTAGTGATAACTTCCTCACCGTTTGCCATACAGTGAAGAACTGAATGCCGTAATGAAAATAAAGAAAATAGAAAGATGACAATGAAATAAAACAGCAAAAATAGGAAACTAATATGTATATACAAAATGTGTGTACATATTCACATATTAACATGCATACATACATGCATCCATACATATGTACAGAGGAAATGTGTGACCGCTGGTGAGAGGCTCGCCACTCGTAATATGCGTGACAGTGACGCGTTTTCAGAGAGCGAAAACTTAGCGCATATTCATATCTAGTCAAAAAGAGCGCTTAGCTGTAGGCGTCAGTGGGTGGCTATTTCAAAGCGTGGTAATAAAGTAAATATTTCACTGCCAGACAGAAAGGAAAATACATACAAAAATACAATACATACAGAGGTACAAATTGAGCGAGTGGAAATGAACGAGTCGAGGACGTTCGTTGCTTCCTTCGTACAAGAGGTCCAAACATTTCAGTGGGTAAATACTGTTAAAATAAAATATACCCTGCATAATTGATGTTTAATAGTTAAAATTGATTTGTACTCCATCATCTTAGAGATTATAAACCAATGCTTAACAACACGTCAATTGGAGACATGAGTGAAGTCAATCCTTCGCTAGACCTCTCAATAGAAACATCAAATACCTTCAATTGAATATTCACAGTTTGTTATGGCAACTATTACTTAAACAAATAACTTCAATATAATCAACATACCCTACCCATTGTCGAATAGCATGAGCTACCCCGAAAGACGTGTGAAATCCCATCGCAATTAGATCAGTATATTGTGGTAGTCTAAACTCAAACTTTTCCAGACTTGAACCCGACTTATGCAATATTTGTCTTGTATGCAATTCATCACTGCATGACACTAATCACCTCATTAAATTTCTCCTTAAGAAGAGGGTAAGAATAATCTAATTCAACGCAACCAGCAATTGTGAAGTGGATTTTGGCCATACCAACATCTGCTGGAACTTTCGACCCCTTAAACCCCTTCGACTTTACTTCTGTCATAAAATACAGCTCCTCATAAAATTCTACCAGCCTTTCGGAACCGACGAAAACATTTTTGATTCAAATTGTAAAGGATTGACAACCAAAGGATACCAACTGAAGTGAACATTACACGTTGGTATGACATTGGCCTAACTTTATTTGTAAATAAAACTACCGTTTCTATGAATTTGGTCTGACAAACGGATTCTCTAAATGGCGTTTACCCACCATTTGGAGCTAGACGAATAACGAAAGTGGTCGAATATTGCTGGCTGGGCGATGTATTTCGCGAGCGTTGGGACGGCGAGTGGTCGACATATTGTTATAATAGAGTTACACTGTTGATCATTGGAGCAATTTTGATGAACATAATTGAAGAACCTCGTAGAAAACACGAGTAAAGTCCAGGCCAAACATTTCTCACTACTCACTATACACTTCATGAGCCTTAAATAGGGTATAAATTATTTTCTTGCAAACACTTATACATAAGTTGATGATCAGCTGGCGAACCGGATGTACTGCTCTTCTCTTTTGTCGCAGACTCGACCTTGACATTGTTCGGAATCTATCGTTGGCACTTTGTCTCAAAAAGAAGACAACGGCAATTCGTGCAAGAAATAGCGTGAAAACAATATTAGAAAAACACACCCAACTGTTGGTTGCTGCCAATTTCCGCGAAATAAAATAAATAAAAATTAAATGCAGCCAGCTGCAATGCCACTAATTGAGTATGTAAATATGTAACTTAGCGCACCTATAAATTGAAAAGCGCGCGGGGCGTACGAGTATATTGCATTTGCATGCCACTTTACGAGTATAAATAAAAGGTAAAAGAGAAAGCGATAGGAAAAATAATTGACGACCGTTGTATACTCGTGTTCGAAAAATTAGAAACTCACTTTTAGTTAAATACACAAACGATTTACTTACATACCAAAGCAACAGACGAATGCCAACTGAAGTTTAAATCTCAAAGTTAACCCCTTTCTACCACTATTTTTAGAATCCTCCAATTTTTGGCGTACACACGTAGATATGGTTTGTAGGCTAACAATTTTGCTTACGTCAGGAGAGAATGGCAATAATTTACTCTAGCAGGCAGAATTTGGAAAATATTTGCGCTTTTGGAAACCTCTGAATAAATAATCACGCCATTCAACTAAACTAGATTTCAAAGCTTCTACTCACATTTATACATATGTATGTATGAATGTATGTATGTATGTATGCATTTGCGTTTAGATGTATGTCTATACTTTACAAATATATTTGGACCATGTGGACTATTGGAGTAATCCAATAGATACTCCTCTGTAGTGTACTATTCGATCAATTCACGTCTCGCTACCAGTTTGTTGTTACCCGACGATTGTTCGTGTTTTAACGATGACAATAACTAAGCGAAGTTGCTAGTGCGCAATAACATCTATACTATGTATAAAATGTGTAAAAATTAAATTGAGTTCGTCTCGTTTAGTTAATGAGATCTCCTGGTACACAGAAGGCGTGCTGAATTTCAGCTAATTCGTAATTCGAACAAAATCGCAAATGTTAATTAATAATGAATTTGTATTGATAAATATTATGTTTTACTGACTCTTTACCAAGCCGCATTTTATTCGAAATTAAAAGGTATGATCGAATACAATTTTTCGTATATACTCCGTAATGTAACCTACTGTAGGTATTCCAAAGAGTATCTTTGCGGTGTAGATTCAAACGAATTTCCCGGTGGCTTACTCGAATGTTATGCGCAAAAAATATTTTTTGTATGAACGTGTGGAGTATATATAAATGTACTGCTTGTGTAGATGGAGTAGTCCCATCGATTGTTGGGTACATTCATGTACTTACCTGCTCAGAACTGGTTTGCCTCGTTGAGCTTTTATGACTGCCAGAGTTACTTTTGATAATTCGTTTCCATTATTTAAATAAGCACGTGTGTTTGTACATTGAAAATTTGTTTATTTTTATAAGCGGTTTGTTATCTGCAAAGCACTCATTTAAAATAAGTATGAGTATTGCGCAGAGAGAGCCATAACACGCAGATCGTGCACAGTGAAGAAAAAGCGCTTTTTATTTTGCTGAATAATTTTCTATACGAACGTACTAAGTTTAATCGCATGTGGAGGGATAACTATTATATTTTTTTTTTACAAATCGAAAGTTAATTGTAAGACATCAAAGGGGTTTTTTCAAACGTATTAATGTTACTGTGAATAATCTAGCTTTCTGATGAAAATCGGGTGACCATTTCGTTTTGGACTTGCGCAAGCTGGATTTCGTAAGCCCGCAAGCCAGGGTCTTTCCGTAAAATCTTCCAAATAGTGGATGGGCGCAGCTCTAATTGTTACGCGCGTTGGAGGGTGAAATCTAATTCAGTTGTTTGCAACTTTGGGCTCTTGTTGTTTGTACAGAACTGACTGGTGCCACTCGACTGAAACTACATGCCCACTAGCTTGAATGCACCCATCACACTTCTTTTGGACGACATTGATATTCTTATTTTTTTCATACTTGCTAATTTATATTGGCTGAAGTTTTCCAAGCATGAATTTCCCTCCAAACTAAACATCAAAATTACGCATTTCGTTGCTAATTTTACTTTATCGTGTTGTTGTGCTTGTTGTTTTAATGGTTCGCTAGCCCCGCTTAGGAGCACGCAAGATCAGTCTTAATTATGAAGGTCATCTAATGGGAGATCCAGCAACGAGCTGAAACCGAGTTGACTTTAAGGGGCATGCGAAAAGGTGGTTAGTGTCGTACCGGGATTCATTGGAGGCAGTACATAAGTGGACTATTTCGTAATCAAGTCTGGATAGGTGTTTTTGTAGTCCACTACAATATCGCGATTTTAGTTGCGCCAATATTATGCGGAACCCTCAAGCTTTTCTTCTGCGATAAGTGGTGGTTTGATTCTTCGCAATTCGTGGGCAGAGAGTTCGGGAAGGTGTTGACGAACGCTCGGTGAATGGCGTTTAATGTCTGCCAGTAAGCCGTGCTGTTCAAGTGGTGCTGAATTCAGCCCTTAAGGTTGAGTACTCCTTTTCTGATGTATCTAGATATTAGTACGGTTTCTAGTAAGTATCTGTAACGGTGCTCCTTACGGTAAGCTGTGTTATGGAGTGTGCAAGTCAAGAGTATTCGATACTGAGGAGAGGGGAGATATTGGTCGAAATGACTCTACATTTTCGGCATGTAGTTTATATTTTAGTTGGTCTGAAATCAATTAAGGATCTGTGTAAGATAGTCTGCTCACGACAACCGGTTATGCGGATTTAACTCGAATTTATCCGACCAAGGGCTGTCACCCTTTCGGCTATCTACCCCCATTTAAGTCAACAAGTAGAAAGTGGACTTTCGTCTCATTGCAAGCGGTTAAGTAAAATTTAGTAACAATTGGTATTGCTCATCATGTTACCTGTTTCGTCAGGCGTATCAATTTTCACGCAATTTTTATTTACTTTATACATTTTCTACAAAAAATTTAAATTTCGATGTGTGACCTTCATGAAATAAGTTTTTGCTATTTAGTTTGCAAAAACAGAAATTGCAATGGGTGACAGCGCTCATTTATCTGCAATTCCTGCAGCTCCTCAAACACATTAATTATAACATTATTATACAAACAGACTGTTGCCTTGCCATTCCAAACTTTCCTAAAAGTGCTTCTGCCATTGAAAATTATGTAATTTTTATTACAAATGGCTGAAGCATTTGAAAATGTGTGGTATGATGAGATTATTTGTAGAATCAGATAATCGTTACCTAGCACATTCCACAATTTGCCAGATTCTGACTTGTACAACAGGCGGATCACTGTAAAAGTAAATTATTACACAATTGAGGAGTATCCCATCACGACAGATGCTCCATACGGTAGTGGTCTTGAACCAATATTATGTATATTTGTATTGTTCACCGCAGACATTCCTACCAGTGAATGAAGTGAATGTAAAAACGTCAACTTTTTCAGAAAATACTACTATTATAAGACGGCACAAATGCCCCGTTACAGCCACAACAATTTACAATTGACTAAGAAAAGAGCGCATAAAATAAGGGAAAATAAGTGAAAACTTAACGGTCGCGGTAGATGAGTGGTTATCATTGCGGTCGCCCTCGGCAGGGAATGTCAACCTCTCCGAGTGTATTACTGACATGAAATACAGCCGTTTGGAGGGGTCTTGGTATAAATCGTATATCCCTCCATTTGTTGGCAAAACAATAAGACGCAAGACCACAAATTGGAGGAGGACCTCGGCGGAAAAAACGCCTCAGCGGTTTCAATGCGCCAATTATATATGTATAAGTGAAAACACTTACTTGATAAATAAGCCAAAAACGTGTCCTAGTGTCAAGGTGAACGAAATAACATACATTCACGTACGCTGAACCTGAATCGTACACACTTTAAAGTTGGTAATTAATTGTGATTTAAAAAGAAAATTTGTAGATAAGCCGATTTTTACAGCTCTTCACCACCATGTTTGAATAACTCTGCCGGTAGGCCGTCAGTTCCAGCCGATTTGTTGATACTTAAATGCTAAATCGCTATTCGAACCTCAACATAGTCGGGCGGTGCAACGTTCACCATCTCCGGGTGTTTCACTTTTACAGCCATTTAGCAGGCTGGAGAAGTGTTCCCTCCATTAATTCAGAATGCTCTGGTCATCCGTAATTAGATTACCCCTATGGGTCCTACAAAAGTTTGCACCAGTCGTTGGAAGTCCCGTATTTTTTCGTAGAATAAGCATACGACAAGCTTTTTGAATTTTAGCCTCTACCACATCCTGCAGGTGTTGCGGTCGATCGCAACATTTGCCAGGCACATGTATGTATGTAGCATGCTTTCTCTCGCATGCTGCAGTCCACATTGTACCATCTGTTTTGTGACCTTTTCAATAACCAATTATCTCGTTTGAAGCTGCATGTTGTGAGCTTGAAATCCCGACCCAAAATTTTCTTATACCGAGTTGTTGTCAGTGCTTTTAGAAAGCGGGAGTGGAAGTCTAATAGAAAACCGTTCGGCTGTCTGTTGTGATTGCGGCCTTTTAACTTCGTAACTTTTTTGTTTTTGTTGATGGGCTTTCCGAGTCGATGAAAGGTCCACGGAGTGTACGCACGTCAAGTATCTTGTGTAATTTTTTTGTGCTGGAGTAGTGAAGACAACCCTATTTCGTTCTGGTTAGTACGCTTATTAAAGGCCTCCTTTGTCACATCGTCCTTCTCTTCCGTCGTGGTATTAACGCTAGTCAACGTAGTATTGTAAAATTTCGTTTTGATGTGGATTGTAGTGAGACGTAGATCCACCGGAGTGAATGCCAGTACTCGGTGACGGAGTCCCTCTCCCAACACAAATTCGACACCAAATTTGCGCTCCTTTTATGGTAGTTGTAGTATATTTCACAAGGACCCACCTTCTTCCGTCCTTGTCCCGTTCATCTTACTTCTTGGAGGATGGTGATGTCAGCCTTTAATTTTATTAGGACATCAGCCAAATTATGCAAATTATTTAATTGAACCTATTAAAAGTAATTTTAGTATTTATAATTTTATTATTTTGCACATCCATTAATTTTTACAGTATAGATTTCCATTTAAATGTTGCATATAATTTATAATTTGGAAAATATAGCTATATTATATTATTTTCAAAAGTATTTAATTCGTGTTTAAAATGAATGAAATATAATAAATACGATGTAAATTACGTACTTTTTCTCTTTCCTTTTAACTCCTTTTTCTTGTTTTTTTTTTCAATGAAACATATTTTCTCCACCTATCTACTACTTTCCAGAATGCAACCATTTGTAAGGGAGTGTCAAAACCACCTTATGCAACATTGAATTATTGAATCATGCTCTATAGTAATGTATGACGAATATCACTGCGCGACAACCGATTAGCACACTCTCTAACCTATCAGTTTAAAGGAATATGTTTCATGCGCATTCTATTTTTCCTTTTATCCTGTATCATTTTCGCTCATTCTAAGTATAACTGTGAGCTCTGGAAGTGTACCGTTATTTTGCTTTACTTTTTTCTTTAAAGTGCGACAAAAATGCATGCATGTTTCTTGCGACAGCCGATTAGCACATCTTCGCTTTCATGTCACTGTTTGCGTGTAAGCTGCCTTGATTGGGTGTTTAAGTTTATTATTTATTTATTGGGACTATTTAGCAATAAAATAAAGTAATAATGGGCAACGGAAAACCACCTCTAAACCAACTTAGAAAGATGCAACGACTCAATTTCTGTCGATCAAATATGACCTGGACTAGTCTTTTCAGATGAAAAAAAGTTCAATTTGGAGGGTTCTGACGGCTATGCCTACTACTTTCATGATCTCAGAAATGAAGAGCATACTTTAGATCGATTGCACAGCCGTGCGGGTGGTGTTATGGTGTGGGGAGCTTGAACATGCTTTGGCACTATAGAACTGCAGTTTCTTACCAGCCGTATGAATGCCATTGCGTACATTGTGTACTGAATACGGCCTTCCCTGCAATCAAGGATATTTTTGGACCCTTGATGTGGAAGTTCCAGCAGGACAACGCACCTATCCACACAGCCAGGTTTGTAAAGTCCTGGATTGATGGTCAAAACGTGGAATTACTGACTTGGCCGCCACACTCTCCCGACCTAAGCATTATAGAAAATGTTTGGGGATGGCTGGCACGAAAGGTGTGCGAGTCCGGCAGGCAGTATTCAACTGAAGCAGAACTCATTGAAGGAATAAAAAGGTCCTGGGAGGCTGTTTCACTCAATTATATAAAAAAATTATATGACTCGTTACCTCAGCGGATGTACGAAGTCATACTTAACCCTGGAGGCTCAACACATTATTAATTTGTTTTCAAAAAAGTTAAAAATATTTAAATTTATATTAAAAAACAATTTGAATGAAGTTTGAACTCATTTTTTTTTTTTGTTATTTTAAGTTTTCAAGTGACTGTGCTAATCGGCTGTCGCGAAAATAATAGAGAATTTTGTATGTTATGTTTGTTTATATTAATTTAAAATGTTATTGATAAAGTTAGTATCCTATCTTCTATTAATTTTCGTGTGAAATTATATAATCTTTTAAGGGAAAAAAATATTTCAAAAGCAAATTTAGTTTTCCTGATATTAAGTTTCAAAGACGATAAGCATAAGGTGTGCTTATCGGTTGTCGCGCAGTGTATGTACATTGAAATAGAGTTCAAGGAACCGTGATCTTTTTTCCGCTTATAGAGGCTTCTCACTCAACGGAGTTTCTATGAGTAGTACGTTTGGACAATACTCAAATTTGCTTTGCAAACGATATTAATCGATACAAATTATTTAAAGCAAGTCTCATACTATTTCTTCGAGGCGGAAAGAAAATGAAAACGTTCACAGTTTCTGAAAAATAAAGAATGAGTCAAGCCTTACATTATATAATATTATATATACATGAATATACAATTGGACCTTTGTAACCGCTGAAGCGACTTTCCAATTTGTGGTTTTGGATCTTGATGTTTTTTCAACAAATAAAGAAACCTACAGTTTATACTAAGAAGCCTCCGAACGGCTGATGATTTTTTACGAGGAGTCTTTATTTCATGTCCGAAAATATAAATAAATACACTCGGAGGGGTGGACATTCCCTGCCGAGTGGCGACCGCAATTAGAAAATTGAACTTAATTTTTTATTTAAATTAATTTTCCATAACTTTTGGATGTTGGTGGTTTACAACCCAAACCTTCCGAATGCCAGTACACTATGCTAACCACTCGGTTACCGCGGCCGTCTTACAATACAAAGAGTAAATTTTCGGTTATAGAGGAAAAGGCAAGAGATGTTCTCGATTATAGAGATCAGTTCGAGAAAAATTACTGTTACATATACAGGATTTTGTTTTTCATTTCTTAGAGTTTTTTTTTATTGGTGCCAAATTCCAACATCTGAGATTTGTTTTCACTTGCAGAGTTTTCTTTCTAGCTTCCTGAGTACAAAATTTCTCTGATCTAATTGTAATACAAATGCAAACCTGTAAGATAATATGTTCCATGTTCAATGAAAATATTCATAGAAATCAAAGCATACGCACCATCAGGAAGAGAAGTAGTAACACAAAAATAGGTAACAAAATGATTTTTACCCTTTGATTAACACCTTAGTCTCAGCTTGTAAAGAGCTATTGTATTTTAAAATTAGTTTAAAGATTTGTTTACATATTATTAGGCTTCCGGCGTCGAAACAGATTCAGTTAATAAATACAAATGTTAATAAAGGAAATAGTTTAACCTTAAGTCCTTCGCCACAACCGGCCTCGATGGTAGAGTAGGGTGATCCATTATCCTTTCAAAGATGTCTTGGAATGCACATACAAACGCTGCCTTCGCCACGATAACAAAATCGTGTTTGGGGACTACGAGTATAACGCTAGGATGGGTAAAGAGATATTTTTGGTGCAGCGGTGGGAAGATAATGCCTACACAAGGTAGTCTTCCTGTATGGCCTGCGGCGATCAACTTCATTATCATTCGGCCTTTTGCTGAATATCGTCGACGTCATCGCTGACGACCATCAATGTTCATCGTCACTTTCATCGCTTCGTCTTTGTTTAGGTATTCTATACAAGCAATGTAGACGAAACGATGTGAATTGAGGAAACACTAAGACCCTGTGCACGAGAAATTTTCCGAAAAACCCTTCTTTTATATAAAAAATAATTAAATACGAGTTGTTCTTTTCAAGCGAAAGAAAAATAGAAGTTTAAATGGTCATCGTAGACCTCTAAGGCAACAAGCAGACATATAGCAGAAGACTTTTTTGCGGCCTTTTTTGTCGACCTGGTACTGTACGCGAAATTCTCACATAAGCTACTGAAGGAACATCTGTTTGAGAACCTGTTGACGTGTTGTTTCTGATAATCTCGCGCTGCGCTTCAACGTTATCATAATTCGACTCAAATTTAGCACCAACTGGATTTAACAGCTCTTCAAACTACATCAAATTCGCAACAGGTTTTTAAGGGAGTCAACACCACCGGTTGATCTTGAGTCTTTTTTTGATGTTCTTCAAGTTCTCTTCACTTTGAATTTGAGATCTTGCCACACCTAAAATAGTTAAAATGCATCTTTATCAAAGTAAATATACCGTCATCACGCACATTAATTTTTCTTTAAAAATGTGTTAGATAACGCTTTTTTGGAAACCCCTAGCTAAATATGGCTTACTATTTAATTCTGCCACAAATTGAACGCTTGTCGTTAGCCGCTTTAATTTCTGTATCGTTGCGTGCGTTGCGTTGAAGGATCGTCAGTGAAATGACTGTCGTTAAGAGACGATAAGAAACGACATATAAAGATGGCGGTAACGCTGACGATCATACCGCAACAGCGTCTGACGATACTGTTGACGATAGCGTTGAACGGCATACTAATTTCACCGTATCATCATTTTCGCTGACGATGACGATATTTAGCATAAGGTCAATTACCTGTAATATCAAATTCCACGATAAAAAAAATCTTCAAACTGTTTGGTAGTCACTGGTCGAAATATTCACAATCAAAGCGACCGGAAGACATGTTTCCCACAACTTAAGTACGCTTATCCACATATTGCTGTTCTTTCAGGACTTACATTCGTTTCACCTCTTTTAACTGGACAGGAAAATAGTTCGCCTTCACCTACGCTGTGGTCTCCTTTACATAAAAATATACTAAATTATTTCCAACAAAAAATTATTGCAATCACTTTAGACTAGAAAATTGATAATTTAGTTAAAAGGAAAAGCATTTTCAGATATTAGTAGTTGTTCACTTCTGTTATTCTATTCATTGTAACAGTATTAATTTTGAGTAATTGTTATTTAGCCATGAATAGTCACTGATATCTATCATTATTTTTGAGGTAAGCTCTCATTTCATTCGCGGAAATAATCTCAATTTTTTTGTAACGTAATATTTCTTTTAACGGTGTGCGCCAAACACATTGAGATTTTGCAACTAATTGGATTTGGATGGAACATACTATACTCTTACTTCGGCTTATCCTTTAAACTCCGTTGATAGCGTACTGCTCGTGCTACTTGATACAGCTGTGTAAGTGCAACAAAAACATTTACAGAGAATAAAGAATAATTTTTCGGTACTATAACGAGCGAATAGCGCGACCAAATTATGCCAGTCATGGCTAAAACAGAACATTGATTAATTGACAATAGATGGGCCGGACGATTAATATCACCAATGCCAGCCAAAACTAGTACCTGAAATTGTCTCAAATTTGAATATATAGAGACTATTAGACCGGTAAAATTACCCATTTTCCTAATGGCGCCCAAAAAAATATCGTTTTCGGACCTTATGCATAAAAAAGAAATAAGCATTAAGATTTGGCGAATTGGTTAATATTCGTTTCTCACCTGCTGCATGCTCCCAAAATGGACGCATTTTAGTTGGTACGTAAATATCCGCTGTTCCAATAATTTTATTATACAGGCGGGAAAGTGGTCCAACTTTCCCACTCATTGTCGAAATGAATAGCAGTCGTTTGTTTATAGTTATTTTTTTCTTTTACAACAATGTTAAATAACTGAAATGTTAGTTACTTAATTGGACGAGATTATGAAATATCATGTTTTATTAATGACGTTTTGCATTTTAGTTTCCATATAAAAATGTAGCTTCATTCTTTCTCTCTTATATACCTGTGCGCCCAAAAATATGCACAATATTTACATTAAGTATTTCGGCAATGGCAGTTTTGAATATATGTACGAGGGGATTAACAAAAGTTCGGTCAGTTGGTGGCTTTCAATTTGTTTTTGTTAAATCTAAAAATACCGAATTCTTTGCAATTATTTTGATAGTCTTCCTTTTAAATTTTAGAACGATCGCTTAAGAGGCACAACTAGTGTGAAATTTCAAACAAATCGATCTTTTTTTCATATTTCGGTTGATTACACCTTTAAAAAATAGATTACACCTTAATAAAAAAAAAAGAAATTAAACATAACATATTAAATTTTCAAATCGATATCTCAAATAGTTTTTGAGTTATAGCAATTTAGAGAGCAGCCGCTCGGCAGCTAGAGAGTCTCATTAGCTACGAGTGAAAACGATTATTTTATCTTTAAACGCGTTTATCTCGAAAAAGCATTTTCCAAATTTGCTGTAGTGATTACTCAAAAACAAATGATCCGATCACTATCGATTTTTTTTAACATGTTCTATATATAGTTCTCCGTACAATGACCTATCGATTTTTGATCTGATCAAAAAATCGAATTTTGGCAGGCCAAAAACGACCAAAATTTTGGGTAATATTCGACAATTTTTTTTAAAACGCCGCCATATTGTCAATTTTTTTTTTCATAGGTCATTGTAAAGACAATATTATCTAGTGGAGAATTTTAATTTTTAGTTTTCACCTACGGAGAAGGCCGGTATCACTGCAGCTGTGAAGGACCTTTTTTTCGCGCCGTTGGAGATCGACTACAACTTAAAAAATATTTAATTTTTTCTTAAAAAATGTCGCTGTATATTCTTGAAACATGTATAAATATATTCTTAAAATTTTGAAATGATTAATAAAGTATTTTTTTAACAAAAATTCCCAAAAATCATTTTTTTAAACCATTACACTAGGTGTGCCCCTTTGAAATGGCGACGAGAAAACGCAAGATAGCTGAGGATAGGTCAGATGAAATTCCAGCACCAAAGCAAACAGAAATTTTATATAAGACCCAAAAAGAGACTCGAAGGCATTTTGTTCAATCTTTCCTAAACAAATTCGAAAATAGTCCGTCCAGCAACTTTACCAAAGTCGTTACTGGTAATGAATCTTAATTCTATAAGTACAATCCAGAAACTAAACAGCAGTCCATGGTATCGAGCCCAACGGGAGCAAACCCACCCGTAAAATCTTGACAACAAAAATTCCCAGCAAAAGTAATGATTCAGCTTACTTCAACCGATCTAAAATCGTAACTGCTATTCCACTGGGTCTGACGGTAACTGCAAAATGGTACACTGAATAGTGCTTACCTCGAGGAGATAATTAATGTGGTTAATGCTGAACTAGCGGCCGCGGTAGCCAAGTGGTTAGCAGTGCATACTGACGCTCGGAAGGCTCGGGTCCATATTCCGGTCCCACCAACATCCAAAAGTTATGGAAAATTAATTTAAATAAAACATTAAATTTAAATTTTTCCGAGTGTATTTCGGACATGAAATAAAGGCTCTTCATAAAAAGCCATCTGCCGATCGGAGGCGATTTAGTATAAATTTTAGGTCCCACCATTTGTTGGGAAAACATCAAGACGCAAAACCTCAAATTGGAGCAGGAGCTTGGCCGAAAAATCGCTACAGCGATTACAAAGCGCAAATTATATATTGTAGTATAATGCTGAACTTGACAACGTTAAAAAGCAAGATTTTGAATATTGTTTTCAGAAGTGGATCTATAGACTTAAGAAATGCATTGAAATCAATGACGAGTACGTAGAGAAGATAAAAAAGGACAAAAATTATGAATAAATAAAAAAGTTCTTTCCTCCTTTTTTCTGGTCGACTTACCGAACTTTTGTTAATCCCCTCGTATGTGTACATGTGTTAGAAGTTCTCTACAGCGGTTGGATTTGGGTTACTCACGCAGCGTAGTATATATTTCAAGCGTGCATAAAGTAGTCGCATTAAGCTTATGTGAATTTAGATGATAAAGTCCCCCGACTTCGGTGATTTTCGGTGACAATCTTTATAGATATTTACGGATGGGTATGTAACTATCACGCTTTTAGATGCTTTTTTGACGTAGGTCTGTCCTAAGCATCATTTCTAAACAAATTGGTGTAGTCGAGCTACTTGTTATAGTCATCCCATTTCAATTTTTTTTATAATACCAATGTACATACATATATATAATTCATTACCCCTTGCCTTTCCGGCTAATATGAGAAAAGATTGCCAAGCTAATTTTCGTATTTCAATCATTTTCCTTCATTTAAATATCTGTATTTTCAGAGGCTTTCCAGAAAAAACACTTACTGGTTTTTATGGTTATGAAACATGTAGAATTACATTATTGTTGCACCCCCTGCGGGTTAGGGGCTCAAGAATTTACCCGCGGTAAGGCATGCCTGTCGTAAGAGGCGACTAAAATCCAATAGTTCCCGCGACAGTCGGGTCTTTATACCGGAACGACCCGGATTTTTATCCGGCCAAGGACTGTCACTCCCGCCACATTCCCCAAAAAGTACTTTAAGGAATAACTTTGCGGTTACAACAACAATAACATTATTGTTGCTTTCCACTAACTTTTGAATATAGTCAAAAAATTAAAAATACCGTAAAATTTTATTAAAATGCTTTTGTATGTGTAACTGTATTAATGTAACCGCTAAAGCATCCAGGACCAGAGATTCTCGCTAAGGTCCTCTATTTGTCTCTAAACACCCGACGTGAGGAAAATGGGCAGGGTGGTCTCGCTACTCAAATAGGGGAAACCAGCCAACAGAGGAGAGGGAGAGAAAAACGGTCCTGCGTGCGAACTGTCCCAGCAACACTACAACTGTCTATTGGACGTTGAAGAGTCCTCATTACCGCCGGGGTTGAAAAGGTGATCGTCAATCATCGGTAGAATTCCGAGGTGTCAAATATCGAAGATTAAAAAAGGAGTTCTGCAGGATGGTTTCTTCTCCCAACTGCAGTTTTTCTTTTATATCTCGAAAGTCACTCCTCCTCTGGATCTCATATACCGATGATGGCTCCACTATTGATAATTTATATTCGAAAGATCTTTCCCACTCCCACTGCTACCCTCTTCACCCGCTGGACGAAGGATTGCACGCTCGAAGTCAATGTTGAAAAATCTATGTCGTAAGAATTCCGACTATAAACGACTAAAAGATATTAGGAGTCACACTAGATAGCCTGCGCAGCCGACACTCCGCATATGACTGCAAATGCCACAAAACTCCAGAGCCGCAACGAAATCCTCAAAGCGTTAGTCGACGGCACCTGGAGGAAAGACAAAGAAACGTTGCTAGCAACCTACAAGCCTCTAGCCGGCCGGTCGTAACTATGCTGCGCCGATCTGGGCACCAGGGACAAACGAAACGCAATAACTTATATCTGGACAAACGGGCAAACCGCAAATCGAGTCTACTATCGACAAGTACTTGCGAAAACGAGTCAACAGGGTGCACACAGACATCGCTCGTAACTGGATCCTTCATCACGACAACGTGCCGTGCCACACCGACCTCAGCGCGTCGCCGTATTGGCCTCTAAAGGGTTCGTCGTGTGACTTTTTTTGATCCCTAGAATAAAATCGGTGGTCAAAGGAACTCATTATGAGTCATTTAAGGACATCCAGGCGCACGTGAAGAGAGTACTCGCGGGCATCCCAGTCGTTCCAGAAATGTTACGAAGCATGGAAAAGGCTTGTATAGCTGCCCAAGGGGGCTATTTTGAAGGAGATAGCAGAGTTTTAGAATAATTTATGAAATCAGTCTCACTACGTAATTGTCACACCTCGTACATATATACCTATTTAACTACTTTAATGATCGTAAATATTAGCAGAGGATATGCAAATTGTGTACGAAAATGGTTAAAGCTTGACAGATACAGACAGTTGTATCTGTATTATTTCTGCAGCTCCAGAAAATTAACTCTCAAAACTATGTCAACAGGTGTTCAAAAGAATTTAAAGACCCTTTTGTAAATAAAGCATCTTATACGTCTTTGGTGAGGTGAATATCAGAGTATGGCTCACTGATTTGGAGTCCCAATTATCAAGTGCATTCCGATAAGTTGCGAGTCTGCTCAAAAACAATTTTTACTTTCTGCATTTAGGCATTTACGATGGAACCCTACAATAAATCTTCCTCCCTATACCAACTGCGTAAAGCTTCTAATATTACCTACTCCCGCAAGTCGTAGAGAAATGCTAAACGCGTTTTTCGAAGTGAAACTTCTTAACGGCTCAATTTGTGGTTTATGGCTCTTATCTAACGTAAAATTTAATGTACCAACTCGTGTATCTAGCAGTTTAGGCCTTTACTATTTAAAGTCATGTAAGACAAATTATGAATTGAGTGAACCTTTTCGCCGGCTGTCACAATTTTAATTTTCATTACAGCACCATCTCCAATCTCTCACGACTCACTTTTTAGCATCAAAAAACTAATCTTTCTTCTCTCAATAATTACATTTTAAAATTCCTTAGTTACTAAATTTCAGCTGTTGAATAATTCTTTTTTCGGTAGCGGAGCAGTTTTAAAGCTCAACACATATAACAAACGCTGTTTTCTTCCAATCACGACTAGGTATATTCCGTAAGTTATGCGTATGTCGTCTCTCGTGCCAATTTGGCGGGTGCCGGGTCAATATCGATTTTAGGTTTGATAAGACACGATTCCGGGCCTCCATTATTCCTTGAAAAGCTCATCATCTACTATCCAAGCAACTAGTAAGGAAAGGACAACAATAAGCGCACACTGCAATTTCCACACACTCACAGCGCAATTACACACATAATTGAAGTTATGAAAAAATGCGATTTTTTATATTTTTTATATTCATTTTCTTTTTTAATAAAATTTAATTTAAATAATTACTTTACTTCGTAATTGTCGAATGCAAGTTTTATACTTTTTAAATATACGCTTGCTGCTCTATTATTAATATTAATTTTTTTTTTATATTAGTTTGATTTTATATTAATTTATTTTCACTGCAAGAGTTTCTTCACATTAATTTCATGTATGTATGTAAACTTATTTCTTCGAAATCATTTTATGGTGAATTTAATTCTATACCAAGACTCGACTCTGGATGTTTTCAAGTTGCTTACTGCCTAATTTCTTAACTTTGCTTTGATTTTTTCACTATTCAGCTTGCGTACTTAGTACCAAAGTACAATACATACATCCATACATATATATATATATATTCGTATGGATCAAGTTGTCATGCCATGGCGTTGTTTTCTTTCATTGCTATGCAATTTTTTTCATGCTATTTTTGTGTGGCTGATTTCTATTGCACTCATTTGCATGTACATATGTATGTATATGCTAAGCTATTATTTCATTTATAAGAATTTCTTAATACAATTTCTTCAATAGGAAAAATAATTCTTGCTTTCAAATTTTTTATATAATTTTTAATGAGTTTTTCAAATATTTTTATTAATCTTGTATTTGCTTCGCTTTAGGGTCCGTTTTCTGGCATTGTTTAGCAATAGTTTTTAATATTGAGTCTTCAGTTTTGCTTTAATGTTTTCACAGACATATGATTTTTTGTTTTTTTTTTGGATTTATTCAAAAGATAATTTTTGAGGAATTTTTTTTCTATTTATTAGAGACCTAAACTATTTCCAAACAAACTTGAAAAAGGTTAATAAGCGAAAACCGGACCAAACATAAGGAAGAGGAATGATGCTATATGCACGTAGATATATGTAATTGGTGTGGATTTGTTTTTTGTCTGACCCATTTGGTTGGTAAACTTCAACATGAAAAATAGGAGTTGTTATAAATGCATGTGGTTTGAGTGGTAATCGATATAGTAGCATTTCGGTTTGTTTTAATTTAAAGATGTACAACTTTGTAATTTCTACCGAAATTCTGATAGTTAGTTACATGTAAATAGACAACCCATTTTTTATATAATTAATGACAAAGAAAAATATTTAAAAAGTTCAAGTACTAAAAGTGTGGTTTGGAACTTGTATTTTAATTAACGCAATTGATTTAATTTAATTAAAAGTGATTTAATGAGCGATTAGGGGTCTCCTACTTAGCCGTTCAATATTATACAAACTCATATACTACAAGAGTGAAAATAACCAAATTCATTTATAACAACTCGCATGCATACGCATGAAAAAATTAAATTTTAATAAAACGAATGTAATGAAAACTATACAAATGCAGATATATATTTTTGGTGTAAATATAAATATATGTGCGTGTGGTAATATTAGTGGTTTAAGCAAAGGTCAACTTGCTGCCAAATTAAAAAGAAAATATTTAATTGTTGATGAGCAATTTTTAGCATGAACTACATACATACATAAATGTACATATGATCGTTTGTTCTTCGCTAAAGAATAAATAACAATTTTTTGAGGTTATACAATTTAAGAAATTTCTAAATTTTATTACCTTTAAGTTCCCTGGACAAGACGGTTTCTGAGCAGAGTTGATTTGCATACGTGCCCCAACGTATTTTAGGAATACATGAGCATCGACAGTTGAGAATTGCTAAAAATAACCACTTATAATTATTAAACTGAAATCTGTGAACACAACCGAAATAATCAAAGAAAGAAATTGTAGCCCGATTTAAAGTGTTTGAATTAATTTAAATTCCTTGAAGTAGCGAGTCACTATGTAGAAATATGAAATTTTTTTTAGCAATATAATATAATTTTTTTTTTGTACAATAATTATAAACCATGTGTTTATTTGCAAATTTAAAAAAAAAAAAAAACCTTTTATGAGTTTTACACTTTGTGAACTCTCCTACGTTTTAATCTAAATAAATATAATTTTTATAAACTTTTTAAGCATTTCAAATTTTCAGTTATTTCAAAATATGAAAATGGTTTATGTACATATCGGCCGGTTGCATACAGTAATGCTATACCAAATCAGTAATAACAGATCTCCAAAATTCGCAATGCTACTGTAATGGTAAATAAAAACTTCTTAGCCTTCATACATAGTTTAGAAAGTTATGATCTTTATTTCAAATTTCAAATTTTTTGTAAGTTTAGCAGTAAAATGAACTGTTAGCAATACGAAATAATTCGTATCTGATACCAATTGTATAAGACACTTAAAAATGTAGAAGAATTTTGATTGGCGCGAAAACGTTCAAATCAATTTTTATTTATAAATTTTGAAAGTAAAAATTTATATCTATACAAACACTAAAACTATTCAAAATAAATAGCGAAACCTATTTAAACTTATTATTACTCCGCTTGCCAAAACAAGTGAGTTTTATCCACCTACAATGCATATCAACTCCATCAACCGTCCAACAAACAGATTTCATTTACTTGTTTTTGTTGCTGAGTTTCATTATGATTTAACGTTTACGACAATGAAGCTGGCTGGTGTTTGTATGTTTATGTGAACGTGAATTCGGTTTAAAATGATGTATGTATTTGATGAGACAAAGAAACTATTTTTTTGTAAGTTTCTTTCATTTTCGCTTTTCTCTATAATTCTTAAACAGAAAAATTCCATGTATTTATATGCATATAATTATGTATGTATATAATTTTGTTTCATATAATATTAATTATAATTATAATCATATTGGTCTGGTGAATTGTTTTGCTATTGTTGTTGTTGTCGGCATTTCATTTCACGTGTATTTGTTGTTTTGAGAGTCAACCATTTTCACTATTCACTACTGCTAAACGCTGCATTCAACTGCAAATCCGATGAAAATCAATCTGTGAGTGTGATGTTAGCTAACAACACAATATACATATGTCGTTGCTGTCGCTTCTTGGTTTTCATTCGCGTTTTTCCTTGATATTTCATGCAGTTGGTATTGTTAATTGTTAATTTACTTTCCGCTAATCCTGTTTTGTTGTCTGTGTATAATTCTGAATTTTCTTCATTTAATTTACGTTATGTTTTTTTTTTTTTTTTTGCAAATATTTCTTTGCTGTCAGTCAGTCAGTTCAACACTTGGCCGTCGCTGCAGATGTTATCACTTTCAATGTTTGACAAGTTAATTGTTTGGCGCGAGATGGCTCAACAGTACGTCGATGTAGTATTCTTGTAATTTGTGGTGGTAGTTTTTAGGTGCTAGTCGCGGTCGTGTTGGTGGTAGTAGTTTTATTATTAAACTTAAGTTATTTCCACAGCAGCCGTGCTAATTTAAAAAGTTGAAAGAATTCATTGGTAATTTGCTGTCAGCGTTCGGATCAAATTGGAATTGTGAGCCATCGTTGGTGGGTGCAATGCTGGCTTGTTCCGGCTATAAATATAGTTGTATACACATACGTATTAAAATTCATAAACGAATTTAAGTAAGAGGTAAATTTTTTGGGCATAGCTTTGAACGTAATGGTAAACTTCGCACTTTTATGACAAAAGTGATTTTTTGACATAAATGTGTTTGTGGAAAGTAAGCTGATACTACAATTTTAATTAAAAATCAACATCAAATTTAAGATTGTATTTTCACAAGCCTTTTTCTCGTCATAATCAAAACATAGGGAATTGAAAAGCTAATGTAAAATTTACACCATTTCCGCAGTTAAGGGTTAAAAAAAAATGTTTAGCTAAGTGATTTTAAAAACCTATTTCGTTAAGATTTTATTCGACAAGAGAAAAAAATGCATGCAATAATTGGGAATTCCCACTGACTGTCAAATATTAGCAAATATTTGCTAAATTCTGTCTTGAAATTAGGCCTCGTCAAATGGGATAAACCTTCCCAGCTTTTGTTTACAAATAACGTTTAAAATTAGACAAAATATGGTACTCTTAGTATAGAACATTATAATTGAAACACGTTTGGAGCAATTAAAATATTATTTACTAACCTCATCTGAGAAATATTGTTCAATAATTTCGTATGCCAGCTTGTAAATCTCAACGTTTTCGTGATTTTGCAGCTTTTCAATTTTTTCCAATCCATCGCATTCCTCAATTAAATTGGCAACTTCTTGTACATGACTTTCAGCCATTTTGAGCATATTATTTAGTCCATCAAGAACAACCTGTGGGGAAAAGAAATAGTTTATGAAAATATTTAAATCGATTTCATTAACATGAAATATGCTTTGATCGGAATGGTAAAATAATACTTACATTAATAACTTGTGTATCTTGGCAGGAGAGCAAATCACAGAATGGCGGTATGACACCCTCCTTTATCAATGTAAACACTTGATCACGATTACCGCTAATAGTCAGATTACTTATTGCCCAGGCAGCCTCCTTCTGCGTCTGGAATTCGCCTTTACTTAAATTTTCAATAATTTTCGGCAACAAACCGACATTGATGACCGCCTGTACTTGTGATTGATTACCAGCCGTAATGTTAGACAGGAACCAGACAGCCTCCTTGCGGATTTTTTCCTTTTGATGAGACAATAATGCTGGGAAATATGACAACGCGTCATAGTTGAGCACCACTTGTGTTTGTTCATCAGATCCGGTGACAATATTACCGACAGCACGCAAAGCAGCCGTCTGAACCTTAACTTCCGCATGACCCAACAAAGGTATCAGCTTGGGTACAACACCACTTTCAATTACCATTTGAATTTGATCATTTCCTCCATCAGTTAGATAACTGATTGCCCAAACAGTATCAACCAATATGTTTGTATCGGTGTGATGAATGAGCACATTGAGTGCAGGCAGGATGTCGTGTATGGTGGCGGCTGGTGGAGGTGGATCTTTATTGCGGCACAAATTTACAATAACCCAAGTGACATTGCGCAAAAATGATATTGGTATATCGGGCTTAATAAAGGAAAGTAGTGGCTGTACGACGCCATGTTTGATGACAAAATCGCGCAACTCCGGTCCATCACCAATAATATTGCCCAATGCCCATACCGCCTGTTCGCAAACGTTTGGTGCAGGCGAAGAGAGCAACTGAAGGAAGAGCGGCACGGCGCCAGCAGCAACTACCTAAAAGTAAATTGACATTTCATGAATTGATGACTACTTAGTTACATTCAAATAGATTGAATTTTAAAGTTTTACTTCTCTATTTCTTTATTCACAGTGTATGAAATGATAGTACTTTTCAAACATACCTGATTGGTTTGATCCGATGTACCCGATGCAATATTGGTCAATGCCCAAGCAGCTTCGAACTGTAGCATTGTGTGATCATGCTGTTTCAGACACTCTACTAAAATGGGTAGAATGTCACTCTTGATGAGGTCGTTGATTGGCGGATTCTTATCCGATGAGAGCAGTTTGCGTGCAGCTTGTACTGCTGCTAACTGTTGCTCCGGCTTGGAAGAATCAGCGGCCGCCTCGGCCAATTTCTTCAAATTAATTGTATTAGGCAGCTGATCATCCTCATCTGTATTCGAATCCATGTTGGGAACATTACGACGTTTCAGGATCGTCTCTTCGCGTTTGTTTTTGCGCAGCTCAACTGTTACCTCGTTTCGGCGTCGTCGCATCTCCTTTACATTATATAAAAATCAATTTTAAATAAATTAAGATCCTAGGATATGTAAAACTACTTATTGGTATTGGTGTAATATATGTATAATTGGCGTATTGTTACTACTGAAACGATTTTCGGACGAACTATTTCTCCAAACTGTGGAGAGGCGGCTTAGAAAGAACCAGGTTCCTCCAATTTGGGGAATAACATTTGAGACACACACCATATAGGGTAACATTGTTTTCTATAAATTTGAATGTTAGTCGGACCAAAAGTCACACTCCGTTTTTCCGAAACATAGTAAGCATTGCTAACAATTCGACTATTGCAGCCGCAATTGATTCTATCGAATTTTGGTACATTCAAATATATACATACATATATATGTTAACGGCACGAATAGAGTGATCAATGTGATCCACAGCATATGTACATACCATCAAATGCGTCATAATTACAAAACAATAATAAAAACAAAATTGAAATGAGAAATACATTGAAATACCATCAGAGAAGAAATACACTGTACACGTGATACATATAACTGAGAAAATAGCGGACAATACCAGCCGTAAATTTGTATACACAACGCGAGAAGACAAACAAAGAGCGCAATGTGTATAAACATACACTTCTGTTTAAGTGTGATAGATCATAGTATTAGTTTACTTAAAATCTGTATTTTATAATAATATATGATACGCCCTTTTATGAGAAAATTATTTTCATTCTATAATAAACAAAATTATTTGTTTGAACTTTCATTTTGTAGGGGAAATTATGAGAATCCGTAATACAAAGAAATTCGTATCTGACACAGCAATACATTTACTAATACAATCTCCTTTCGTGACGTTCATAAGAAGAGAACTCAGAAAATTGCGAAAATCAATAATTGCACAGCGACAGAGCACCATACGATGAAATATAAGCAAATTGAATTGGCGAGTGGCGGGCGCATGGCCAACATGACATACGGCGCACATAAAAACAGTGAGGATGATTTCGGTGGGCAGTGGGTGCAGGCGGCAAGTAACGTACTTTAAGCCCCGTTGCTGCAGTACCCTATACATGTGTCTTCCACTCACTGCTATCCATGTGCTAATCACTATGCTCAAAAATAATTGCGTATTATACCTTCCAATTCAAAAAAATATTTGCACTTTTTATCACTAATAACGTTCATAATTTCGTCAATTTTTTTTTAATAATTGTAGTATGCGTTAATAAATTACTCACATCTTGATCCTTGCCCTTATTTTTGAAGTTTTGAAGGCGATTCACATTCGGTTCCAGCGATGTCATTTTGTATTATTTCTTCTTCGAATTATAGCTGCTTACTTTCACTTCTTCAAAGATTACAACGATATTTATCGCTGTGATTCAGTCCTTTTATGTGATATATATTGGCTCTCTATACAAATTTAGTTATGAAGTAATTTTTCTGAAATAATTTTTCAGTACCACATCAAGTAAAAGAAAAAGTAGACAGAATCGTCAGACATTCAGCGAGTAGTGAACAACGAATTTGCAGTCAACGAGTTTTTGGCAAACGAAAATCACAAAGGCGAACATACACACATTTATATACGTCGTAAACACCACAGGCACGTTGATTTGATTTTGAGAGAATCGGGCACACGATTTGTCGATGATGTGACGATGATGACGAACCAACGATGGCAACGAAGAAGGGCGATGACAAAAGAAATAAGAAAAGCAAATTAGCACAAAATTTTTTAAGTTTGTACGCAGAAACTGCTTACTTTTCATGTGATTTGTAATCAAAAAAGAATGCTCGTCTACCTTCGTATCACTTCAATATGATTTTTTAAATTTTTATTTTTTCTAAAACAACTAAAATGTACAAAAAGTCACGAACGTACTTAAATACGCTTAAAAATTCTTTTCATTACTCGATGTAAAGGAACGAGACTTAAACGAGCGAACAACTAATAACTGCTTATAACGAATGGCATATCCGGTATGTTCGTGTGTTGATTCATTTCCCGCTGGCTCTACCTTGTGATGCCATATTAAGACAATCATTCAATGGAATTACAACAAATTAATTAAATTAACAACTTTATTTTGATAACTAAACGTAATAGATTTGGCGGTGGCGGTGGCCGAGTTGTAGCGTTGCCTAATGTCATTCCGAAGGCTCGAATTCAATTCCTGGTATTAACACCAAAAAGGTTTTAAAAGATTAAGTCAAGTTTTCTAATCGCGTTCGTCGCTCGGCATGAAATGTCAACTCGTCCGAGTGTATTACTGGCATGAAATAAAGCACCTCATAAAAACAGTCAGGCGTTCGTAAGCGACTAGTATAAACTGTAGAATCCCTCTATTTGTTGGTTAAACATCAAGACGCAAAACCAGAAATTGGAGTAGAAGATCTGTCGAAAACCGCTTCAACGGTTACAAATTATATTATTATATATGTATATATAATATATTTTCAACATTTCCAAAAGTAATTGAAAATAAATATTGTCATTGTGTAAATGTCTTTGATTTTGAGCTGAGTAGCCGTGTCACCTTTTTGCTCCCATTAACTATTAATTGATTGGATTTTTATATGTTTGACAAAAATAACAGAAAACTAAAAGAAGTTTTATAGAAATTCATGTTGCGTTGGTCAGGGTAGAGAGGGAACAAAAAGAAAAGGGTCAGGCAAGTCAACATGAAGGGAGGAGGGATCCTGAAAGGCCCAAAATATGTAGTTAGGTACAATCATTTATACTTAATATTACAGATTTTTTACAAATCTAAATAGTACAATATATACAAGTATAGGAAGATATATTTTGTGTCCTTGGTGTTTTTCGGTGGTATATTATAATGTCAGATAAGCAAAAAATTTGTGTCCGTCAACGGCTTAATTATCTATTTGATTATGTTACTCGGAATATTTATCGCTGGAGAATCGATAGAATAGATAATTATTTGACGTTTTTTATAACAGAACGTGGCATCTCTATTCTATAACAATTATTTATTAACATTTCTATGTTTGACAATTTATAAAAATACAGCAGTTTAAAGTGTGTTACATCGGAAAAAATTTTGAAGTTTTGAATAAAATGTATATTATAAGAAATATGTGTAAGATCTTTAACAACAAAGAAAAGAAATAATAAAGTGTATATTTAATAGTAGTTGTAGAATAAAGCTTAGTAAATATGTCAGAAACACAAAGTGGTTCTAAGCTCCCTGTAGAAAATTCACTGACTCTGTACCAAATTAAAGTTAAACAAGAAAAATTCGATCCGGAGGTTGAGGCGAAGATTAATGCAATCTCCGCATCAAATGTAGTTGTTAAACGTGAATCTGATAAAGAAAATAAGAATTTTCAGAATGAGCTTAACCGAAACGAAATACTAACTGATTTGGAAGCGAATGGCAACGGCGAGAGCAGTTCAGATGAAAATGAGGACAAAGCAGATAGTAACGATGCGGATTCTAATCTTACAGAACCTCCTCCAGAAGAAGACAAAAAATCCATTGAACCTGCCAAGTCGTCTAACGAAATACTTGCAGAGCTTTTCAAAGTATTCAATGCTGCGCCCCCTGAGGAATTATTGGACGATAAAAGTTTATTAAAAAAGAGCCGTAAACATAAGAAACATAAAAAAGAAAAGAAAAAGAAACTTAAACGTGAAAAGGATGCATCTGAAGGAGAAATAAGTCACTATGAAAGTGAAGTGGAGTCAAATGGGAGCGTAGATGGAAAAGAAAAAAAATACAAACATAAGCATAAAAAGAAAAAGAAGCACAAACAAAAAGATGAAAAGGATAAAAAGAGAGACCAAAGCAAGGAAAAAGGTAAGAGAGATAGAGAAAAATCGAAGGAGAGGCAGCAAAGTCAAGAGAAGTCTATAAATACTAAAAAGGGCAATTTGAAGTCAACATCACGAAATCTTATTAGAGTAGATCCATCAACCAAAAGGCAAGCAGATTTAAAAATCACAGAAGCACCCTTTAAAAAGAGCCGTTTTGAAAACGATCGTTATTGCTCCCAAGGTACTTCACGTGAAAAAAGTCGGGATTGTGATAAGTATGAGCAGAATCGAGATAAAGGTAATTCAAGGTATCAAAGTCTTGAAAAAGGTAATGAAAAGGTTAGAGACCGTAATCTTAACAGCTTCTATAAAGGATGCTCTGAATATGAATCTTCTACGAATCTATTGACAATTAAAAACGAACCCAAAGATCAGCGACGCAGCGGACGACAAGATGGGCATATGTCAGAAATTTCTCTTTCGGATGATGAGGAGGATTATTTAAAGGAACGCCATAACGACGATACGCAACATTGTCGATTAAGACTTGATCGCGACAATGAAAGACCACACAACAGCTTCTACGCAGGATTTAAACGCAGTCGGAGCCGAGATCAAGATAGAAATCGTAACCGTGATCGTGAACGAGAGCGCGAAAGAAACTACCGCAGCGACGGAAGAAGCCATCCAAAGGAGCGAAGCCGCAGCTGTGGTCGTTCGCGCTCCCGTTCACGTGATTTAGGTATCGACAAGAAGCGACTCCTCGAAATAGCTCGTAAAAACGCAATTAGCATGTTCAAACGAGGCAACCTGCCTGGTTGTGACAGCATGTCACAGGAAGTGAAAGACAAAGTGTTGCTGAAAATGCGCTACGGGGGCAAAACTGTGCAGGACCTCACCGATTTTTGTAAGAAAATTTCAAACGGCGAAAATCTGTCAGATCTCAGCTCCGACGAAGATTCTGATGTGGATAAGAGTGGCAATACGAAAGCGTTTCATCATCCCTTCCAGCTAAAAGAACGAGAGCCCATAGTAATGCATATACGAAACGCAACAACATTACCCTTACGACCTACGACAAGCGAAGCCGTGAAGGCTATAACAATGCAGTTTCCCGTTTCCTCAGGACAACAACACCGTATGACTGAAGCCTGGGTGCCAGTGGCACAAAAAGACGGTTTACCGACTTTACCGGCCTTACCTACAGCAACGCAATCAACTAATGTATTTAAAACCGGTGTTGTTAAGAATGTATTCGAGAAAACCATACCCGAGGAACAACAGGAACCGGCATTCAAGCCAGTCCAACAAGCATATTGCAATAATAATGGAGAAATAACTAACAATGCTTTAAGCCCAGTAGATAACAGTATGCAAGCAAAAGTAGCTGCAGTGACATCTATGCAAATACCAAAACCGATGCCGAAGACTGTAGTTGAGGCTGAAGTTAGTATTGATCCAGTAGTCACTTCCAAACCCTTCTTTACTTTTCCGCCACCGAGTGTGTCTATAGTAACAAATGTGACAAGTGTACCACCACCATCGTTAGCACAGGCTTTTGTTCCAGATGTACCAGTTCCATCAAGTACCGACGCACATATCTCTGGCAATAAAGTGTTTCCTGAACAGTCTGGACAACAATTTGACGTTTCGAGTATTATATCTAAACGCTTACAAGCAATGCGCAGATTACAGGTACCTTATGCTACAATGAGTATTGCTTTATCTTATTTGATTTGTATATACAAATAAACAAAAATAATAATTAACAGGAAAACCCAATGGATCCCGAGGCAATCAAAATGATGTATAACTCTCAAAAAGATATGTCGTCATGGGCCTCATCAAAACATTTACCGGGACAATTTACTGGTAGTACCGGAGCCAATATACTTACCATGCGCGAGTTGACTTCTGGTCCGCAGGCATGGGCGCGTCGAGATCAGCTAACAACATCGCGTCCAGTTAGTGGAGGAATGGGTATGCAATTACTTCAAAAAATGGGATGGAAGCCTGGTGAGGGACTGGGCCGGGATAAATCCGGGTCTTTACAACCATTGCTGCTCGATGTTAAATTAGACAAGCATGGATTAGTTGCGCGAGATGATAACAACGGATATAAACAAAAGATTACTAAAAAGCAACGTCCACAAAACGTGGTGCAACAACAAGGTTTATTGGAAAAACATCCAGTTTGTCTGTTAAACGAGTTAACATCAAAGCGCAAGTGGACACCACCTTTATATTCGCTGGTAAACGAGGCTGGTCCATCGCATAGCAGGATGTTTTTATTTTCGGTATCTATTAATGGACAAACTTATACACCATCTCAAGGCTCGAATACAAAAAAAGAGGCCAAATTGATTACAGCGCGTCACTGTCTGCAACAAATGGGAATTTTACCTGCGTAAACTTAAACAAACAATTTACTAAATTGTTGCCTTGTTTTATTTATTATAATGAGTAACATTGCACATGACTAGATGAATGACATGAATTGTTAAACTAGATAGATTTTTGTTTTGCTATTTTACTTTATATTAAAAACATACTACTTTTTAGAATTATATTAAAGTGAATTTTGAATTCAAAATCATAACTTAATATCAGCATCATTAATATTTATATCAAAAATTCTGTATAAAAGTGAACAACTTACCATTTAAAAGCTAGTGATAAAAATAAATGTGTATATATTTTTTTGAACAAAACATCATATCCAGTTTTCCGACTTGCCGGCTGAAAGCTTAATGTGAGTTTCATTTGAAATGCTAACTGGATTTTGGCTTATCATTATGCACTGAGCATCTCTTAACATTCCTAAAGTCGTAGCGTAAAAAAAACATCCCTGACAGTTAGAAGAATAGAAAAAACCTGTCGACTGTCCCAAGAACTATTGGATTTCAGTTGCCTCTAACGACAGTCATGCTTTAAAAGGCTCTTAGAGTCTCCACAGTCTCTCACAGATCTCCACAGTCTAAGTGAGCTGCATTATTCCTACACCACCTATCCAAATCCACATCTAACTTTATCTACTAGGCGACTGCTACTCGGCAGCTTCTAGTAACTCGCACTGTCTGTTCTGTGTGTCAGACCACATTATGTCGGAGTTTGATAATCGCCAACGACCAATCGGCGCAACCTTCTCGGAGAGAGTAACACACCCGTAACGCTCTCTCGTGGTAGGCAGAACTCAACTACGATGGACTCCGGGATGGATCAACGAGATAGTCGATTTCTTCAGCGGGGAGCACCTGCTGAAAGCTGCTTCTGCCGCGCAGATCTTCTAAGACGGGCTGGTTTTAACATCATATGTAAGTATCGTGAGCGGAATCATGGTGATTGCTTAGCGTTAAACCTGAATAACACCGTTCGTTCTCGTATCTTCGTTGGTAATATCACAGGGATACCAGTCTAGAAAGTCAGAGCATAGCTCTCCGGTCAAACGATGTCGATCTCGATCTCGAGATAATTAATATAGTAAACATTCTTCCCTTAATCTGTTGACTAGTTGGATACCGCCCAGATATATTATAGGTGCGCTACTCGGATGCGATTTTAACGCGCACCACGAAAGAAAACAACGATTCGACATGAACCTCCAGAATAGTGGATAATTGCATAAGTTCGCACGATCTGATAAACAACATAACAGCATAACCATTGTTTCTATCGACAGGACACCGACACTTTTCAGCAGGTCCACGGAAATTTGTTATCGAAAACTCAATCTGGAGATACGTCAAACGATTAATTTATTAAGGTCCTGAAACTTTTCTTCTTGACAAAGCCCCGTCGAAACCAAAGAAGTATGCGAGCTATTTTAGTTGGCTTTTCCGAGCTTGAGTGGATAACAATGAGATGCCAATATTTAACAATCCTTACTGAGCGTCACATTTGACAGAAACCACTCCTTTATTTCGCATACGACTGCTAAACTAAAGAGACTAAAGAGGCGTGATCAAATCTCCAAATCGCTAGCCGGCAGCACCTTGGTGAAAGTCGAAGAAACCTTGCTGGGAACTTAGAAGGCAATTCGACTGGCGGTCGTAAGTAGAGTAGAAAACCGCTCGCAGCTTTTCGACGTCGAACTTTTCTCGTGTTTGTTGATGGGACAGAGTCTCTCTCCTACCACAAATCCGACGCCAAATTTTGAGCTCCTCTATATTTCAGCTGTAGCAACTGTCACAAGGACCTACTCGATTTCGTCCTTCGCACTTTTAGGACGGCGGTGATGTCAGCCTTTATTCTTACAAGGACTTCAACCAGCTAGGCAGCGGCACCTTTCCAATTAAGGGACCGGACATTCCAGGTGCATGCCCTCAAATCATGATCACATTTACACATTTATATAGCGAGCCGCTTGCTTCAAGACCGACGCCCGCTCGCAGCTGCACCTCTGGTAAACATACGCTGCAATGACTTCAGCAGACCCTTAAACCGAATAGGCCGGAGTGGCTGCACTGAAGCTTCCTCTCTTTTAGCTGTGACCCAAGGTTCAACACGGACTGATGCAAGAGTAGGAATTGAGTATAGCCCCGCGACTGTAAGAGCATACCCAGAACATTGATTATACCCCGAAATATCCCTGTTAGCTCAGTATAAATAAACTCGAAGTGTGCATGTGTTATGCTCGAAAACATGCTGAGAAACATTTCATAGTTTACACGAAGGCTTATTTCAGATGCTTATTAGGAACAGTACATGCTTAAATGATGCAAAAAAATTATATTCTACGAACTTAAAATTAAGATTGTCTTCTCCGTCCTTAAGCAAGAAAGTGACTATGATAACAAATCGTTTCGACAATACAAATCGATGTAGGGTTAAAAACGAGACTCTGCTCAAACGCGCGAATATTGAAAAAAGTTGCAGGGGGGCGAGAAAGAACGGCACAACTACAATTTGCAGAAACATCTGTGTGCTGCAAATAGCTCTCCTCGTTAATCGGCAGTTTTGTTTTGCTTCTAAGCTTGTTTATATTTTCTACGAAGTGGTCCAAAGAAAAACCGACGAGAACGACTAGCGTATGCGCTTGGGCACACACATACCAACTCACTGAGTAAACACCTTGAAGGTCGACGACTGCATGTGCGCCTGCAAATATACTCCGATAAATAAACACCAATTCAATGCAAAAAATGGGGTTGAGATGGTGATGAAAAATAATAAAGGGAGGAACATGAGATGTCAAACACAGATTCATTCCCACAGGATGTGTGCAGCGCCTGTGTGTACATAGAAACAAATGAGCGAGAGTAGTGAAGAATGGTAAATTCACCAGAGCACGCAATGAAAATAATAGGAATGCCAGTGAACGTTGAGCAGCACGAGTAGAAGGAATGAAAATTTCGCAGACTCTGATGCAGTTATCGCGTGGCGGAATATGTAAAAAATTAATAACAATGTAGAAATAGGGCGACGTTCGTATTAAAAATAATTGGAAAAACAATATCCTTTCAAGTTAACGTTGAGTTGAAGCTGACAACGGCGTATTTGTGCTAGTGATAACCGTTGTGTAAGCGTATTATAAGTTGAACGTTTTCACTTGTCGCAAAACTGCAGAGGACTGTGCAAAAGTGTGTCGTCAACGACATGTTTTCCGTCATCCAATTGGAGCAATAGGGTGTAACCACTACGTCATTGTAATCTGCTAATTGAACAGGAGCAGTGTGTCTTTATGTTGGTGCCACGATGGAGACATGCAGGACATGTGCGAGATGTGATTTTGAGGATGAAACCAAGTGGTTCGATTTATTTCATACAACGCGCTGTACGCGTGAAGTCGAAGAGATGCGTGTGGAGTTCAATAACTGGCATTTGCAGGTATAAAGAGCGCACACATATGCACATACATACAAAATTCTGTGATTCGCAAGCCATCCAAGTTGTTATTTCTACTTGTATTTTTTTGTATTAAAAGTTAAAAATAGCATTATTTTGTTTTTTGCGTCTGCTGTTAGAACGTTGATATTGTGAAAAAACTCGACGAGTTTGGCGGTATACTCGAAGCATCACAAAAAGATTACTCGATTAGCTATCTTGACAGTGAGCAGTGTTCAGATTCAGTAAGCTGCAAACAAAATTACGTTAAGAATCGATTTGCGTCTATACTAACTAGTGGGCGAGATACTTAAAAAGACTTTGATTGTTATGTTATTTGATATATTTATCTTTGAAAGTGAAAATAGGAAATTATGAAATAAACATAGTAAATGAAATGAAATTATGAATAAGTTTTGAACACGAAATGAATATGCATTAACCCTCATAACAGACTTTTGTGACCGCTGAAGCGATTCGGTCGATCTTCTTCTACAATTTGTGGTTATGCGTCTTGATGGTTTTCCAACAAATACAATTTATACTAAGCCGCCTCCGAACGGCTGATGGTTTTTTGTGAGGAGCTTTATTTTATGTCAGAAATACACTCGGACGGGTTGACATTCCCTGCCGAGGGGCGACCGCAATTAGAAAGTTTAGCTTAATTTTTTATTTAAATTAATTTTCTATAACATTTGGATGTTGGTCGCACAACCATCCAAATGTCAGTACGCAATGCTAACCACTCGACTACCGAGGCCGCCAACGTTATTTAATGCAATAATGAACAGAGCACCCAAAAGTAGCTGATAGACACATAAAAGCGCCAACGAGGTGCCAACTTCATTATACCCCTCTCGTAGAAGGCTGTGTCCCTATTGGCAAAAAACTTGGAGAGCCAATTTTCACAGGCCTATCTTGAGGCCAACTTCTCACCATTAAGTGCATTCGCCATGGAAAGGAAATGATAGTAGTCACTTGGTGTCAGATCCGGACTATAAGGTGGGCTCATTAGGACCTCCCATCCGAGCTCCTGGAGCTTCTGGCGCGTCACCAAAGACGTGTGTGGCCTGGCGTTGTCCTGATGGAACACAATTTGACCTCTGTTGATCAAAGATGGGCTCTTCTGTATGAGTGGTGCCTGCAAGCGGTCCATTTGTTGGCAGTAGAGGGCCGAATTGAGCGTTTGGTCATAGGGAAGCAGCTCGTAGTAGATGATTCCTTGCCAATCCCACCAAACATAATTTCTGGCCGCAATCCCTTTTTAGCCACCGTCTGGGCCGCTTTTCCGAGCTTTGACCACGACCGTTTGCGCTCGATGTTGTCGTAGGTAACCCATTTTTCATCGCAAGCTACAATCCGCTTCAGAAACGGGTCGATTTTGTTGCGATTCAGCAGCAATTCGCCGATAGAAATTAGGTCCATCATGTCTTTTTGCGTTAGTTCGTGTGATGCCCAAACATCGAGCTTCTTTTTGAAGGTTATGCAAATGTTTCCAAACGGTTTTCTGGCTCTGGCTTATCTTTAGTTTCTCAGCAGTTAAATAAGAGCTCAAGTGACGGTCTGTTTCCACTATTTCCATGATTTTATCGCAGTTTTCGACGACAGGCCTCCCGACGCGTGGTGCATCTTTGACATCGAAATTAGCGGAACGGTACCTAGCAAACCACTTTTGTGCTACACGTTCGCTTACAGTATTAGTAATAACATATTTATCATTTCTCTACCTCTAACAAAAAAATTACTTCTTCCCACTCTTCCCTAGGTGCACCAAGTAAATCCGTTTAAACATAGTCGTTGAGGGTTACTATGAGGTGTTCATTCACTAGCACACTGACCCTCAATGTTTTAAGATTATATTAAATCGACTCTAGTTGTTCCTTAGGACCACAGAAGTACAAAGGGGTTTTATTACGTGAGCAATTAGCGCACAAATATGTTCAGTTATTGTTTATATATTTGTAAACATAATTTATTGTAATGTTTATAAATATTTTCCTCTCCAAAATTAACGTTTTTCTAACCTTTTTTGAACAGATATCACCCAATGACGGCCTGCCACAGAAAATCTGCTCGGATTGTTTTTCGAAATTTTGTAATGTTTTCACCTTTCGCATGCAATGTCAGCAAGCGCAAGTGAAGTTAAATAACATCTTTGACAAAATCGAAACACAAAGCATGGATGACGAACGATTCGATGAAAATCTCGAAGAATTGAGTGCACAGCTTCTGCGTATCGTGGAGGAAAATGCACGACAACAAACGAACACAACCATTAATGAACAAAACTGCCAACTAGATAATTGTGATGACAATGCTGTGGCTTCGACTAATGTCACCCCCTCAGCAGCAGCCATTGTAATGTTGAATATGCTCAATGAAAACAGTACTAATAACTGCACCACCGCCAGTTGCAGCGCGAACGGAGTACGTGAGGTAGTATCAGAGGACGCTGCTGCTGCTGCTGATGTGCCAGCTATCCAAACAGAGGTTTCAACTAATACAATCGAAGACACCTTCTTAGCAAAAACAGTGCCAATAAGGAATGTGGATAATACAAGTGCTGCCACCATAACTGAAGCTAACTTTTACACTGCCAGCGATAAATGTCAAAGTGAAGCGGATATACGAATGCCAAAGTTGTTGGCTCTTGCCGTTCCTTCGGTGACCGTTGACAAAGAACTAGATGAGGTGGTAATAGCGGAGAGAAATAAGCCTAATAAGCCTAATAAAGATATGACATTAGAAATGGAGAACGGGAAGGGAAACGAAGAAGATTTAGGAGTAGGAGAAGAAGATATAGATGAAGATATACATTTACATGTAGATGATATAATTGAGGAGGATTTTACTCCTGACGAGGAGCAGGAAGAGACGTCAGTTGCGGCAGATAGGCTTTTGAATCATGACACCGCCCAAAATGGAAACTATTTAACACATATGAATGGACATATGGCGCAAACGGCAAGTTATACCAAAGATAATTTCACCGTTGATAATGATTACGATGATGAGGATGATGATGACGACGATGATGATGATGATGAGAATGCCTATTACGATGAAGATGAAGGTGTACTAGAAGCATTCGAACCAGTCGCACTCCCCACGAATACTTATAATACAAACAACAATACCATATTAACACAATCCCAATTGGTCTTTCAAACATCTGCCAATAAAAATTGTTACAACTCACAACAGGAGCCAGTAAATATTGTTTTCGAGTGTAAATACTGCCACAAAACAAAGAATGTGCCTAGCACACATTTCGAAACCCAAAAGGCGCTACTTGAACACATAACCAATGCACACGATGCGGAATATCCATTTACCTGCCCCCAACGCGGTTGCACGGAGGGTTTTCGGGACGCCGCCTCACGCACGGTCCACATGAAAAGCGAGCACGTGGCCAAGCATTATGAGTGTGATGTGTGCGGCAAAAAATATGCTGATCGCTTTAATTTACGACATCATTTTGAGAAATTCCACAGCGAGACCGATTTTGGGTGTGACACTTGCGATAAGCGTTTCTATTCGCGTAAAAGTCTTAACTATCATATGAAATGGCATAATCCGGAATTGTTGTTGCAGTGCGGGCACTGTGATCGATTGTTCATTAATCAACGGCATTTAAAGTGTCACGAAGAGACGCACAACGGTGTGAGAAACAGTGAGTTTTGTACGTTTTGTGGGAAAAGTAAGTAAAAAATATATTACGGTTGCCTAAATATGTACATATAAACAATTGTACTTTTAATGAAATTACCTTAAACAGTATTTATTTCATTCCGTATTACTTTCTTATGATTGTAAGAATCACCCTTTTGAATTTTTAATTGCTTTAAATTATTTTTGAGTTATATTCATTTTATACTTTAAATATTTAAATGTTTTGAATCATAATAACTTTCATTTTCGAAACATTGGAGATGTGTAATAAATTTTATTTAAAAAATCAAAATAAGTTTAAGTTAATTTAAATATATATGTATGCTGATACGTTTATGTATCTATAATTATCAGACTCCTCATTGTAACCTCAAAGGGTTGAAAGGTCCAAATGCGATTTCTATCATTAGATTTGTGGCAGAAAATAAATCATCGGAACGATGAATTTTTCGTTAATCAAGAAATTGCGATCCTTTCCGTTTCAACATTTGAAAATGTTATTGTTAAAGCAGTTATTAAAATATATTTTATTTCATTTTTAAGCGAAACGAAAAGCCGACGTTGTTGTTAACTCATTAACAGATAATGTTAACCGTCAAAATTATGCTGTCAATATCATAGCAAGCAGCCACGCTCGTTTCGTTTTATTTATCTTTGATGTTAGCAAAACGAAATGACATTGTTTTGTTATTGGGTTGCCCAAAAAGTAATTGCGGATTTTTTAAAAGAAAGTAAATGTATTTTTAATAAAACTTAGAATGAACTTTAATCAAATATATAATTGCCATTTTGTTCGATAACCTTTTGCCATCTTCCTGGCAAATTTAGTATTCCACGCTCATAGAACTTCTGGCCTTTAACTGCAAAAAACTGAGCCAAGTGGGATTTTATAGCCTCATCATTGCCGAAAGTTGTACCATTTAAGGAGTTCTGCAAAGATGGAATAAATGGTAGTCTGATGGTGCAAGGTCAGGGCTATATGGTGGATGCATCAAAAGTTCCCAGCCAAGCTCACTCAGTTTTTGGCGAGTAACCAAAGATGTGTGCGGTCTAGCGTTGTCCTGGTGGAATATGACACCTTTACGATTGACCAATCCTGATCGCTTCTCCTTGATGGCTGTATTCAATTTGTCCAATTGTTGACAGTAAACATCCGAATTAATTGTTTGGTTCCTTGGAAGCAGCTCAAAATATACGACACCCTTCCAATCCCACCAAACAGACAGCATAACCCTTCTTTTGGTGGATATCAGCCTTTGAAGTGGTTTGAGCTGGTTCACCATGCTTGGACCATGATCGTTTTCAACTAACGTTGTTGTAAACAATCCAATTTTCATCTCCAGTTAGGATTCGTTTTAAAAACGGATCGAATTCATTGCGTTTAAGGTACATATCACAAGCGTTGATTCGGTGTGTTAAATGAATTTTTTTCAATACATGTGGTACTCAAATATTAAGCTTTTTCACCAGTCCAAGACTTTTTATGTGATAATGAACGGTTGATTTTGGTATATTTAACTCTCCTATCTCACGCTCAGTTACATGACGATCCAATTCGATTAATGCTTTGATTTGGTCATCATCAACTTCATTTGGCCGACCTGAACGTGGCTCATCTTTAAGTGAAAAATCTCCAGAACGGAATTTGCATCTCGTAACTTTTTAGCAACCTGCTCCGCGTTTTTTCCTTTACGGAAATAATAAAGTAAAATATGACGAAAATGCTCCATATTAAAATTGACGCCAAACAAACAAATGTAAACAAAATTTCGCGCACTTTTTTCTAAAGCAAGCTAAAAGTAACAGCTGATAACTGACAGAAGAAAGAATGCAATTACAGAGTCACAAGCCGTTGAAAAAATTTGTCCGCAATTACTTTTTGGGCAACCCAATAGTTGAGCATCTCTGAAATGTTAGGTTAAGTAAAAGTTCGTTCGGTTTTTTTTATTGATTTTTAAAATATGATAGCTTTGTTTACATTTGTCCGATTGAAGTCAAATATGCGCCGTTTTATTCGTAAACTTGTTGCCAACTTCATTATACCCCTCTCGTAGAAGGCTGCGTCCCCATTGGCAAAAAACTCGGAGAGCCAATTTTCACAGGCTTCTCTTGAGGCCAACTTCTCACCATTAAGTGCATTCGCCATGGAAAGGAAATGATAGTAATCACTTGGTGTCAGGTCCGGACTATTAGGTGGGTTCATTAGGACCCCCCATCCGAGCTCCTGGAGCTTTTGGTGCGTCACCAAAGATGTGTGTGGCCTGGCGTTGTCCGGATGGAACACAATTCGGCTTCTGTTGATCAAAGATGGCCTCTTCTGGAAGAGTGCTGCCTTCAAGCGGTCCATTTGTTGGCAGTAGAGGGCCGAATTGGGCGTTTGGTCATAGGGGAGCAGCTCTTAGTAGATGATTCCTTGCCAATCCCACCAAGTAAACCCTGAAGATAGACATCATATCACGTTGAACATGTGCATTTTCTTGATACAGGCCATCAAGTTACTCATACGCTGTGACAAATAGGTAGGTCGATAGGTTAGAATGCAGCCTTTTGTTTTAAGTTAGTGCTAGAAGCGACATTTTGATACACCAACATCTTTACATTCTTGCTTTGTTGGTGCTCCTTGTAGTCAGCCGTTCAAGGTTGGGTACTTGATGCATAGAAAGTGTTCTATGTCTGGTCTGTGAAACACAGTTTCTTTATTCCCTTCTATTGTTAGTGCATGTTCTCCAAATGTTATAGTAGCTATAAGTCTGTATATAAGTACTTTTGCTGGATCTACATAAATAGCTCCTTAGTTCTTGCTTTACCATACTTCGACCATATCGATGGCCTTCGATGTCTTGGTTATTAATTTCCATCTGTGTTGGGTTATTTCAGCGAAACATATATGAATCTCTCTCGTGATCGTTCCTAAGAGTCATGGTACTAAATTCGCCTTGGATTCATCTAAATAGGTTCCGCACTCCTCTGATTTTTCATTACTGGCAAAGTTTCTGTGACCGGAATGATCTGCCAGTATGTTTAAGATCTTCCAGTAGTTGTAGACTTCATTTTTGATTGAGATAGTATTCTCTTCCCTTATTGAACTTCTTCTCCATTGACGCCTAGAGGGTATCCTCACCTAAAAGCAACTATTGAATATCCTATCTTGGAAGGATAAAATCCGATTTATTTAAATTTGTTATAAGCTGGTTCAGGATATCGTTGTGTCCACAACCTTTTTGGATCCACCCAACACCTTAATTATTACTGTTACTTTTCGTATGAATACAAATATGTGCAATCGATGTAAGAACATATCCATTGGATATGACCTAATAACTTCGTTTACCCCTACACACAAACTGCTCTTTGTGTTCCATTTAGTTTTTTAATATTATGTTGCTTCTGCAGTGCTGGCCACAAAACAAAAGTGATCCATACCTTTTGTAAGAATTGTTCTATGACAAATAGTAATTAGAGAAAAAAAAATGCGTAATCCGAAAGGACTTTTTCATAATTTCGGTAAAGTACTATTTACATCTTGCTCGTCCGGTTCAAAGTGATAACTCAGTGCACTCTCGTAAATATCTTACAATTTTGGAGTATTTGGCTGAAAAACTTGGTCAAAATTAATTTATTTACAATTTTAAATTTACAATTTTAAATAAATTAAAGATAAAACTATTTACAATTTCATTTAAAATTGAAATAGTAAAATATTAAAAAAATTCTGATAACATGTTTTATTTTTTGAGTTCATTTAAGAAAAGATGAGACTTCAGCAAGTAGTTTCGTAACGTCCATGTTGCACTCTTCCCTGGAAAATTTCCGAGCACAACTCGAATTCAAAAATATTTATTTCGAGCTTCACTAGCTTATTATTTTTTCTTCGATACTATTTTTTTTTACCTTGCCAATGCTTCACGGGAAGATCATTTGCATTATGAAGAACACTTTCAATAAACGTTATTCGGAAAAAAAGAAAAGACAGAAAAATTAACTCAACGAAATGAAATCGTTTCGTTCGGCGTCTCGTTATTAAAACAAAATGAAATCATTAACGTTAATTTTGAAACTACTACGTGCTATGTATTAACAGAAAACTTCAATTTCACCGATTAACATTAGCTGCTACCGATTTCACATTAACGACAGCTTCTCGTTTCGGATAAAAACGAAAAGAAATTTATTTTGATAATCGTTTTAATGATATTATTTCAAAATGTTTCAACCGTAACAACAGAAATTTGTCGATTAACGTGAAATTTATCATTACGATGCTTAGCCTTGGTTTAAAGTGATGACATGCCGAATTTCAGATTACCTGTGTTCACTGCCAGTGAGTTATAGACCTTTCCATCTAGCACGGTGTATCAACAGTCATTCCGTTGATCTCACTTTTGGGAAGAGCCACTTGAATTGTTGACTGTGGCATTCAAAAGTGGTCGAAAAGATGTTGATGACGATGGTCATCCTGGCGACGAAAACATCGAAACAGTGAAGAAATTGTTTTTGCAAATCATCGAAATACTATTAGGGAAGTATGCAGAATATGTTGGCATATCAATCGGTACATGCTATGCAATTTTATCGAGGCAGGCAAGCTTGTTCCGATATTACTAGGTTTTTAGCGAAAGCAACGTCAAATTGATATCACTCAGGAGTTATTAAGTGACGTCAACGACGATAAAGGATTACTAGAAAGGGTCACAGCTTGTGACGAAACGTGAGGATATGGTTGTGATGTGGTTGTGATGCCGAATACAATCGGCCAGATGAGCCAAGACCGAAGAGTAAAAAGACTTTAGTTGTGATTTCAGTAATTTTTCTAATTTTCCCCACAATTTTTTTTGATTATAGTCTTTTATTATTTCAGTCGTACATATCTTGAGGTAGAATCATATTCAGTAGAGAAATCTGTTACTAAAAGAATAAAACGTTAAAAAATAAAATGCAATAATAATAATGCAAACAAAGAAGAAGAAAATTGTCAATCGGTATTTTTTTAAATATTAAAATGAAGTGAGAAAAATTTTACATTTTGCTTTGCCAGATGAAATTATAAATTTTGACGTAAGCAAAATGAAAACTCGCGAGAAATTCGCATTTTTTTTAAATTAATAGAATGCAAAGAAAATACTTTTCTTTACCAATGCTTCTACCAATAAAACAGAAGCAATGAATTTAATCAATGATTTGTTGTTAACTCAGAGTTTTGGGCATCGGGCTAGTAGCCAAAAGAATGTCAAAACAATTATGTTCGGTGATGAAAAGAAAATTTGGACACATTCAAAAATTTTTTGCATCACCTCCACAAAAATTTTCCAATTAATTCCTACAAAATATCACGAATATGAAGTTATTTGCTTTTTATATTGGATGACATGTGGCTGCATTAATGTGTTGTTGTTAGTTTTTTGTTGTAATGCTCTTAATAGCATGTATTCAAACAATCAGAGTTTTATCTAGCCCACTACTAGCTACGTTTGTACTGAGCACGAAAAATGTCAGAATTTCAATGTTGGCTGTCAAAATTTACAGATTTCAACCGATTCCCACACACTTTTTTTTCATTTTCTAAAAATTGTACGGCACTGCCCTTCAAGGAGGCTACCCATCATTTGACTCGACATATGTTAAGGAATGACTGTCGTCAAATTCCGTCAATTGGTTAATGTCGGAATGATAAACCTGATGTTTACTTTTATACACATTTGACATTCTCTTTCGTTCTCCTGTGCATTTTCATCTTCCTTGTCGCACAAACAGCTGTGTGACAGCATTGATACCAAAATAAATCAGAATTGACGTAAACAAATGCAGGGTGCCATACAAGCCGAACACAGATGAACGTCAGCATTAATACCCAAATAAATCAGCATTGATACAAAATTTCTCTACATGTATATATAAAAATATGCGTTCACATACACATATATTATTAAGATGCAGTATTTATTCCCTTAATTTTGCATATACCAAGTGCATACATACAATAGCTTGTAAGGCGCAGAAAAATAATAAAAAATGTAAGAATAATTTCATTTAACAGCAAAACATTTAAAACAAATCAGTTTATGTAGAAGTGTTTAATTGTGTCATTTGTTAGTGTTGCGGCTCCTCTGCGCATATTCGCGGCTTTCTTGATGTTGAAAACGTTAAAGTTAAATAAACAATGTATGTTCGAATCACTTTTGCTGCCTGCTTCTCAAATCGTCAATCCCGATCAACATGCTCAGTTAGCGGAATTTTCCAAGCAATGTGAGCTACATTACCCGATTACTTTCACGACTAAGTTTTCTTCAAGTAAAAAAGTTGAAAAGAATAATTAAAAATGAAGTAACAAATTTATTGGCAATTTATTATTACTCCATATTGGGTGTACACAGGAATCTTATCCATATTTTGCACATCTACTTATATAAAATTTTAAAATTAATTAATTTTTTGTATTACTTTTTTTCGATTAAAATTATGTTTGATTATTTATACAGAAATTTCTTACAAAGTTCGAATAAAACGATAAAAATGAGAAGAGAAAGATAAACAAAACAACATGTTTATGTATGGGTATACATATTTACTTAATAATAAAATTAGCACTTTGTAAGTGACCTACAGTTAATTTAGGAGGAGTTTGTATTTCATGTCGGAGGGTTTGAAAATAAAAGGGGCAGTTAGAAAACTTAATTTTAAATATTGGAAAGCGAATTAAAGAATTGCTTTCAGTAAGAAATAGTTTAACTTTTATTTTTTGTTTTCATGACTTTATATACATTTTTTTAAATCTACTTTAACAAACTAATTATACATGTTTGGGTGTATATATTTGTGTGTTGAATAATGTTTATGAAAAGCGTCTATATATATATATACATATATACATAAAAATTTGGATTTTGCATAGAATTTCTTCAATGGCTACACAATATTGAACATAAAATTTAGGAAAAAGTCCAATCGGGAATTAATACGATATTCAAACGTACGACCAAAATGTAGTTAAAAAAAAACATAATAATATATAATTAACCATTCGCCTTCTTTTCTTTATTGAATCGGTATTTCAAGACACAGACAGTTATAAAGTGTGAAATTCACCACCAGACAAATAATTAGAAGTGGTTTGTACACCATTTTTTTTTTCATTTTTCTCTTGTGCACTAAATGTTGCTCATACGACATGGCGAACTTTTTATTTTTTAGTTAAGAATTATTGAACGAAAAATAGCTACATGGGTATTGAACGCTGTTCCAACAACCAATTTTCCCACTAAGTGCAGTCACATATACCAATTTTTATTTCTGCAAATATATAACACTGCATATTCTATTATTAAGTATTTAAATTACTAATGTAATTCATATTTAGAAAAATAATCAGTAAGTAAAAGTTTATTTCGTATTTCCATATATTTTTACATTATAAAATATTTTTTAACGAACTTTTAAGACAAAATCTCCTACTTCACAAGTGTATTTATGTACTCTGGTTGTTATTAAAAAATGAACAAACAAATTCTCTTTTTAGCTTTCATACACTTGAAAACGTTACGCTGGCATTTGTACCGACAGCATGGTGGCGAAAAACCATACAAGTGTGGCCATTGCACTGAGGGTAAGCAAAGCTTTACCCGGCATACGCAATTCATTTAAGACAACAACATGCAAACATACCTTCATTCATACATACATGTTTCTTATATTCATTTATCGCTCATCGCTTATATACGTGTACATATGTATAATCAACTTTTTTATCAACATCGAGGATACATTTATGAAATGTTGTAGCAGTGAAAATAGAATTAGAACTCTGTTACAAGAAGGCAACGGTAAAAGTAATAATTCTGTGTTATGTTACCCTCTTATTGTACCCCACATACATACATACATACATACGTGTATACAAAAATAGTAAATATATATTGCTTGTGGTACACATAATCTATAACCTATGCATACATATAAACAAATATACATATTTATATCAACAAATACTTGCACAAACATACATAAATACATATTGCATGTTTGCATTACTTCCGGTGCGATTTGAAATTTTTAATTTTTATACTCTAGAACTAGAACAAGAACTTTAACTTGAATTTAAACACAAAATATGTACATACATATATGTATATATGTAAAATCATGTTTAACACAAAATTTAAAATGCATATGATCGTACTTCCAAGTGGAGGCTTGCATACAGTTTTGGTAGTGAATAATAAAATACTTATTGAGGTTTGCTGCATATCTCCAAATTTACTAGTAGCATCTATCTATTCGAAAAAAATATTACATAGGGTTCGATTTGCTTAAAATTCGGAGAAGATTACTCATTTAATATCTGGAAAATTTATCTTAAAAAATTTATTAGAACCAAGTTTTGTGGACGAAGAATATGAAATAGTTAAGGCGTAAGCCGACTAAATCGACCTTATTGAACGCATTTGTTGTGAGAGAGACTCTGTTGCTGAACATCAGAATCACTGTTTTCAACGGGTACTAAGTAGACAATTGAAAACAATAGTCCTCCCTCTGCTACATGACGCAGAAGTGTGGACGTTGTGTTCGAGAGAAAAGTTTTGCGGATCTACAAAGAGCAGAACACTCCAGCCGTTGAGATCGGAGAAAGAGAAAGTCATCAACTCCGTTAGAAAAATCATGTGGAGAAGAATCTGCAGCAGACGGCATTTCCAAGCAGCGAAAATAATAAGGAATAGCGCGTCGTTACTTACTGGGATATAATCGCGTAAGCGGTATCAACGCGAGTAATGAAGAAGAAGTCCGACCGTGTATACTTTAAAGATACAATATATTCTAGAATAGAGATATGTTATTATTAATTGATAACCAAAAGCAACAGAGAGTCTCTGATGTACAAAACGAATCACCAACAGCCTGATTGAGCCCCAAAGGAAAGCATAGACAGCGACATGAATGTTTGATTAGTTTATTCCCATCATCTAAAAAAACTAAAAGGTTCTGAAGAAAAACTGAGCAGAGCTTTAAAATGTTGAGAAGCGACGCACCGAAAAAGATTTAAGGTTACTTTGACGCTGAATTCTTCTCAAATTCAGAGAACCGATACTTGGACTCGTTCTGAAGAAGAAAAGGCAAAATGCTTTACAAATCACCTTATCGCAGTATTCCAAACCAATCCAGCAATGAATAATTTTACGTTTCCTTATTTGTCTAACAATGCCACTAAGACTATTTTCGACGTGATTACGACATCGTCTGCGCTAAAAGTCATAGCAAAATCGTTAAATATTAAAAAGTCATTTGGTTACGACCACATAAAACCACAAATGCCAACAAAGCTACCAAAAGTTGCATTCAATTTCTTGTCACGATTTTTTAAATTTTTTTTTCCGAATGCGTGGAAATGGCGCAAATTATTATTATAGTCGAACCCGGAAAAGACCTAACGCCCCGTCATCATTATGGGTCAATTAGGTTGTCTATCTACTTTTCTCCACAAATATCAAAGTATAGCAATTCAATTCGATTAAGTATGGCATGAAGGAGTACATACAAAAGTAAAATGACTGCCAAAAAACTTTCCACCAGATCTTCATATCATACCTTACTATCAGAAGATTTACAGTTAAAGTAAAGGAATTTATCTCAGAGAAGTGTCGAATGGTGGCTGGTGTTCCTCAAGGTAGCGTTTTGGGACAAATACTTTACGGCTTATTTACTGCAGACATTCCAACGTGCGCAAAAGTATTAACTACAACATTCGCAACGCAGATGATACCACACAATAAAAGTCTCAATCACACTAGAAATTTATTTAAAACTCGTTAAAAGTTGGCTGTCAAATTAGCACATAAAAGTGAACGAGAAAAAATGTAAAAATGTCAAATTCACTCCAAAAACAGTAATATACCCAATACCGAAACTAAACAACGTAAATATCACCCAAGCAAGCGAAGTTAAATACCACCTCAAACTTAAAACCCGCAGCCTAAATTGGTTATTGTATCATAAACTCCTTCTTTATAATTCCGTAATAAAGTCAACATGGATGTATGGAATACAAATATGGGCCTCTGCTTGCGCAACTGTTTCCAATCAAAAACGCTACGATACCTCACAGGTGTTTTTCATCACCAGTCACGAGCCGATCCAAAAAAGGTTCGTTTTTGATCTGTCGAAGCAAAGAAATTGCTGTTGACATACGGTCCACTTTGTTTTTTTCACTCAACTGATGTGGCACCCATGTATCGAGCTTCAAAGTGTACCCAACCTTTTTTAAACGACGTTCAATTCACTGGCAACCTCTTCCGTCGAAATACGTGAGTTATTCGCAACTAAAGTCCTTAGAACATCGTCATCAAGCTCAGAAGGCCGTCCACTACGAGGTTGATCTTCGAGGTTAAAATCTCCAGAACGAAATTTCGCGAACCATTTCTTTACTATGCGGAGTGCTGGAGCACGGTCCAAATAAACTTCGCGAATATCTTTAGTTGCAGCGAATCCTGTTTTTCCTTTGCGGAATTCGTTTTCGTTCTTTCACGAGCGAAACTCTCAAACGATTCGAACGGCATCCAGCGGAATCGGGGCACGAACTTATGCACTCATCCAATATCCTGCTCAGCAAGTTGAACTTCGAAATAGGGTATTGCCAGTAAATGGTAGAGTAACGTTTTACCTGACTTAAATTGCTGTTAATGGACTAAAGCAGTAATTTATTAATAACTAAGATTCTAAAACTTATTGTTAGGCTTGAATTAAGGGGTAAAGCAACTCTAGGATTTTGGGAAACGCAATTTTCATTTGCTCTTAGGGTGCCTTTTGGTTCTAGAAATGGTATGCAATTGGTTTTAAAGTGGAAAAAAAATATTTTCAATAGCTGATAGCAGAGCGTAGGCTGAGTGCAATGAAAACTTTAAACGCGTTTTTCTCAAAATTACATTTTTAAAACTGGGAAGACAGATTATTAGAGTCCGAATAATTGCATCGATTTTTCTCAAATATTACGAGTTGATCGCTTCACAAGCACATTTTTATGGCAGTACGTAGACATTTTTCTATTAAATGGAATTTTTTTTTAATAGTTGTGTGTATTTTTAAGTCAATAATCAATCTTTTCAAAAAAAAGTGTGCCGTTTTCACAAAAATTAGTTAATTAGTTAAAATGTAAATTCGAAAACCTCAGTTTGTAGATCATAAAACTTTTTGCTTTTCTGTTGTAGGTCTCATGCTCCAGAGGAAATCGGTCCTCCCGTGGACGCCTTTCAAGAAAACATGGTTTAAATAATGAACTTTATCACCACCACTTTGTAACAAAATAATAATTAAAGAATATTTTTTTATACTTCAATGAAATGGTGAAATAGAAATTCCATTTCTTTTCCTATCTTCCTACAATAAATTAAAAAAAGAGTCTTTTTTTTCAACCTTTAGAGTGTCTTTACCCCTTCAGCAGATTATTTATTGATGTGAAAAAAAACCAGGAACTTCCTGAGTATTAGAAGTCGATTATATATTTTTCTCAAAACTTTTCAGTCACAAATAAAGAAAACAAGTCTGTCGTTGTGTGTGTAATTATCAAAGAGCTTGTTGTAACAGTTATTGCCTACTCGATAAAAATTATAATAACTTTATGAGCGATCCTGTTTTGGGTCGTGATGATATCCTTAGACTGCAGGTTACCAGGTTACAACAATTATGAGTTAGACATCTCGCATTTAATATATAGGCCGAGGACGATATTTGTTTACTCATTGAACATACATACATGTACGATAAAATCAGGCTCTAACTTTGAATTTTCTATTTATTTAGTTACACAAAAAATCATTAAAACCAGAAAGTTTCCAGACATCATTATTTCGATATACAAGGTGTGGTTCACTATGAATTTCAATTTTCAATTTAAACGGGTCAATAAAAAGTATTGTTTGAGCGCGGAAACATCTGTTGTAAACGGCCTGATTTGCGGGTTCCATGCGACCGTTTCCACTCGGTTGAGTCCATAAAAGAAAATTCGCAGAGGGAACTGAGGTCGCCTGATTTCAACAGCTGCAGCAAACAAACTGGTTGACAAATAGAGCTCAATTTTGGCATAGTAATTCGGGGAAAAAGTGCTGAGAAATATTCAGCGCGAACAGTTTCCGGAAACTTTCTGGTCCTAACGCATATCATATACTAAAATATTAAATACTTGTTAACTCCCAATTCACCAAGCACCATCATCATCATCACTAAGCCATTTCCAAATTTTCATAATGTTACTCATAAAACCTACAATGGAATGGACTAATAAATAACATAAAACTCATTCATTCCAACAGTTTTCGCTTCATACCTGGAAAAGCGCATACACATGCTGGAAAATCATTTGGAAAATCTCACCACCCTTGAGCGCACCGAATGTATGCTGTGCCGCGAGCACTACGCGGATGAGCATGAATTGAGTGAACATATACGAAGCAAGCACATTGAAAGACCCAAATCATCAGTACTGCTAATATCGAACAATAAACGGGTGGTACGAAACAAGCGTCAGAAAAGCTATAGTGGCATATTCCAATGTGAGATATGCAAGCAACGTTTCAATATGAAATCTGCATTGGATCGACATTCGGCTGTGCATTCAAGCGTTGGGCGACCACATAAGTGCCCAATTGAGTCGTGTGCGAAACGTTTCAAGCGTGCGCAAGATATGAATTGGCATATGAAGACGCATTCGAATGAGAAGCCGAATATCTGCGATGTATGTGGTAAGGGATTTGCTCTGAAATATGTGCTAAATCAGCACAAGCGGAGTCATGAAGGTGAGTCTTACATTCTCTTGTACATAATGTGTGTACATATATGACTTGAAGTATATAACGCGAAGGGAGAAACCTCCAGAGCCTTATACCAATCGGATCAGAGTGGCGAGTTGAGTTTGTTTTATCCATGTTTTCTCTTTGAACGAAAACTATTCCCTCGGTTTTTGAGATATTTTAATCAAACTATATTTTCAAATGTAGTTTTGTATTATAATAATAATTTTTCGGAATAAAGTAAATCGGACCACTGTAACATATGTATACCAATCATACAAGCAATTTGTTCGTATAAGAGGATTTGGTTAAAAATCCGTCCAAAAATGTTTCTTATAACTCAAAAAAATAAAAATGTGGCCTCATTAAAAACCACACGCCTATAAAAGCATCCTTTAAATAAAAAATAAAATAAAAATATATAAAAAAAGATAATAATAAAATAAATCGTCAGCTTTAATAGTACCGTTGTGTTTCCTTTTAGTTCTGGAGAAAAATTTTAAGTGTCTGGTATGTGGACGTGCCTATCTCTTTGAGAAATCATTGCGTGTGCATGAGCGTGTGCACACTGGTGAAACCTACTATCGTTGCGACTTGTGTGGGGAGAATTTCGTAACACATATGAAATTCAAAAGTAAGTTACACCCTGTTATTTCAAACACATTACACGTCCCATTGCACTATTATTGCATGCATTTAAGTAATTGTAATTAATTCCGAAGTGAAAGCTTAATTTCGAAGTGAAAGCTTAATTTCGAAGTGAAAGCTTAATGAAATACAATTATTTTGAACTTTAATTTCAGCTCATATGATGAAAAAACATGATCCAAGCACAACAAATCTGGATGACTATAATTTGGATGTGTTTGAAGAACAAATGTATGAACCTTAGACTAAAATTGATGGACACATACATATGTATATATGTTTGTATGTATTTATATGCATAAGATAATATGCAAATATTGTATGTTACGATAAGGATCCTCTGAAGACATCGTCTGTGCTCTTGTAAATTTTAACCAAGAAAAAAACTTTCGTTTTTCTATTGCTCAATTTATAATTGTTAAAATTCACAACTCATTTAAGACTTAAGTATTTAGTGGAAATTTACGAATAACCAATTTACTCCCTTCACTTTTAATCTTATGGTAAAATCAGCTTTATTTTAAATGAAAACTTATGTAGAGTTTTGAACTTTTCCTTAATAGAATTATTAAAAGTGTTGTTAGAAATTTGAATCAGAAAAACAGCCAAATGCGCACAAAATACTTTTCGAATCACTGTCTTCATTATTTTGAAAATACTAAATAATGTATGCAGACAATAATAACGAATATTAAAATTAGATTTTTTCAAAAAAAAAACTGAAAAAATACATAAATATATTACACTTTTTTGATAGTTTCGTTCTAAGTCAATAGAAAACCATATTAATTATTTTTTTTAGTTTAATTACAGATAGAGCAAGAGCCCACTGCAGCTGGACATACGTCATTTTACAAAACTTGAAAATTTGTCTGCGCACGTCACCAACATAGGAAAGCACAGAGATGCGACTAATATTATAATATTGGGTAGTGGTTATTTTGCCAGATAGACCGCTATCCAGAACGCACTTGGTGTATGTAGGGAGCATTTCTCCAACCTGCTGAAGTGACAGTGGAAATACAACACCCGAAGATGGCGAACCCAAAACCACATTCGATGATGATGGAAAAGATTTCGAAAGAGCAATAAAGCGGCTGCAGCCAGTGGCTGAATTATTTAAACCTGGCGGTGAAGAGCTAACAAGATGTATGCAGCAGCTTCTTTGCAGAATATGGTCATACAAAAGCATGCCCGACGATTGGAACTTGAGTGTGCTCTGACCAAACGATAAAGAGCGGATTCCACGGTCTGCCCCAGTTACCATAAACCATTTTAATTTTGCATATATGATCCAACGTGCGTATTGTGTGAAACACTAAAGTTCGTCTTCAACAAGCTGATTGTACCTTATCAGTGTGGCTTTAGACTTGGTAAATTAACCGTTGGTCAGATATTCACCATGCACCAAGACTTGGAAAATTAACCGTTGGTCAGATATTCACCATGCACCAAGACTTGGAAAATACTTTTCTAAAAAAAAATCGATACAGATCACCTTTTCATCGATTTCAAATTTGAGTTCGGCAGCACAGTAAGGCCCTGCATCTACACCGCTATGTCTGAATGTGGTATCGTCGCAAAACTTCTCTCCAAGTCGTTCGATACCAAACGAGGTTTTTCTTTCTGTAGAACTAAATAGACAAAGTGCAATCTTTTACAAGCTTCAGCAAACCACGACACTGTTTACAGTAATAACTTCGGGGTTCATGATGATTTCGTCCATCTAGGGACCAGCATTAACACCAATAATAAGGTCAGCCTCGAAATGAAACACTCTTGCTAACAGGTTTTACTTTGGACTTCGTAGGCAATTGAAAAGTAAAACCTTCTTTCGACGAACAAAAATCAAACCCTATAAGTCCCTCATACTTCCCGTCCTACTATATGTTGCGGAGAAATGGACGATGAGAACATCCGATCAGTCGGCGTTAGGAGTTTTCGAGGGAAAGGTTTTGCATAAAATTTATGGTCCGCTACGAGTAGAAAACGGCAAATACCGTAGCCGATGGAACGATGAGCAGGGTTAATTATAAGACGACATTGGCAGAGTTCATCGAATATCGAGAGTCATTGCTTTTACATGTATTGGTGATGTGCGCCGACAAACTTCTATGAAATGGCCTACGTCTGGCTCCAGTAGGGTCATAGGCTAAGAGCTCATATGAACATAAAATTCTAGGCGTGTAAAAATCGTATTTTTACATTTATTTTTCTTTTATACAGTTTTTTGAATGGTAGGCGAGTTTTTTTGCGCACTTTTTCATTAAAATCGGTTTTAATACTTTACTATATGAGTATTGTCTTTAATGAAAAAAGTGTGATGAATTTTCGAAATTTCGTTTATATTCAAAATATTTTAGAATATGGATGTTTTGGATTTAGAAACCCGACAAAAAAAAGACTCTAGCCTTAAAACCTTGGGGATTTCGTGTTAATGTATGTATGTATTAAAAGAAATATATATATATGTAAAGAATATCACAAAAGAAAATGTAGACATTTAAGAAATTGTAAAAGCACAAATATTTATGTATATTAATACACACATAATAGCTCACCGTTAACGAAAGTAGTGGTAAAAATGTATACAAGTACATATATACATATGTGTACAGTTAAAAGCATATAAAAATATTTGTATAAGCTTACATATGTCCGACTATGTATGTACGTGTATGTAACACAAGTGTACGCATATTCATATATAAATGCATGCAGCCATACTTTATTAAAAATGATAAAATATGCCTTGAGTTGGATAAAATTCGTCATTGGTCGTTTGGTGCAATTAAAACTGATGGAAATCCACATAAAATATTTATAAAAAAAATTTAATTTATGGCTCCTACTCATAACAGATCAAAAGTATAATATACAGTTATTCTATTTGAAAGAGCCTGATCTTGAGAGTATGTATACCATTCGGGGAAAATTTAAGCACAAAGACTTTTAAACCGTAAACCTTTCATTAATTTAACAAAAAAGAAAAGTTATATTTTCCTTTACCTCGCTCGAGTTGAGTTGTGTTGCTGCGGCTGTTGGTTATTACCAACACACTTAGGATAAATTGGTCCATTGTGATACTACTGTGAGGCTCCTGCTTTAACCTTCTCAAATGATTGAACATTTTCGTGCGTCTTATAAAGGCAACGAGATTTCTAAGACGTCCGAAGAAGTATTTCCTGAGGAATTTGTGTCGCGCAAATATCAAGGATGGATAGTGACGGAAGTAGTGTTTAATACAATAGATGCCTCTTCTTCTTCATTTCTACAGCGGCGGCGAAACGCATTGGAGAGGTATCCAATTCTTTTCCCTTGAAGTTCCATTAAACAATGAGTTGTTATTATATCTGTTGTTATGTTAATGGAGAGCCGGTCTAGGAAGATAACATGTTTTTGTTAGCTATCTGGTCACTTTGCACGTGACCTCATTCAGCCACTTTGAGTGAACAAAGATAAACCTGCGTCATGTAGATGTTTTGTAGGGAATAGAAGGATTCCTTCCCCCGCTAGTAGGTCTGCCATGCAATTGCCTGGGATGTCACTGTGTCTGGGAATTCAGACCAAGTAGTGTTGTATTTAGTCGAGAGTTTTTTCAGATTGCTTCTTACTAAATTAACAGTTGCATTGTAGAGATCTGACGGCAGCTTGACTGTCGGAATATATCGTAACTGATTGTTCTGTTGCCGTAGATATGAGCAGCATGATTGCAAAGAGCTCTGCTAGGAAGATGCTGCATTGGTCTAGTAGTCTCGTGCTTATTTTAAGCACTGGAGAGTATATTCCGCAGTCCACTTTTCCATCGAGCTTCGAGCCGCTTGGAAATATGTAGAGCGTTGGTGTTTTCCCTCTCATTTCTGTTTGGGGATTCTCGTGGCACATCTGCAAGATGACATGTTCTATACTGCAATTCTTCCAAGGTTGAAGTTGTGCTTTTGAAGAAGTTCATGGTAAGGCTCCTGTTACCAGGAAAGCAGCCGACCATTAAACTTTCTCTAATTGGCTCCTGAAAGTAATATTGTCGAGTGCAGGCCACCATACGCTGGCGCAGTAGAATAGGATTAGTATAACTACCGATGTATGAACCCAGTACACGATATTCGGTCTTAGACTCCAATACTTTTAAGATCGCCGTTTTGTAAATACTCGTATAAAGTGCAGTTATAGCCTTCCTTCACCTTTAGTTTAGGTGACTTAAAGGAGGCGGTTTATAACTCCTGATAAATATAACCATTTCGGTTTTAGCTGGATTAACATCCAGCCCGCTGCCCTTGCACCAGTTCCCAACTATGTATAAAGTATTATGAAACACTTGCCTCACTGTTCTTTTTGTCAGCGTCTAGGTTCGACTATTCATTTTCTCGACCGTAGTGAAAACTAAATAAATTTTGTAACAAGCATAAAAACAATGGCCGAATACGAATGAGCTCGTGGAGTTTCAATTGAGTTCATAAGTTCGTGCGCTTTTATTAATAAATTATGTATTCGCCATTATGTTCGGTAATCCACTCCCAACGTTCAACCAATTTACGGATGCCTGATTCATAGAAATCGCGCGGTTTCTCGTTGAAAAAGGTGTCAAGGTGGTTTTTGACGTCTTCCACATTTTTAAATTTTTTTCCATTCAAATTGTTCTGCAGCGATCGAAACAAATGATAATCAGAAGGTGCAATGTCGGGTGAATATGGGGGATGCGGCATGATTTCCCAATTCATCTCCTTCAGTTTGGCCAGGGTCGGTTTTGCAACATGTGGCCTGGCGTTGTCATGATGGAAAAGAACTCCTTTGCGATTGGCCAAAATCGGACGTTTTTCATCAATTGCTTTCTTCAATTCGACCAATTGCTGACAATACTTGTTGGCAGTGATCGTTTCTCCAGCTGGCAAGAGCTCAAAATAGATCACGCCTCGGATATCCCACCAAATGCACAGCAGTACCTTCATCGGATGCAATCCACCTTTCGACATCGGTTCCGCCCCTTCGTGTGCCTGTTTCCATGTTCTTTTGCGTTGAACATTGTTGTACAGGATCCATTTTTCATCACCAGTCACGAGCCGATCCAAAAAAGGTTCGTTTTTGATCCGTCGAAGCAAAGAAATTGCTGTTGACATACGGTCCACTTTGTTTTTTTCACTCAACTGATGTGGCACCCATGTATCGAGCTTCAAAGTGTACCCAACCTTTTTTAAACGACGAAACGCAGTTGATTTGTTGACGTTCAATTCACTGGCAACCTCTTCCGTCGAAATACGTGAGTTATTCGCAACTAAAGTCCTTAGAACATCGTCATCAAGCTCAGAAGGCCGTCCACTGCGAGGTTGATCTTCGAGGTTAAAATCTCCAGAACGAAATTTCGCGAACCATTTCTTTACTGTGCGGAGTGCTGGAGCACGGTCCAAATAAACTTCGCGAATATCTTTAGTTGCAGCGCGTACTGTTTTTCCTTGCGGAATCCGTATAACATACAATACAATGACGCATATGATCGTTTTCGTTGTCCATCTTCCATGCGTCTTTTCATTAAGCAACTCAAATCAAAATGAAGTTATTTTATGCTTGATTTACAGTTCGGACTGTCACCTTTCCAACGATACATAATATGTATATATTTCTTTCACGAGCGCCACTCTCAAACGATTCGAACGGCATTCAGCGGAATCGGGCACGAACTTATGCACTCATCCAATATTATGACACAAATTTCAAGTAAAGTTCCTGCTATTTGTCCAATGCAAAAATGACTAAGCGACCATAATTTCAATGCTATTTAGCTCAATTCAATAGCGTTCCAGTATACAAAATTTTCATTATTATTTTTAATTAACAACTTATGGCATAATTCGTAGGTCTAACTGCAAAATATTTCTGCTTTTCTCGGTTTCAAATATGTTCACATAGATTTTTGTCAGTTTTAGCATGAAATTAAATCATTTGCCAAACTTTAACCAACTTGTACTCGACCATCAGCATTTTTTGTCCAATCTAATATGGAGTTGCTGCATACTGCATATATGTATGTATGTATATGTTTGTATTTACGAAATCTTTGGATACTGACACATACACTCATATAGAGTAAAAGCAAAACTACTTTGATGTAAATGCTCAAATTTTTGGTAATGTATTAAATAATTTAGTAAAAAAGCATTTATTGTATTTTATTCAATTATTTGGATAATTGTAGTTTTACAAAAGAAATTATTAGCAAATTTTGTAGCGGTAGTTTGTGATTTTTAATGATGGTGATATGTAACCCTGAAAGTATATTATTTGATAGATTTCAATAAAAATGTTAATGAATGAAAAATGTAGTATTATTAATTAGTCGGATACGCTGAGATCAAGCAGAGTTGTTAACTATCTGGGTGTAAGACTAGACCCTAGACTGAGCTACTGGGCACAAATCCAGCATGCCGCAGTTAAAGCCTCCAAAGTCACTTTTCAGCTTAGTAGACTCATGGCTAACATAGAAGGACCAACTTAAGAAAAAAGCAAGCTTATCGTGGCGACAACCCTTAACATCTTACTGTACGGAGCTAAACTATGGGCGGACTCACTTAAGAGGAATAATGTGCGAATGGTACTGGCCAAAGTATACCGCACGGCGGCCTTGTTGGTAGCGTCGGCATACCCTACAGTATCAGGGAAAGCTGTAGCTATAATAAGCGGAAGCATTCCATCGGCCTATTGGCAGCCGAAAAGAAAAGAAATGGTACGCTAAAAAAAAATGAGAAACCAAGGATGCACTGTCAATTCAAACAGGGAGGACATAAGAAAAGAAACCGTGAATTAATGGCAAGCCCGATAGACAGCCAGATTAACAGCAGAAATTCGGGGAAGTAGGCTACTATGTTACCCAGATGCTGTCCGGTCACTTCGGGAAATACCTGCATAAAATAAGGAAAGCTGAAGACACGTCATTTATCTATAACGATGCCAACGAAGAGTATGCCGAGCATACAATCTTTCTAAAGCATTCGCTGGCAAGATGCGAGAATCAGACTTGAAAACACAGTTGAAGAACTAAGAGTAGATAATATTGTCTCAAGTGGGCGAAAAAGTGGGCCCTGGTGGCGAGATGCAATCCCACTATGAGATTAATGGAACGCCGTGCTAAAGAAATGCGAAAGCGGTTCCAGGGTGGGCGACGGTTCCTTAGAAGTTTTTTAGTGACCTCTAAGTTTATGTGAAGACACAATGTGATCCGGAAGGCATTTTCCTTCTCCTCAACCAAAAAAAACAAATAGATTCAACACTTTGAGGGAATGAAAATTATGAAAAGCCTTTGAAATCAAATGTATGTCCCGCTTCTGATTAAAGGAGAAAAGAACTCTTTTGTTGTAAAAACATCTAACAAATTCTTCAAAACTCATCTTATTCTTAAAATATCACATTTTTGAAGTCAACACGAAATCGCTATTTTGGAAATGAAAGCTTAAAAAATTAATTGACCGACGATAAACTAAAAAGAAAGACGACGTGAAGAAGGCTGCCTTTTGTGCTCCCGCCGCGATGTTAAAATCGTTCTTGGCGTTCTTTACGCTAAGGTGGGAGATAAAACGAAGCATCCTCAGATGAGTTGAGCCTGATCGACTTCGTCGGAGTCCGAATTATGGTTGTCTGTAGTACTAGATTCCAACATAAGAAAATTCATCAACATCTTGACTTGTGTACACTCCGAGGACCTAACGTCTATTCGGACCACTATCTCGGGGTAGAATACATACCGAGTATTGAAGAGGGAAGCAAGTTGCCAGTGCGTCAAAAACAAATGAGACCGAAATACATCAGTATGAAAATCTTGAGAAACGGTCCGATAAGGGTAATGCTAGAAAATTCTACGAAAAGGCACTGCGACATTCACAAGAGTTCAAGACTGGAACAGACTCTTGTAGGACACAGAGATGTGATCTAGTGACTGACGTCCAGATTTTCTGAATTTATGGAGGAAACATTTCTCCAGCCAACTGAATGGTTGTGAAAAAGAAACTTCCAAAGAGGGCGAAACCGAAACCCCTATCGATAATGGTGGAATAGACCCGACTATGACAAGGTTGGAAAATCGACTGCCCTCTTAAAGAACAACAAAGCGGCTGAAGCCGATAGCTTACCAGAAGAGCCATTCAAACATGGCGTTGAAGAGTTAAAAGGCGCATGCATCAGCTTCTTTGCAGAATATGCTCGGACGAAACCTTGTTTGACTATTAGAACCTAAATGTACTCTGCCCAAATTATCGTATTTAAGGTTCTAACGAGCGTATTTGTTGAGAGACTACAGCCCACCGTCAACAAATCTCATTAGTTTGATTTTAGACCAGGACATCAACTATTGATTAGATATTCACCATGTGCCAAATCCTGTAAAAGACCCGAGGAAAGAGGACCGACACACACCATCTCTTTGTTGATATTAAAACAGACTTCGAATGAGTCCTCTCTCGGCGAGCGAAGAGAAAATTCTGCAAGTAAATGAGAGTAATCAGCATCAACTTTAATGAAACGGCAAGAGTTAACACACATTTGGTTTAAGTCAAGCTTCGGAAAGAACCAAGATTTTATAATCCCAAACTAAGCTGTATAATATAAGCCATTGAGCTTATTGGTTTCTATATATCTGATATATGTTAGCAATATTGCTTTGAGTAGTTCATTGATTTAACTCAGGCTCTCGCATCAGAGGACCATTTTGCCATGATGATATGAATAAGGGTAAGTCTTAAGTAAAAGCCAAAATCTATCAATCTATTTCAAAGGAGGATAGAGCTGAAGTAGCTCATTCCTTGCAAACAATTTTGGACCATATGGTCCAATAGAATAATCCAATAGGTAGTCAACTATTGGGTCAACTCGCGCCCTGCTACTACCCTCTTTTAGCCGATGCTTGCTTGTGTTGTAATAATCGATTGGGAGGTGGGACAGATGCAGAGGGAAATGTGCTGGAAGTGTGGTTCTCTACTACTACTACTAAGCAGCAGCTCTTATTACGCATTCTATAGAGCTTAGAGGAGTGTGTTGCTCAGGACTAGGAGAATTAAACATTGAGACCGTATTGACACTTGGACTGATTAAAGGAGATTTTAAAAAGCGTCCGCAGTGACAGTATCTGGATCTAAAGCTATCATTTCGTTACTACATGCATATGAACATTCATACATATGTTCATATTTATGTGCATATGTACATTTGTATGTTTATTGAACGTAGAGATCACGTCAAATTCGAAGAGATAACATATTTTTAAAGTAATGGGAGCAGGGAGAGAAAAATTTTTAAAAATTGAGATTTTAAAACTATTAAGCATTTAAACTTAAAATAATTTACATTTTGTCTATAGGTCTCATTTGCATATCCAGAATATTCAAATAAATGAAAATCAATCATTAAAAATTTCTTATCATCATATGCAGTTAACGATTTTTCGTGCATATTTTTGACAAGAATCAACTTTGTAATAAAGCTATTCATTCATTTGTGAGCGAAAAAGGTAAATTATTTAAGAAATGATAACAGCTCAAACAGCCAATCAACGAGAACCACATATAAAATGCGACACTGCTTTATACCGGAATATATGTGACACTCTGTTTATCTCTCTCTTACGTAAAGCTTTTAAAGCGTAGTATAATCGATTTGTTGCGCTTGAACTAAAAATATAATCGACTGACGTGTGTTTGACAAGAAGTTGTCGAAGAATAAGAAAAAAAACTGTGGAGCAGTGGTATTTATTTCATTAAAGGCAAGCATTTGATCAAGTCGTTATTTATATTATAAAACAATTATTAACGTAAGGATTTCCTAAAAGTGGGTGTCATTTGTCGAATTTTTTTGGCATAGAATTTGCAGGTGTCGGTCAATACAGGTTATAAGAGCTTAAAGAGCAGTGCCTGAAGCTGGGAGTCTCAGAACATTTAGAAAGTGGCAACTTACACGTAGCATTTTTGTTCTATCTTTGCGGATTAAAATCTGCCCATATCACAAAACAATGGTGGTGCCGCTGAACGATATGTTGCCCTTTGCCAGCGGTGAAAGGAGACTGGCAGCTTGTGTTCTGTTGTTGTTATTAGAATTATTTCTAGAAGGTAAGTCTAATGAGACTGTAAAAGTTTAGCATACAAAATTTGCATAATAATTTTGTAATCGATTAATTAAATAATGTAAATATTTATCTCCTCTTCTTTTGTGTAATGTACTGTTTTACTTTCTTTTTGCCAACTGTTCAAACAAACTTATTCAATAACAATAAAAACATATCTTTAATACAGGCGCCGACGCAGTGCCTAACCAGGCTGACATTGAAAACCATCTGGAGCTTGGTAAAGAGTTTTTAGCGAGAGGTCAGCTAGCAGATGCACTCACACATTACCATGCTGCTGTTGGTGGGTAATCTTAAGATATGGTAGTATTAGCATTTGCTAACGATTTTCTCTTTTTGAAAAACAAAAAATCAGAGGGCGATTCTAATAACTACCTGACACTTTTTAAACGAGGAACCGTTTACTTGGCGTTGGGTAAGGCACGTTTTGCCATACAAGATTTCACACGTGTGTTAGAACTTAAGCCAGACTTTACGGCAGCTCGAATGCAACGCGGTGTAGTACATTTAAAGTGTGGCGAATATGAGCAAGCTACTGAAGACTTCGAATATGTGGTAAGTGCAAAAGCAAATCAACCAACTTAACTACTTATATATATTATATCTACTGTTTTTATAACAGCTGCAAGAAGATCCTTACAATGAAAGTGTTAATGAGCATATCAGACGAATTGACGCAGCCCTTGATCAATGGATAATTGTAAATGATCTTAGTTATCGTGGAGATTCGCGTAATATTATTCCCATGATTACACAACTACTGGAGGTCTCTCCATGGTCCATTGAATTCCGCAAAGCCCGTGCCAACGCTTACATTGCCATAGACGAACTACCTGCTGCCATTTCCGATCTCCGCTCAGTAAACAAACTTTCGCAAGACAGCACAGAGGGTTATTACAACATCGCATTGTTATTGTACAAATTGGGTCAAGCTACAAACGCACTGAAGGAAATACGAGAATGTTTGCATCTGGATCCCGAGCACAAAGATTGCTTCCCTTTTTACAAAAAATTGAGGAAGGTGGAGAAAAGTTTATCAAATGCTGAAAATTCTCGGGAAGAAAAACAGTTTGCAGATTGCATAAGTTCTGCAGAGTCTGTGTTAAAACTAGAAAAGGATGAGAAAATGATAATATACGAGGCTAAGCGACAACTTTGTACTTGTTACACACGAGATGAACAGTACGCAAAAGCGTTAAGTCATTGTAAAGAAGCGCTGGAACTTTTACGTGATCCACAATTATATTGTGAACGAGCAGATGCCTATATAGGTTCCGAAATGTATGATGATGCCATACATGATTACCAAAGTGCTTTGGAAATAGACGAGAGTCTGCAACGAGCCAAGGAGGGTATTGAAAAAGCGAAAAGACTGCAAAAACAAGCGGAGCGCAGGGATTACTACAAAATCCTTGGAGTCAAACGCAACGCAAACAAACAGGAAATAACCAAAGCATACCGGAAAGCGGCGCAAAAATGGCATCCAGATAATTTTAAAGATGAAGAAAAAAAGATAGCCGAAAAGAAGTTCATTGATATTGCGGCAGCCAAAGAAGTACTAACTGACCCTGAGAAACGAAAACAATTCGATATGGGCCAAGATCCTCTCGATCCAGAAGCTAATCAACAAGGTGGCTTCCGCGGTGGTAGCCCCTTTGCTCACTTCCAACACGGGTCGCCGTTCCAATTCAAATTCCATTTCAACTAGACGTACCGTAATCCTCAGGCATTGCGAATTACATTAGCACATACCTAGCATTAGTCGGTTCGTTGTTAGGCCTCTTCTTTTTTTAATAGTATATAATATTAATGTAAATGATTGAAGAACTTGCGTTGGTACTGTTGCCATGCAAATATAGTAAGCAGCGTTTCTTCGCTGTTTGCCGTGCACTTACTATTGTAGGTATTTATTATTTTTATTACTTAATATATGGTTGATTGTAAAATTATGCAACTAGCTATAAACATAAAATGCTGTAACACACTAATCGCGCAAAAATGTAAAGCTTTTTTCCAACCGTACCACATTTAAACTGAAATTAGTACATAGCCATCTCTTAAGTCTATTTCTTTAGTAGATATTTCACTACATAATTTGAATTGAATTTATTTGTAAATAGTAGGCTAAATTAAAGAAAACCTCTATTCCTATTTTTATGTTAAAAATAATATTAGTATTTATACATGGAACAATAAAATTTAATATTTATAAAAAATCAAAAGCATTTTAACGTTATAAAACTAAAATGAAAAAATGTTTATTACGTAAATAAAAATTTTTAACTCGGTAAAATTTGAAATTATAATGAAATTATTGTTGTTGTTCGTTTTGTTGTCGGAAGCAATTTTTGAGATATGTTGCGGCAGTGACGGTCCTTAGCCGCGTGGTTCCGCTATAAAGACACGACTGTAGCGGGAACTTTCGGTTTTAGTTCCCTGTAGTTGTTGTTGCTTTGTTGTAGCGGCTACGTTAACACCGCTTAGTAACAGGTTAAATTAATCTAATTCACCGAGGTAATCTAACGGGAGGTCCAGGAAATATGCTGTAAGTTGTGGCAGTGTCTCGAGGCAGCTCGAGCTCGTTGTTCGCGATAGGTGGTGCTTTTTCTCCGAGGACGCCCTTCACCGGAAGGGAGCCTTTGAAGGTGTTGATTAAATCCTGGTGAATGACGTTCAGTGCTTGTCTGTACACCGTCTTGCCCAGCGGTTGTTGCATATGTTGCTGGATGGTGTTCGTCTTGTCTGTTACTCCCATTCTTAATCTAAATTGCTTGCACAGCAAATCATTATGATCCTGAACTCGTAGCATAGATGCTTCGCAGTGCAGGGGCTGCTCCGGCGACATCAGGAGACATCTCGTTTGACCGCGGCGCCCAGATCAGTGCAGCAAAGTTTACGACCGGCCGGCCAATTGCTTTATATTGTAGGTTACCAGCACGGTTTCATTTTCTTTATCTTAGCCGGCTACCGCTTAGAATATTTTGTTGCGGTTCAGGGTTTTTTCGGCAATTGAGGTCGTATGGGAAGTGAAGGAGTGCACGTTATCGAACTTCACATCTAATTTGAGCCTGTATTCCTTCGTCCAGCTGGTGAAGAGGGTACCCGAGGATTTAGTCGGTAGTTCACTTTCGAATAAAGGTCATCAATATCCTGACCAGACGATAATATCGTGCAATCATCGGCATACGAAGTTAGGGAAACTCCTTCAGGTGGAGGAGGGAGTTGCGAAATGTAGAAATGAAACAATAGTGTGGAGAGGACACCACTCTGCGGAACCTCTTGTTTAATTTTCTTTAGATTCGATGTTTCACCTCAAAATATTACCGATAATTGTCAACCACACAGGTAGACCATGATCTACCTCTGCAACGCCGGCGGTAATGAAGATGCCTTAATGTCTGATAGTGACACTGAATTATTTACGGTGTCAAAAGCTTTTGACAGATCCAGTGCTACCAGGAAAGTTTGGGAGCAGGGTCGGTTTTGGTGTATTCAATTCACTATCTAAGTGTGATGTTTTACACGCTGATGATGCTTATTCCGTCGCCTTCCCGATGGCCCCCTAAACCTCTTCACTGGAGAAATCAAGCTCTGCGCTGGGGTTTGACAGTTTTTGCAAGCCGTGGGCTAATTCCCTCGTTGCTTGTGGTCCTTTTGTATCATCCCACACATCATTACTTCTACATAATGAAGTTATTCTTTGTATAAGTTTATATTACGTGAAAAGTAGACAGTTCTCTTTGATTAAATGTACGTACATACAAACCTTCATTCGAATATATTTTCTATATACTAATCTATGAGCGCTATTTGCGTTCTAGGATGTGAAACTGCACTCTCTAAATCGAATGTAAACACTTCACCTTTCTTAGCAAATATGCGTATGGACGTGTATGTGTATGTTGAATTGTTTTTCCTCTCTAACTTGCATACCAATGACGATTACCAAAGAGAGCATGTCTCTTATAAGCATTCCCATTGTTGTTATTATATCAACCAGTTTTCAGTTTGTGGCGACGCAGTGGCATAAATTGACAACGGAGTCTATTCTAAATTTATCTATGACGTCAGTTTCACCAAAATAATAATTATGACTACATTTGCGTTTGATTTTAGGTGCGCTTCTTAGCACTTTATTATTTGTACGAAAACGAGATCTCGCAAATAATGAAATTTAAATATATAGACATACATACATACTTGTACATGTGGTAAATAATTGAATGCACCAATATATATATATATATATATATATATATAATATAAACAAATAATTTTTCAATACATTTTTAATTACGTTTATTTACTATTTGGGTATCATATTAAATATTTTTTTCTACAAGCAGAAATGATACAACAAACAGAATACGGCTTTTACTTACTGTAAAAATCAAATACACTCAATTTTAGTACATGAAATTTAAATTTTCTTTCTTACATACAAACATAAACATATCAAATACTATTTTACTTTACAAAATTGTTCGATTAGTTAAGAATATTATTTCGTCCTTTTTGTTATCTACTTTGCGGTCTGGGTTCACTACCAACACATCAAGAATGTATTTTACTAGTTATCAGCACATCTTCATCTTCAGTTACTGGGTTCTTTTCGATGAAAACCACATAGATAAACACTGCTCCAACAAATATGGCAAACATATATAACATTTGCTTAATGTGGTATTTGCGATCCAATGTTGTTAAGAAATTTCTCAGGGATGCATTAACGTCATCATCATCGTTATCAGGGCTCGCTGAGCGTCGTTCGGGGGAATATTGACTGTAACGTGGGCTTGGTGAAGAGCTTAGCCGTGCAGTATTGCTACGTCTATACGGTAAACGTTCCTGTATTTTATTGCTGCCATAGCTGCTGTATATTTTTTTGGTACCTGCCAAATATTCCTCCTCCTCGTCACTGTCTTGCACGTATATTTCTCCAGCAGAGAGTTCTTCACCCTCGCTCGAACAACTATCTGGTTCGTCAATGCTTCGCGTATAACTTTTATTGGTGCCTGATATGGGTGAAAATCGTTTGAGCGATGGTGACGGTGGTGTTTCTGCACCTACATTGCCGGCTATATATGTTTCCCTGTTTAATGGACTGCTTGTATAGGCCGTGCCGGTATTTATACCAGTAAAGTAGCTTGGTCGTTCATAATTACCACTGCTAGTTGTATTTTTGCGGCTATAATTTACTGAAGCATCTTCCAAGAGATCTTCCCCACTTTCTACTTCAAAGTGCTTTACCTCTTTAACGGGTGCAATTTCCTGATAGTATGCAGTTGTCATTACACCTGACTTTGTCAGTGAAGGTGTTCGACCAGAACTTGATGATTTTTGGGAATCTGGTGTTGGGGGAGGTGATGGTGTATATATTTGTGGAGTAATTATATCAGTTGGTAAGCGTGGATACAATCTTTGGGCATCAGATTGATTATAAGATGTGTTAGTTACAGATGACTTTGACAATGCCGCCGGTCGTTTAAAGAAGGTGTCTCTTGAAGGAGACGAAGCAGTAGCGAAGTTACTACCAATCGTGGACGAATGACTTGCCATATTTTCAATATTGAAAGAATTGGTTGGCGATCTTGCGCTGTAAAAATCGACTGTTCTGTTTGGGGCATGTTCTTGAGGCGATGGTATAATTCTCTGGAGCATCGAATTATCATCAACTTGTTCATAGGTTGTGTTTAAAATTCGCGTCTGACTTAAGCCTAATTTCGGTGTAGATTGCTGGTAGCTACCTGCAGGCACTTCTTGTGCAAATGTGCTATTAATATTGCGTATTTGATTTGAATCGAAATTAGATGCCGATACGTTGTAAGCAGCAAAATTAGCCTTGGTATTTGCATTGCTGGTAATATTTCCTGACGTCATTTCCAAGGGCACAATACGTGACCTGTTACCAAGTCCAACACCAACAGTTTCATTATTGTCAAATCGTGTTGCTTTGTCTGATAAGTTATTTTGTTTGTTATTAATTTTTGGATCGAATGATACATTGTGTCCTTTCGGAGATTGCGTGCGTGCTTTGTTTCTAGTAGTAGTTTTCTGCTTTTGCCCTCCTGTCTCATCTTCATCACTAGATACGTGCACTACAACATTTACGGTTTTACGTCTATCGGTCGGTGAGGAGGCAATTTTCTTGTTGATTTTGGGCGATGAAACATTCGAGGTTCCTGTGATCGATTTAATTAATTTGCGTATGATGACGTCGCGTGTTGAGTCGGCCACTGGTACATTCAGGCCATATTCAACGCACTTATGATGCAGCTCTTTGTTGTTCAGAGCTTCTAGTTGTGCACGAAGTTCAGGATAATCAACTTTTTTGCTCATTTTTATATTTTATCGATCTTATTTCCTTAAATCTTGCGAAAATCTATTATGTACTGCACTTCTAATAACAACAAGTATACTTTTCCATACGACTGGTCAAAGTAATATTACTAATCGAAGTGATGAAATGTTTTTATTTGTTTGTTATTCGCCCTGTAGCAAATATAATTGAGGTATTGCCATTATAAAAAATTGTGGCGAAAATGCCAATTACTCACATTCGTAAGAATTCGTGAGAAGAAGGTGCCCATAACTAAAGCATTGTTCAGAGCGTGCGTATAGCATGTACATTTTATAGATCATTGCAACAAAAACCTTTCAGATGGTGGGGCGAGGTAGTTTTGACTTGAGCTTAAAACTTAGTAATGACACTATAGCGAAGCAGAGAGAACTGTGTGCTTATGAGAGAATAGCCCCGACATTCAGTAACTTGATACTGTCATTAATTCACAAACTGATAGATACTATTTTTGTGACCATTGGTGTTTTTGGAATTCTGTAATGAGAGAATCAAAAAATTCGCGTTCTTTGGTGTTTTCTTTTACGATTCTCCTCTCTTTTTTTTGATTTGTCATCTGGTTTCGATAAAATTTTGATAAGAAATAGAGAAGCCATCGATTTGCTTGTCATTTGCATAGCAATTGAGAACGAATTACCTACTTTAATTGTAATATTGTCCAGAATATTTGTACGGCGAATTAAATAATTCTCATCTACTTAGAGTGCGAATTACCAAAGAACGTATATTAATAAAAGTTCTTTGCTATTGAGTAGATTTGTCAGCGAGTTTTCTATTGCAATACGGATCAATACGGCATCTCGAGAGGTTTTCTGAGGAATTTGAGATTAGTGCAAAATTTCCCTTTTAGTTTGTAACTTTGACATTTCTTTGTATTCTTGCTTTTACGTTTTATGCCCTTCCTTCTCATATTTCTCACCTTTCTCATCTTTCTCTCTTTCGCCATTTGTCAAGTTTCCGGTACGTACGCGACTTTTTCAACACTCAATTATTTTATTCGAAAAAATTATTAAAACACCAGAAATTCGTTAAAATGATTCCTGAAAATAAGAATTTAAATAGTTTTGTGTGAACGCAAGTAGTTTTTTATGTTGTAACATCATAACGAGAGGCGATGTTTTTGGATATTATTTTGTAGCGATCATAAGAAAGAATTGTGCAGTGTAGATTAGTGTTTGATTTCATTGATTGGGAAAGTGTATTTGCCCTTAGATTGTTGAACTACTTGCGCTCACGCATTTTTTAATTAACCTTACAAATAATTTATATATTTTGTGTACATTGTAGTTAACTATGGCTGACACACAAGCAAAACCTGCTGCACCAGCGTCTAAAGCCCCAAAGGCTGCTAAAGCTCCTAAAGCTAAAGCGCCAAAGATTGAAAAACCTACTGCCCCAGTAGCAGCGCCTAAATATAAACGTCACGGACGTCTTTTTGCAAAGGCAGTGTTCACTGGTTACAAACGTGGGCTGCGAAATCAACACGAGAGCCAGGCTATCTTGAAGGTATGTTCTTTGAGTTAACTTATTTTTCATTTACTTTTACTTATATGCATGTTATTGCAGATTGAGGGTGCTCGCCGCAAGGAACATGGTCAATTCTACATTGGCAAGCGTTGTGTCTATGTTTACAAAGCAAAGACAAAGAAGTGCGTGCCCCAACATCCGGAACGCAAGACCAGAATCCGTGCAATCTGGGGAAAAGTGACCCGTCTGCATGGTAATACTGGATCCGTGCGTGCACGTTTCAACAGAAATTTGCCTGGTCATGCAATGGGTCATCGCATTCGCATTGTAAGTGTTATACTTCTATTTAAAGCTAAAGTGTTCTGAACAACAATTAATCGATATCTTTGTTTTTGCAGATGTTGTACCCATCCAGAATTTAAGTGATTATGTTAATAATTAACTTTAATTTGACCTGCAAAGCCTGTTTTTTTAAACAAAATAAAAATTAATTAACTTTAAATTTAAAAATGTGCTTGAATGAGTTTAAATGGGAACACAGTATTACACCGTTGTATAAATACAGAAAACTACTCTTGCGAACAGAAAGCGTAAACACAAAATACATCAAAATCAACTTTACTTGGAAGTCGAAAGCTACATGTGTCTGTGCTGACTGGATGTTTTCCTCCTTCGACGAAGTTTTTAGTGTAGCAAATTGGTATTGCGCGTTGCGATTAAAATCGAATAATTGCAAAGGCCTTCTTCGGTTTCGCAATCACCTGCGGCTGAAGACTTCCAATAGTTAAAAAGTTTTTTGCATATTGATTTAAGTCCAAGTTCGAGAACTTGTAAGAAAATTTCAAACATTGTAACTTTGAGCTAGTTTTGTGTAAAAACGTGCAAGTGCAAACATATATATTGCAACCACTTTGTTAGCGCTTTGTAACTGCTGAAGCCTAAGCCACAGGCACGGAACGGCTAATGGTTTCTTATGAGGAGCTTTTATTTCATATTAGAAAAAAAACTATTTTTTTTTAATAAAATTAATTTATTACAATATGGAATGATGGCCGTGACAGTACTAGTACCCATGACAATAAATTAAATATAAGGAAGATCCAAATTCAGGGGGAACAGAACATTAGTTACCCGACTGTTAAAGTATTATGGAAATGCGGTAATGCGAGTCTAATTCAATTTTAGTAAACCCCGTACTACATTCATGAAAAAATATCTCGGGGGGGTTTGGTCGTGTTATGTTCATTGATGCTTCAAATATTCCAATTTCTTCTGAGTTACCAGGAAATCTAATTTCTGGTAACAGTAACCGACGTAGATACCAGGAGGAATTTAGTCCAACTATTCTGACAGATTACGGTCATATATCATATATATATGTATGTACATTAGTGACAATAAAAATATTCGTAGCTAGAATTTCTCATGGCTTTAATTTGTCTCTTTTTTTAAGATAATCAATGGAAATGTCCTAGGTAACACGTAGACATTTTTTCTTGTTGGTCAGTGTCGGCCGCGGTAGCCGAGTGGTTGGCTTTGCTTACTGCCATTCGGAAGGCTCAAATCTCGATGTAGTATCACCTCTCCCCTCGGCAAAAGATGCCAACCCCTCTTCATAAAAATACTATCAGCCGTTAGTATAAACTGTAGGTCCATTTGTTGGAAAAACATCAAGACGCAAAACCACAAATTGGAGAAGGAGCTCGGCCGAAAATGGCTTCAGCTGTTAGACAGCTCCAATTATATATCCATTGTAAGTTAAGTTTGAGATTTACTTTGTGGCTTAAAAGATTTTGTATGACAAATAGTAATTGCCTATCATTAGCCGTCATATGCTAATACAACGTACAATGCATACGCCGGATTAACCAGGAACCAAATCTTACCCATTTTCGTCGTTTGAGCGTCATCTTCTATCTATATATGTACATATATAAAAGGCTTTGTTCCGAATGGCTGACAAATCAACACACAACCTAAGCCACTGATCATAGTTACCTGAAACTTGGAGGGTAACTTTCGTATGATGTATGCCCCCGATAAGAAAAAAATTTTACGCGAATTGGTATCCTCGTGAAAATCAAGTTTGTTTTTTAATCGTTGGAAGTACAAGAAGTTTGGTACACAGGGGAATACTTTTAAATATTTTACTTAAATAATTCCGGAAATAGAACCCGGGACTATACGAAAGAAGCGACTATACTTTTACGATTTAGATTTACATGAAATTTGATATACAGATAACTTTTTGCCTAAACTTCCTAGGACCTATCTATTCGAAAATTTTGTATTCATCGTTTGATTTAAATAATATTTGATTCAGTAGTAGCTATCGGCCAAATTACTAATGGGAACATTTTTTAATACTTTTAAATAACTTGATTTACATGATATATTTGGCACACAGATAACTATTTTCTCCTAAATCGAAAAACTTTTTCTTTCGAGAAGCGAACATTGAGCCGATTCAATCTGTTTTGTTTGGAATAAGGTCTATACGATGTAAGATCCTGTCAAAGTCAATAATTGGAGATCTGTGCAGAAAAATCGTTTTTGTTGCTCGATTTGCTTGATATCTGGAATATATGTAGATACTGTTAACATAGTAGTTTATAAGTTATAACAAAAGAAACAATGTTTTTACGTAAACATCTTTTGAGAATTCCAATTCACGTCTCAGAGTTCGATATGTGGTCGGAATACGTACAAATAAGTAAGGGCTGATATGAATACACATATCTAATGTATACGACTCAAATTTAAATCACATTCCGCTGGCAATCGTTGCGGAAAAGCAAAGTTTTCTAAGAAATTAAAAAATTTATACTTAAAAAAAAACTTTCGACAGTTCAATTTACAACAAAGAAAACGTATGATGTATCATATTAATTGATTTTATTTATAATTTAAGTACGATCCCAGTGAAAATGTTTGACATGTAACAAACTTTAATAATTCATTAACTCAACGCTAATTTAAAAAGACAAATACTTAAATGTGGCAACGCTGATTTCCGTCTAGCCATAATGGAAACTATGCAGTGTTGCAAGCGTTTTACTATTTAAATATTTCGCGGTGTGATAAAAATATAAATAAATGACAAAATTGTATTTTTCTCCATAAGGAGGTAAGCATTAATATAGAAATACAATATTGCCTTAATCAATTTACCACCTTCCATGGCTTTTTGCGAAGTGCTAGAACTGATGTGGCCATTTCCGGTTACTTTCCAGTTTGAATGTTAATATAAGCCACAATCGAAAATTAGCCAGCCATCCAGTCATCCAATCATCCAGTCTGTCAACCACTGAGCCGGCTCACTGAATGCTTATTCAAACAGGTACTTCAATGCGTTCTCATGATTTCAGTACTCTTTCAATTGTTGAATTCGATTGTTGTCATTTGCTTATATGTCGCCGTACGTTCGGTTTATTTTATGCGATAAATAGTATCGTTATTTCTATACGGAAAAACAAAAATTGTTAACCTATGTATTTATTTCATTGCTGCCAACAATTACTTGATGATTTCTTATAGAAGAATTATTTTTCAATGTAGTAATGAGCATACAGTGTAATAAACTAACTGACAAAAAAAAAATATTACTGTTCAAATAATGTTGTAGTTTTTATGCGATCCAAATGATGAAATTGATATCGGGTTTCCAATAAAACATTTAAAATTGTGGTTTCAGTGCGGGGTTTTTAGTATTCTATTCTTTTCAATAAAAACGTATTATATTTACATTTATATGTATGTGTATCTGAATTAATTTTTCTACACATAATTATTGATGCTGCTTTCTTATGCGTTGAAATAAAGGTGCAGTGCAGCAACATTCCTTGTGATCGCGACGCGACGCGCGCATTGGAATTTTACTTACATGTATCCAGCAACGTGCCTTTAAAATCGTTCCCCCAAGGTGCTTATTGTTGTGTTTTGATTTTCACCTACCTATTTATCTTCCGTTTGATACTCCACCAACATTCGTTACTAACTTATTTGGTTTTTCTTGTTATTTACACGTACATAATATACATACATATGTATGTGTGTATTTACATATTTTCAATGGACGTTCGCTTGTTTGTTTAAGATATTGCACTTGTTGTTGTTGCAAGAAACCGGTTATTGCTCTTCGTACAATTGGTGTAAATGTTCAAAATAGGTTGTTGGTGCTGTTGCTGGTGCTGGTGTTTACGTTTGCGTTCTGCCAGTGAAAAAAGGGGGCACAGCAGTGGAATGAAAAACCAGTAAAATACAATAATAATTCAAACCAACCTGAGGTACAAAAAAAATTAATAAATAAATAAATAAATAATGAAAATTTAGTAAACGCAAACAAATAAATAAAAGAACTCAATTGAAGGCATAACAATAGTGAAATAGCAAAATAGAATAAAGAATCATCACGATTTTGAAGTCCAAAACAACACGACAGTGAAAACACAATCAACAACGAATGCCAACAATACAAATACAACAACTATGTCAACATCAAGTGCAGAATTTTCATTTGTTGCTATTTTTTGTAACGCGATAGTAAACAACAACAACAACAGCGACTCACCTGCGAGTAAGATCTTCTGTGCATATGTACATATGTATGTTTCTATGTGCCTATGAAGTTTAGATATACAAAAATCCATACATACTCGTAATTCAATAACACGAGAAGTTGTGAAGTTAATTCGAAAGGTTAATAGATTTTTAATTAAATGGAAAGTCAGCACCATTTAGTTGTGCGAGTACAGTAAGATACCCGTGTGCATAAGAATATACTTATTTAATTTGTATATAAATGTACATATATTTATAATGTAGGCTCAGGCTTTTATTACATGATGATGTACATACCTGCATACATATGTATTTACAAAGTGGAAAATATTTTTGAGCAAATGAAATCTTAGAAAAATTAATCGTGTTACTTCTTCTGCTGAATAAATTTGCTGCTACAGAAAACACAAAAAATTATTAAAATAAAAATGAATTATTACAGCACATGGTAAGTGGAAATTAATAGTAAATACCGTAAATACAGTAGTAGTATGTATTTTTGGATAAATTTCTTACATAGCCTAAGCATTGGTAATAGTTAAATCAATCTTAAAGTCCCAAATTTTATACTTTATTTAATAGTTACAAGCAAATTTTTGAATTTAGACTTCACATTGTATATACATATTGATGTAGTCCCACATTTACAGGCCTATTCTGTCTAGGTAACAAAATTTACCTAGGTATTAAAATTTACCCTTCAGTAAATTTTGTTACCATTTCGTATTCTGAGTTCACTGTTACCTGTACATTTTGTTGCCAGCAAAAAAGGAGGTAACAAAAAATTCTGCTGTTTGATTTTGTGTTTTTAGTTTGAGAAAAAATAAAAACCAAAATGGAATTCATTGAAGATGAAGAAAAATGTGTAAAATGGCGTATGCCAAGAAGTTCGCGAGAAAAAACCGCCCTTTTAATTTGGAAGATAGCTTTTTCAGTCCGATCTTTTTTGTCGTTTAGGCATATTTTCTAAAATTATCTTAAAATATTTATGATTTAATAAAAACATAAATAAAACTTATTTATTTTGAAGTGCCCCGCCTTTTATTTCGATGTGAATATTATACTTTTTACTATAGCAACGGGCAAATGTAATTTGACAAGGACGAAAAAAGCAGTGCTGCCCATGTTTTTTCAAACATTGTAACCAGTTCGCCAGAATACCAAATTTAATTTCCGGTGTTAAAAAAAAGTAACAAAATTTACTTTATCGGTAACAGTGAGAATAAGCCTGTTAGTATATGTAGTATAAGTACATATGTATATGTACTTGAAGTAGGAATACTTCTTACAAGTCTATTCTCACTGTAAAGTAAATTTTGTTACTTTTGTTTGGTTACATTTTTTTTTGAAAACTTAGGCAGCACTGCTTTTTTCGTCCATATCAAAGTGTAAATATTAGGCGGTTGGTATAGTTAAAAGAATATTCATACATATATATTCGTATATTTGTATTTCTTTTGTTGTTGGGAAGCAAATCGTCCCGGCTTTTAATTTGGCAATCAAATTTGAAATATGGTGTAGTGATCGCGAAATAGAAGCTTTGCTCATAGCAGTTATACAATTGCTCCAACGCATTCCCGGGACCGATGGAAAAAAAAATTCATAAATATTAACTGTTGTAGAAAGTAGTCCCATATTTTTGCATGAAATTGAATGCTTTAATTTTTTCTTTACGTATCCAGCCATTTGAATAGGTTCCAAACGGTTTTTGTTCAATCCTTAGCCCTCGGGCAACTAAAACAGTGCTTACATTTCGGTCGGTCGCGACAATGTTCATGATTTTATCGATATTTTCGACGGAATGAAACCGAAATTGTGCATGATTGACTGTAATTGTATTAGGGCCATAAACGTTATTCACATTTTCAGCTGCATGGCTTGCGTTTTCGCCCTTATCGAAGAAAAATTGGGGAATATAAGGTATTTTCCCTTTGTTAGTGTCCATTATTGATGCACGCTAAAACAAAACTGAATCAATCAATCACAAAACTGTCACAAAAACTTTTTATACTACGAAATGTCATCTTTCAAACGCCAACTAGCGGGACCCGATCGGAGGTAAACAACGCGAGATAGAGATAAATAACACCATCTACAGGTTCCGCTACGTAACTTTTTTTTTTTAAATGCAATAAAACAAATGCCCATTCGGCAAGGGCAAACCGCATCGGATGGTCTCGTGGCTTCAATTCTTGAACCAATTGAACTTTGTACGGTGTCATACCAAGGTCTTTTTTCAAAATTCGCCTAAAGGACGTCTCGGAAATGTCCAATTGTTGAGAGCGACGCTTCACTGATGTTCCGGGCGCCTCACCCACACTCTCGGCCACAGCAGCGATATTACCGGCAGTACGCACTTTTTTTGGTTTCTCACGCGTTGGTTTATCAATAATTGTGCCTGTTTCTCTCAATTTTTTCAAAAGAAAGCGCACATACGGATCGGACGGTGCTTTGTTACGGCTCATTTCCGTGCGTAATTTTCGCACACATTTTCAAAGTAAAACTGCACTATTTTAACGCGTTCCTCAATCGTATACACAACAATTTTCGTTCAGCGGAAGGATAAAACTGACTTTCTGTCAAATCAGATGTAACATCAGTGTTACCACATTCAAAATAACCACTAGTTCAAAAAAAAAATGTTAGATGGCGGACCCTCTACTGGAAAATTAATGATTTTCTTTTTACTACACCTAACATATTGTTGACAGGAACGTCCAATAAAATGGCAAGGATGTCTTCAGTTTAAAAAAAGTTTGATTTTAAAATTATGTATGAAAATGACAAATTGTTTTATTCAGGCTAAATGTTGAAATTGCTTTTTCACAAATTAAAACGGTATTTTTTTTCTTGCAAACCTCTTAACAAGAACGTTTTTTCACTTTTTTCTTCATCACCAATTAAATTCCAGACGTACTGTCGTTATGTCTATACATTTTGGTTTTTGTTTTTTTTTTTCTCAAATTATCCACATAAAATCAAACAACAGCCTACTTGGCGGGTATCAAAATTTGTAGGGTGACAGTGAACTCAGAATACGAAATAGTAACAAACTTTATTGAAGGGGAAATTTTATTACAGAATGAACCTGTTATTGTGGTTTTTAGATAAATAAAAAAATAAAATAATAATTTATTTAATAGTTTTAACGCTTCTCGCGGACCTTCCATCGATTTTCAATGTGTCAAGAATTTTATATGGAGAAATTTTAATTAAAATTTGATATTTTTAACTCTAGTAACCTTTTAATAATTAATAAAGTAAAGAAAAGTGTGTAAAGAATTTATCAACCAACTCAAAATCACTTTGTTTTGATTTCCTTAACTTGTTTTGGCTTTTAACAGAAAAGAAAAACACTCATTACACTCGAACAACCAGGTTTCTGAACGCGATAGATGGTAGCGCCTGAAAAGGCCAATCCATTATGCCAGCATAAGCTATTATTGAGAAGCGATTGCAGCTGCAGGATTGCAAATATGATCTTCATTAGATAGAAGCACACATGTCTGTGTTCATACACAGGCTAGCATACATATGCATGTACGTGTATATACAGTGGGGAGCAAAAGTGATTCTACGATCAACGCTTTCATGTTTGGGAGCACATAAAAACTAAATGGTAAAACTTTTAAATTTTTTTAATAGTATTTCATTTGTAACAACAAGGCGTAAGAAATAAAGTAATTGAATAAGCTATAGAAAAGTAATGATTCAACAGCAAAAACAAGCGGCATGTACTCAGTTTTGCATCATTTAAGAAAAAATACAAAAAAAAATTCATTATTAATAATTTTTTATCCAGAGACGCTTATTTTCTATGAAATTTTTCATACGTTTTGGCATACTTTCAACTAATTTTTCGATTATTTCTTTCGGAATATTTTTTCACTCTTGTTCAACACGCCCCCAAAGATCGTTCAAGTTGGATGGGGCTGATTGATACTGTCCGAGCCGTCGCTTTACGAGTGATCAGAGGTTTTCAGACGGGTTGAGGTTGCGATTTTGCGCTTGTCACTCCATCATCTTAAAATTTTGGTTTCCGAGCCATTATTTAACAATTTTCGCAGTGTGATTGTGATCCCCATCTTGCTGAAAAGTGATTTCCTGCTTTGGGTACGCACACTGGTCAAAAAAATTGCGAAGATGGGCTTGCAAAATGCTGAAATAGTCTTCCTTTCCCATAATACCGTCAATTTTGTGCAACGGCCCAACGCGTGAATATGTTAAACGCCCCCATGCCATTATGTTGCCGCCTCCATGTTTCACGGTTTGCTTTACATGATGCCTTTGTAGCTTGTCACCAGGTCTCCGCCAACCGTATTGCTTGCCATTCGATTGAAGACGATTAAACTTTGATTCGTCGGGTCAGATAACACGTTTCCAGTTTTCTATTGTCCAATTCTTGTGTTCCTTGGCGACTTTTACCCGAGTCTTAACAATTTTCTCCGCTAAAGCTGGCTTGTTTTTTTTTTCAAGCCATCGACTCAGGCCTTTATTTATTTCTGTAGAAGCTTCTTTTGGCATTAAAAGGTTATTTTTTCTCATTTTACACATCATAAGTCGAGCATCAGAGTCTGTTAGAAGGCAACGGCGACCATTCGACTTCTTTACAGCATTTTCAAACATTTTGTCTTTCCCGCACCGCGACAACCACTGATTGACTACCCACCACACCCACTTTTAGTCAGAGGGATAATACTATTTTCTTTATCAGAAAGACAGCTTCTTCATTTTTCAATAATAAATGCAAAAGGCACTTAACGGTAAGTCTGCAGATCTATTGCTGATAAGTATGTTTGAAGAGCAAGAATATGAGCGAATAACGGATGGTACAAAACTGAGTTACAAGCCGCTTGTTTTGGTTTTGAAATCGAACAAGAAAACGTTGATCGTGGAATCACTTTTGCTCTCCACTGTATATAAGAGATGAAATCAGCAACCAATTTTCTATGGTTGATTAAAAAAAAAAAAAAACAAAAAAAAAAAAAATTAAAAAAAATTGGCAGCATCGGCAACATCTTTGGTAACTTGCATCTGCAACACCGATCAATTTTCACAAATTGAAGTCAATGTCGCCGCTTAGTTGTTGTATCAGACTAATTCACATACATACATATCATACATACGTACATATATACATAATATATTGCAACAACAAATTATAGCCACGTATGAGTTGTGAATCAGTTCAATGATTATGACCTGCCGAAAAAAAAAAATATTGAACACACTAATTTACAAAAACAAATCTAAACAGCCCGAAGCAAAATGGGTAGTTTAATAGTACCGGACTTAACTTAAAAATATATTAGGTCAAGTAAGAAGTTCGTTCGGTTTTTATTCAAGAGATGGCGTTACTGTCCATAGTACTAATGTTACGTGTCGCATCATGACATGACGGCGCTGGAAACGTGTTTATTCACGCTAAAAGTTTGCCTTTGGCAGTTTTTCGATAGATTGACTCAGTACACTTAACAATTTTTCTTCGATCAAGGCGACTGGCGATGAAAAATGAGTCACTTATGACAACATCGAGTGCAAACGGTGGTGGTCAAAGCTCAGGGAAGCGGTCCAGAAGGTTTTGCTGTGTGTTTGGTGGGATTGGCAAGGAATCATCAACTACGAGCTGCTTCTTATGGCCAAACGCTCAATTCAGCCCTCTACTCCCAATAAATGGACCGCTTGAAGGCAGCACTCAACCAGAAGAGGCTATCTTTGATCAACAGAGGCCGAATTGCGTTCCATCAGGACAACGCCAGGCCAAACACGTCTTTGGTGACGCGCCAGAAGCTACAGGAGCTCGGATGGGAGGTCCTAATGCACCCACCTTATAGTCCGGACCTGGCACCAAGTGATTACCATCTTTTCCTTTCCATGGCGAACGCACATAATGGTGAGAAGTTGTCAAGAGAGGCCTGTGAAAATTGGCTCTCCGAGTTTTTTGCCAATTGGGACGCAGCCTTCTACAAGAGGGATATAATAAAGTTGGCATCTCGTTGGCAACAAGTTTATGAACAAAACGGCGCACATTTGACTTAAATCTGGCAAATGTACAAAAGGTTATCATATATTGAAAAATCAAAAAAAAAAAAAAAAACGAGCCAACNTATTGAAAAATCAAAAAAAAAAAAAAAACGAGCCAACTTTTTACTTGACCTAATGCTAGTCCTTTGAAATGCCAGTCGGAGGTTTAGATTAGTTCGAGCTGAAGTTTTGATGCTTCATCCAATGCTTTGCACTCTGAAGGTGTTAGATATCTAAGACCGGCTGTTTATAAGACCGGATAGAAGTAGAGAAGATGCTTCAGTGTCTCAATCACGCTTTCTTTTCTCGCATTTCCTGTTTGTGACATCGTAATTGAGGCCTATTCGGCACGCGTATGGTGTCATTAGATAGTGACCAGTTATTAAGCCAACAACCGCCCTGCACTCCTTTCGAGAACACGTTGGGCCCGTTGCTTTTTCACATGATCCTGGCGTTAAGGTATTCCATCTCACGCTCTTCCATCTTTTAACACTGTCGGATACTTCATTGGCTAAAACCACCACTATCGTATTTGGCGTATTGGTTCGATTGCCAGACGGAAGGGACATTTGGTAATCTCATCAACTATTTTTTTCCCAGCTTCTTACTGAAAGATACTACAGTATTCTGAAAGGAAAAAGAGTTGCTAAGTTTTAGCTCAGTGTAAGAGATTCTGGTATGGTACTAACATTCAAAAAGTTATAGAAAATTAATTTGAATAAAAAAAGAAGCTGAAATTTCTAATTGCGGTCGCCCCTCGGCAGGGAATGTCAAGAGACCTACAGTTTATACTAAGCTGCCTCCGAACGCCTGAAAATTTTTTTATGAGGAGGTTTATTTCGTGTGAGAAATACACTCGGAGAGGTTGACATTCCCTTCTGGGGGCGACCGCAACTATAAAAATTAATTTAGTTTTTTTATTTAAATTCATTTTGAAAACTTTTGGATGTTGTTCGTACCAGGATTTAAATACAACCCTTTCCAATAGCAGTATGCAATGCTTATCACTCGGCCATTAGTATCACTTTAAATCCGAAAAATCTTACACTGGCAGGGTATTCATCATACGCCAAATATTGGTAAAGGCCCAAGGCGAAAGAATCGTTGCATCGTCGTTCGACAACACAGCAACTGGATTAGTTTTCCGCCAAACTTTACACGCCCTGCTAAACCGATTATAACCAAATTTCGTCAGAACTGGGAAGGTCTTTCTGAATATTTTAGTAACAAACGACTTTTCAAACATATCCACTCTCTATCCCCTGTTTTACCTAATCTCATACTAAACAAAATAATACCAGCCGCCCAGCGCTTGCATCATATGGTTAACGTGAGTACGCATTCCCAACCCAAGTAAAGTCAATTGCACCAATCAACCGATAACGATAACTGAGCGTGGAATTGGGCATATGCATACACATACACATGTATGCTAGTGTGCATCTGTGTATATATACATATACGAATATATGCATCCATGAGTGCACATAAGTACCACGCTAAGTGTAGAGGCAAACAGGATAAGCTATAATTAGCGAAAGGAAGCATATAAATACTACAACCAGAACTTTACAGGATGTGTGTAAATCTGTGCGGTTTTTACACAACTAAATGTTCGACAGTCAGTAGCATATATGTACATACACATGCCTATACTCGTATGAAGATATACTGTATGTGCATGCATTGGTATGTAATCGCATAAATCGGAAGTGGGATGATTGTAGAGTAAGTTCGAAATCAACTTTTATGATTGCACATACATACACGTACACATCTATAAATACTTGTGTATATATGTACATATATATATACTTAGATACAAATAAATATGAATTTAAGACGCGCCTGCAGGGCTGCGACTGTTGCATGCCTTTGAGATCCATATACACGTATGTTTGTACTTATGAATATATACTGCTATGAGAGTCTGCTACATACTTGTACATACTACAATATGTATGTGAACTTGTGCAAATCTTTATATACTCATATACAATACAAGGTCTTTAAAAGGTTCCATTGGACCACGAATCTTGAATGGTCTTAAATTCAGTTGTAGAATTTTACGAAAAACGCCATACATACGTATGTATGTATGTGTGTATATACAAAAATATGCACATAAAGGTAGCTATGCAAGTCGTTCTTTTGGCTGCGTACTGTGCTTCACCGCAATGCGCTCGCATGTTAAGTAATTTCAAGTACAACAGCAAATCGATTGTCAGATATTAATTTTGTGTTTTTGCGCTGCCAATGCATGTATGGGTGTATGTACATATGTACACAGGTGTGGCTTATGTACATACATACCAGTATATGTATGTCTGCAGATTTATATGTTTTTTTTTTTTAAATTTACACACATGTTCATATAGTATGTATGTATTTATATACATATGTAAGCCAGGCATGGCTGTCAGTTGCTGTTAAATATTGCAGTTATTGGCGCTTTTGCAATTGTAAATTCTGCCGGTATTATTACTTATTGTTTATATGTTTTTTGATGTTTTTTTTTGGTGTATTTAGTGGGATCTTTTTTCAATGATTTTACAACTTGTTGAGGCGGTTCCAGTCTTTAATCTTACTTACATATTTAGTTGCTCGCATGCGCGCA